TATTTTATCATTGATTATTTTTTTATAAACATGAAAATACTTTTTGAAAATATTTATTTGCTTAACTCACTTTCAATGCTAATTGCTGTTGGTATAATTGCTTCAAATGGCTTTGATCTTATTGTCTTCGTTAGAGAAAAAAAGAAAAAATTTTGTTCAGCTTGTGAGCAATTAAATTAATAATGATAATAGTAATGGTAGTGATAATGTATTATAATGATAATCGCAGGTAAGGATGGGAATAGGATGGATGAAATTATTTAATGATTGAAGGAGAATAAATTTTCTTTTTCAGTATAGGAAAGAATATTTCTTGCTGTGACAAAATTATCAATCATTCATATCAAATAATACTTTTTTTTTTGATTTATATTCTTATATGTCAACGATAAAGATAATCATCGTTGCTGTTGCTCAACATTATCGCCTATATTATTGAAACAGTTGGAATTATTGTTAATCAATATTACTATTACTATTATTGGATTTCATCATTATTTGATTTTCATATCATCATTATCATTATCATCATCATAATCATTATCATCAACCCACCAAAATATCACCATTGCAATAATGATGGGATCATTTTTGTCACTATTATTTATTATTATCATTATCATATATTGTTATCATATGAAAAAATTTTTTCCTCCATAATATAAATTATGTTAAATTAACTCATTCCAACTATTAAAATAAATTATTCACATAAATAATTAATGGATTAATTTGATATGATATAATTGAAATTTTTGAATTAATTAAAGATATTAGTTAGTTTATACGGTATGATTTAATTAGCCAAGAAATTACATTTAATATATCAAAAAGATTTGTTGTAACAAATGCTCTTAAATAATAATAATAATAATAATAAAACGATATCCTAAATTATATATTAAAATGAACCAATCACGATGGATTGTTGTTTTTAATGACTAACTTTATTCAATTTCAGTTTATCTTATCTTACGGTTTTTAATTTGAAACAAAAGAATGAAATCTAAGAGTTAACTGTTAAATAAATAAATGTTTATGAGAAGTATTAATTAACAATGTTATTAATGAACATGAAAGATCAATGTAATTTTAATATTTTCTTTTCTCATTAATTAATATAGTTTCAATTCAATTTTCAACATACCCATCCAATGGAATGAAATTGTTTATAAATTACGATATGCAATATATCTACTCTAACAATCTGTTCTTGTGAATTACTATTAACCTTCCAAGGAGAATATATATAACAAATACTTGTATAACCTTCAAAAATTATTTTCATTAATCATAGCAATAATACGATATTAAAAAATGCAAAATTGTATACGGTATTTAAATTTTCCAACAAACATTCCCAAAATTTACAAAAATAAACAAAAATTTTTGAACTGCCACAAAAGCTTTAATTTAAAGCATAAAATGCAAATGTATTTAATAGTCATTCCAATGCATATATATATATATTATAGAATAATAGATAGTGTGATTTTAATATTATCACAGCATTATTCTATTTTCTCGCAATTTATTTCATGTCTTAATGATTGGCTTAAAGAAAGCATTTAATGGATTTATGACAGATAGAGCCAGATGGTTCAACTAATTCCTTGGCTAATAGCAAAATTCATCGATTATTGCAAAAAAAGAAGAAGCTATTCAAATTAAGAAACTTTAAAATTTATTGAACTTTTGATTAACATTTTAAACATGTTTTCCCCTCTCAAAGGTTATTTGCTTAGTAGCATAAATGTTATGTATCCATTGACTTGACCTTTATTATTACTGGCCATAAAACATTCATCATCTGCAAACAAAAGGAATATGCGCATATTGCCCTTCAGGAAGAGGAGGCAGTTATAATCCAGCTTCAATCGAATTATGGCTCCCTTATGATGCTTTCCTATACTTTCTTCCGGGAATGGAACCCTTAGAATGCCATTTGTTATCCTTTTCATCTTCAATGCAATTCGCTTTTATTTTATTATTCAAAAATACTTTAAATTTGCAAAATATCATGATTAATGTTGATTGTTATGTTAAACGATTGCAATCACAATTTCAGAATTTTTTAAAATCTTAATTAATTCTTATTCATCTTTCAGAGCATATTTTCGGTATATATCCTGAAATGGATATTATAATTACAGATTTTGAAACTATTTAATAATATTATTTAAAGATAGCATATAATTTGAAAATTGAAATATTTCAAAATGATAGTATTATTAAGTGATATTAGTATCACCCATTAATTATTGATATTTATTATATTATCAATGCTTTGTACTTTGTTATTGTTATTAGCAATACTTTGTTGTTAGTTTGGAAAATAAGGTAATTTCGGAATAGTATGTGAAATAATGGGTTTATTTGCAGATTAAGTTGAAAATTGGTGAGTTGTAATTTCAAAACGAGAATTTTGTTTAAATTATAAGTTGCTTATGCTTGATATTAGTATCACCCATTAATTATTTAAAATAAATTTTAAATTAAATTATTATTCAATGCGAAATATTTTAATATTGCATTTTGTTTATTGGATAATTTATGATTAAGCTAATTAAGTTAATTTTTGTTCCTTAAATATTTATAAATGAAAAGATTGATATTATTCATAGTTAACAAGCAAATATTAAATAAATCATTATGTTAATTGATTTAGGTGAAAGGTTGAAAAATGGAACTTTCATTCTTATTTTCTTTATAATTTATCACAATTAACAAAAATTGGGAAGTTTCCTTTTTCAATAGAATTTTGAAATTTGTCTTCACTTTTAAGTAAATAAATTAATAAATCATATCCCATTCAGAGATAAATCTTAATCCCATATTTATCATTTCATTTTATGCATCTTTTCTCGTTAAACAAAAATATTTTTCAGTCATTTTATTTCAGTTAACTATATTCCCTTATCTTAACTATACTTGCTTATCACTTTTAAGATGTTTTTTTTTAGGCGAACACATATTCAAGTTGATAATAATAAAAATATCTCTAAATGAATTTCTAGAAATTTGTGTTTAAATCTCATAACGTTTTTTTTGACAGTTTCTTTTATTACAATATTTGTTATATAGTAAATAGAAATTTCAGGATAAATAAGCATAAAAGTATTTGAAGTAAAATTTCAAATACTGTATCTGTTCGTAAATATTATAACTGTTTTACTGTACCTATTCGTAAATATTATAATTATTCATAATTAAGAAATTTTTAATATTTTCTTTTCCTTCTTTTTTATATAAATTAAATAATATTTAATTCTCAAAACTTATTGCACTAAATTTGCTAATATTTTAAAAACTTCAATTTTTTAAGTTTATAAAATGATGGATAGACTGTATTTTTTATAAAATGATAAATAGACAATATTTCGAAATTAACATTTATCAACAATGGCAATAAATATAAAACACTAAAAATGGCGGTATGCATTTATTTTCGAAATTTCAACGTTATAGATTATATTTTACAAATACGAAGTTCATAATTTGTTCGTTTAAAATCTGTAATATAAGTAATTAATTCAATTAAAATTATTTAATTCCAAAAGTTAGAATTTCAAAATTTCATTTTTTAACTTAAGGATTGATTAAATATAAGAATATATAGTGAAAATGTAGCAACGCTATTCTGACAGCCTTGTCATTTATCAATGTCATTTTTAGCAATATCATATCACAGACAAAACTTTTTCCTTCTTCTCTTTTTCTTCTTTCTTTTTTGATTTAAATACTTCTCTTTAAGCGATTATCATTAAAAACCTTTCTGTGAGTAAATTTGCAAATAATCTGTGCTATTATCGTAATATTAATCATAATGATCAATGGCATTATATTAATCTTTAAAATTCCTGTCACTCATTTTATAATTAATATTATTATTTCTTTGTTTTTCAATAAATGTACGCAATTTCATATTTTACTTCACTATTATTATTATTATCATTATTATTATTATTGTTATTATTATTATTATTATTATTATTGTTATTATTATTATTATTATTATTATTATTATTATCATTATTATTATTATTATTATCATCATTATTATTATTATAATTATTATTATAATTATTATTATTATTATTATTAAATATTGTTATTAATTATTATTATTGATCATTATCACTATCACTGTCACTATCACTATTCTAGTTATTACAATTGAAAAAAAACTCTTATGATTTAGTTATTATAATTTGACTGAAAATTTTGAAAATAAACTGTCTCATTGTAATTGTCACTATCATAATAATCATAACTGCCCTCATCATAGTTTTTATCATCATTATCATAATTGACACACAATCATAATCATAATCTTAATCTTAATCATCATAATGTAATTTTTATCATTCTCAATCATCTTCTACAACAGTTTTAATAGTAAGAAGGATATCTATCTGTCTATCAACGGTGGTTCAATCTGATGATTATCCAAGAGATGTTGAGAGTGAAAGAGAAGCTCCTCCCCGAGTCACTTCTTTATCCAACCAATCACATACTTCACACAACATTACGCTCTATCCATTCATCGGTTCATCCATTCATCCTTCTAACCCCTCCCCTCAATACTACAATCACTATTATCACTCCGTAGATAACGGACTGATTACTCTTATCATTTTGGGTTAAGGTCCGATTTCTGGATTACTTTCCGAAGTGTGAAAGATTTGAAATAATGGTCATCATTAGTTCGCTTTCAGGATTTATCGGCGTAGCATACTGTATTATCAAGATTTATGAGATTATATTTCATTTAAAAAATAATCTAAAAATTATAATTGCTCAATGAAGTATTGCAAAATAATATGTCTTAACATGTTTACTCAAATTTTATTAAATCTAAAGTATTACGTTGGAGTAATTATATTTTACTACTCTGAAATATCTCAATACTGTGATAAAAAAAAATCACTGAAAATTTACATAATTATAAAATTTGAGTGATTCCATATTTTCAGGCTGAATAGTTTGAATGCTCCGATATGTCGATAGCAATGGAAACAACACCGGTATCAGTATCTTCAGCATCAGGAGCTGATTTAAACAGTGATAAATCTTTGGAGCAATCTCAACATGCACTACAAATGCAATTATCCTGTAGCGCCTCATCAACACCACCATTACAGAATGTATCGGAACAGTCCGGTATCCTACAATCTGACTTAAGTACCAATCTATCGACTATTTTAAATGCTTCAAAAAATAATGATGTAATTATTCAAACTATTTTATTTCTGTTACGAACAAAAAAAGATTATTCGATTACCATATTATCAAACCAAATATTCTTCTTATTCCAAAAACAACAATTATAATTCTTGTCGATCTTCAAACTTCATGATATCTTTAAATTATTATCAAATTTTCATTAACTTTATTAGCTAAAACATCAAAGATCTCTATAGCTTCTTTGAAACTTCTTCTAAAATTAAATTTTTGAACTCTTTTGCTCAAATGAATTTTGTTGTAATTTAAAATTTTCACTTTTTTCAACAATTTGTTAACTAAAATTAAATTTCTTTGAAACCATTGAATTTAGTCATAACATTAAGAATAAATTTTATGAAATACTCTTTTATCATAATTTTCTGAGAAATTTAGATTAAAAGTGGAAATTCACCTGTAATTGATGATGACGCAAATTCAATGTTAGAACGTGAGCTTGAAGTTCAACAAAAAGCCTTCCAAAGGTTTACTTCCTCATTAAACGGTACAACTCAATTATATTTTTTAAAAAATTTGATTAAGCTTGAATAACTTCATCTTTAAAGATGATTGATTCATTTATTTCTATTTTCAAAACATATTTACATCTCAAATTGATTTCTAATTCTTTCTTAAAATTTACTTTTTCATTTATTTCATATTTAACAATAAAAATAACTTCCATTATTTCGAGATTATTTTATTTCTTAGCGTTTTTAAAATTTAACTTGTAAATACACAGAAAGCTTATAATTTGTTAGTTTTAGATCTCAGATTTCGATCAACATTTCCAATCAATGTTTTTCCGCCATTTTTGGCTGCTCTCCAACAAAATCCCTTAACGCTGCATAATCAATTCGCGGCAGCTAGCAGTAATCCGAGAAGTTCCGGTGTATCGCCTGGCTTAGATGATGAGGATGAGAATGAACCTCTGGCAACTACTGAGCCAGAAGATTTGACTATTAAGTAAAATTTATATCGATTTCCTTTTCTTTTAACATTCATAAGAATCTTTACCTGAAACTTATCTATTCAATAGTATTAGAAAATAATTTGTTAAATTTCTTTTCTTTTCTTCTTTATTTTTTCTTCAGATTTTTCTTAAATTAAATTTTTTAAAAGTGCATAAATTTTTTCAAAATTAAAGATAAATATGAAAATTCTTTAAATTTAAGCTTTCGTAAAGAGAAAAAAGAATGTATTATGGGGGCTAGTGGAAGTACGGGTGATGATAATGCGGATTCAGATGCTAGTGGACAACAGAATTGGTCATATGAAGAACAATTTAAACAGGTAAATATTCTAATTATTATTGATACCATTTAACAAAAGTTTACTATCATACTGAATTTATATTTCTAAAATGGCATTTGTGATATATTTAAAAATGACAAATCAATTGGTCAAAAGTGTAATATGCGAATAGATTAGCATTCAATTTAGGTATTCAATTTCGTAAAGTCTAGAATTTTTTTTAAATTTAAAATTGTTAAAGTTTATATTCATTTTGTCGGAATTCATTCGCTTTTTAGTTTATCTATTTGTCTGTCTTTCCGCCTGTCCATCTGGCAGTACCTGTTAGATTAAACAGTTGTGCATTATATTATTTAGCAGCAGTTTAAGCAATATGAATGAAAAAAGCAAAAAAATAAATGAAGCATTTTTATCTTCAAATGTGATTCATGAAATATTATTCGCTTTTTTTTAACTAATATACCTAAATTATATATTTTATTTAGGCTTTTAAATTTTATATAAATATATATACACCTGTGAATTCTCTTAACTATACATTTCTAAATTTTAAATCTCAATTTATATTGTCTCGGAATCTGTTTTATCCTACAGTTTATCCAATTATTTTCTTCCAAATCTGTTCATCTGACCAATTAAATTAAGCATTCTCATATATATATATATATATATGTAAGAATGCTTAATTTAGCATATATATTAAATAAATAAATAAATATATATATGAGGTTGCTTAATTTATATATAGATATATATAACCGCTGTCAGATTTGTTTGAAAAGATTGAAATCATTCCATTACATTCTACTCATACATAGCTGTTCTTTAAACTAAAGAGTGGATAAAATTTCAAAAAAATTGTTTATTTCAAAATTTACAGCTAAGAAGTAGGGAGAAATTTTCTAGGAGAAATTAATCTTCTTATCTCGTCAGCCTCACTAAAACCGAAAATCCATTGATGATGATGATGATGATGATGATGATGTCAGTGATGAAAAAACGAAATTTTGTTTATCTTAACAAAAGACAAAAAAAAACGATTTATAATGTGAACGATCGGATTGAATTAGACGAACAGAGAAAGGAACGGATGTTAAGGTCTATTTGGATATGGAAAGATTAAACCTAAGATTGAGCCTAAGGAAATCATGTAGCCCATTTATCATCACTTCATTCCACTTTTCTCCTCCCATTCCAATCTTCAATTTATTCCTGTTCAATCTACAACAGACAGCTAAATTGAATGGAAACATTGCAATTGAATTAGATCCCTGACAAGAGCATTAGGAAAAAAAATGAATTCAACGTCGAACAACTGTTTCAATTTCATTTTCCAACTAATTTTTGTGTGTTATAATCCGTTCGAAAAGTTAATTTCCTCACATACACAAATCAAAGTTGTGTAATTATCGATAAAAAAAAAAGTGGAAAAAAGCATATTAGATTTTAAAATTCTTCTTCCATAGAAACATTCAGTACTCATTTTGAAAATATCATAATTATATGATAAGGTCAAAGGTTCTTTTTTGTTGTGATATTAGCATTATTATGATCGGAATTATTATTATTACAACTATTTTGTATTCAATTAAATAACTTAAATCATTCATTTTCTTTCTTCAAAAATAAACTTAAAATCATTTATCATTTTGATATGATTTGTTTTTAGGAATAAAACTAAAAAATGATAAAATTTTTTTCTTTTTTATCAATTATCAAATTAAAGTTAAACAATACAGTACTATTGAAGGGAATGAAAAACGTACTATGGGCGTGGCTCTCTATCTTCTCTGCACATAATGTACTTACTATCTGATCTGCGCATTTTTTTCTTTCATTTATTAAAAATTAATCGGAAATTAAATTAAATTAAATTAATCAGAAATGAATTAATTTTATTTACACATATTATTATTATTTCATTTATTTCGGAAGTGTTCCATTCCAACTGTACGTATAATATTGTCAGTAAATTTAATTCATAATTACTTCATTTTGTTTTCTCCCAAAGAAAAGCCGAATTGCATAAAATTGATTGGCATGCTGCCTTCTTTCTATTAATCTGCCTCTATTGATATGTCCACTCCCTGTGTCAAAGTGTCACTCTGTCCATCTCTATCATTTTAGATGTTTTAATTCAAATTTAAATAATTAGTGAATAAAAGATTTGCTAGCATATTCTTCCGTATATTCCAAATCTTCCGTTGAAAATGCTTTACTTTTGCTTTCAATTCTATTTTTCTAAAGCATATTTTTAGTGTATATTTTATAAAATTTTTAAATTTTAAGTTTTAGAATTGATGAAACCATTTCAATAGGTTATGATCAATTAATAAATTATTATCGTTTTTAAACAAATTTCTCAATTATACGAAATTTTTGCATGCAGCTTATCATATTGCTCTGCTCATTAAAACCAGATGTTCGAAAGATAATTTAGCTTGCAAAATTAATTCATTTTAATTGCCTAACATAAATCATTGATCGATTTAATTTAGAGGAATAATAATTATGAAACATTGCCTCTTTCTCTTTACTGTCTCCAAATCATTTGTAATATATTTAAATTTAACTAAAATTTATAAGATTTTAATTTTAAATAGATGATATAATCAGCTCAACGTGCTTTTTAATTGAACTATTTATTATCGCAGTGATAATGAAAATTATTATTATCATTTTATAATCCGGTGATAGCTTTTTTGATTCGTCTTTGAAAGCCTTGCATACAAATAAATGATCGATATTAAATTTTACCGTAAAAATTCATTTCTATCTGATCACCGATGAATCCTATCTCTGTATCTATTTTCCAAAAAAAAATTTACCTGAAAGTCGAATTATTTTTTTTTAATTAGAAATATTGAATTATGTATTGTGTATGTGTGTGTGTGTGTGTGCGTGTATGTTTACCTGCAATATACTATTATCTTTGGTGTGATATGATGGCTATTCAATTAAAATGATATAAGGATTGACACTTCAAAGATAAATTTGAATTAGTTTTCAATTTCAATTACAAATTTCAATTACAAATTATAATTATCTAATGGGAATGTTTCAAGAAGAATAAATTAAAATGAAATTTATAGAGAGAAATGATAAGTTATCAAAGAAAGTCATAGACAGTTTTAGATTAATTACAGTATGAATGATTGTGAAGAAGTTCTGAATTGAAGTTCAGAAGTCTCAATATAGCTCATACTGCTATATCATTCCCATGTGAATTGATATAGATATGAATATGAGATAAGAAAAAGATTGGGATAAATAAATGCATATGGCTCGACTAATGGACTAAGTTCAAAAATATGCCGATATTTTAATGGAGTGAGTTAAAGAATTTGAAAATTAAAGCATGAAAATATATTTGATTGATTTAAAATTTTGATTTTAATTCAGGGATGTAATATGAAATTTAATATAAACAATTTTTTGTTACAAAATTTTGAAAAAGAATTATGCCATAAGCTTTATTAATACATTTATAAGTAAGCCTTATAGATTTTTCTTCTATTCTTGAGAAGTTTCAGTTTATGGATATTTTTTACATTCGAAACTCTTTATTCTTTATTATACTTTTAATCTTTCAATTTTAGGAAGACAATTTGAAATTTCATTGAATAAAAACTTTTGTTTTTAATTTCTTTAATTACAAATGAACAAAAACAGAAATAATTCGATTATTTCATAATTTGAATTATTTTCAAATTTCATTAGATAACAAATTATATTTGAAAATTTTATTTTCTTGACTTTTTCTATTTCATTCAAAAGAATTCAAAAGAATTAGTAATATATTTTAAGCTTGATGACTCATATTTTATCAATAAAATTTTATTTCTAATTTTCTAAAAAACAAATGTAATTAGGAATAATAAAAAATTTCCACTATTATTAAAGATGAATGGATTTGGATAATTTATGGGAAGAAAAGAATTTCCATCAAAAACATATAATTTGGTGCAGCTATCTATCACTGTAATTTAAATATTAAATTTGGTGCAGCTATGACTGTAATTTAAACATCAAATATTATTTTGCCAAAAACAAAAGCCATTTTGTTAAAAAATTAAAAAAGATTTTACAAGTTAGATAAACTTGCTGGAATATGGTTAAACTAATGAGTGTAAAGTGTAATTTTGAGAAAAGAAAATTGGCAAAGCTTTTAGGTAACTTTTGAAGAAGAAGAAGAAATGAAATAAGGTCAAATAACTTTCCTTTGTTTTCAACGATAATAAATTATAAATTACGAATTTTTCTTTAATACAAAGAAAATTCAAATTTCTTGAATTCTTACATATAATTATTTTTTTAGATGAAAAGTTTCAGTTCAATTTTATGTCAATTTTAATGTCTATAATAAAAAATTATTTTTTAGTTATATGAATTATCAGATGATGTAAAAAGGAAGGAATGGTTGGATGATTGGCTTGGCTTTATGCATCGTATTGGTAAGTTTTATTATTATTATTGAATTTAGGATGGATTAATTTTCATTATTTTAGTAAAATTTACAAATCAATTTAAATATATTAAAAGTATTTAATAAATTCAATCTCATTATAACACAAATTTGATATTTTCTCTTTTGTGTATATTTTATTAATTTACTAAAATAATAATAATTTGAGCAAAAAACTTTTTGTTTTAAAATTTTTCCTTTTAATTCTTTAATTAATTTACTTGAATAAATGCAAATTTATCATACATACATGGAGAATTTATAAATATTATTTTCATACATTTAAAAATTAAAGATTTGACCAAATAATATATTTAAATTTAAAATTGTAAAAAGAACATTTATGGTTGAATGAACTGATTTTCACAATGCATTCTTTATTTTAGTAGGAAATGATACTAACGAAGAATAATTGATGATATTTTTTCGTGAAAAATTTTATGAAAAATGTATGAATAAATGAGAGCTTCAAATTTTAGGCCAATCTCTTCTATTATCCATTTTAATTCTTAGCTTTTGACTCTTATTTTAGTCAAATTTCATTTCATTTCATCGTATCACTTCAATTAGAGAAATAGAGAAATATATTGAAATAAAATATGCTTAGAGAGGAGAAGAATTTATCCCACTTTATGAATGAATTTATTTAAGAACACTTCAGAAATCTTTTTCATTAACTCTTTCTTGCATATTCAAATTAGAAGAATGAATTTTAGGAAATAAACCAAAAATAATATTAAATACATTTAATAAAATAAATTCGGTTATTGTTTTAAAAATTAATTCTTGCAATTCAATTCATATTTTTCAATTTATTCTTATAAAATTTTAGCACCAAATTATATTTTCATTATTATAATTATGTTGCACAAAAGAAAGCAAAAATTAATGAAAAACGATCAGTGAAATATTTCATGTTATGATACACATGAAACAAGCCGACAGAGCATTGGTTGGTTGTCTGCTTGTTTCATTTTTCCTACGTTCCCGCAATAGCATCACATACGTTGGTTACGGTGGTTGATTGGAAAGCAATGATAGTTTGAATGACTAATTCGTTCGGAATTTCTCAATGAATTAATATGCGAAATCAAGACTTTTTCTATAATGAAAACTCAAATAGAAATTACTGATAATGATAACTTAGATTATCATTGAAAATTTAATTTGAATGATAGGAATCTTTAGTTTTATATACATTTAATCTTTTTTTAATCTGCTTTTCATCACTGTCCCTTTTTACGCTCTCTGCCAGTTATTATCTCTGCTAGGCTTTGCTTTATCATTTCTTGAAATTCATTAATGATTATTTATTATAATTTAATTATTGTTACCATATCATTGTTTCTATTATCATATCTTATTCATTTTTCAATCATTCTCCTTATCAGTATCTGTTGCCAGTATTATTTTTGAGTCAAGATAACCTATTTTCTTGATTATGATAATATAACCATCATTAGTAATCCTGTTACCATTGTTATACATATATATTAAAAGAGAGAGCAAGATAGAGGGCGGAAAAGGATGGGGAAAGAAAGAGTGGTAATTATAAACAAAAGCTTCTAATTATAAAATAAAATTCTGAAGATGTCTCTTTAAATAATTTAAATTGTATGGCATGCCATTAATAGAATAAAATAATTGAATTAATTTTTTGAATTTTAAAATATGAAAAAAACATATTATGAAAACGCTATGATTTTAATTTGGCATTAAATCATATATTTGTGTAAATAAGCTTGGAGCTTTGTTTTAATAAAATAATATTATTTTAATTTAAAATTAATAATTTATATGAAAATTAGAAATTTAAAAATTTCCATGAAATTTAATATAATTTGAGGGGAATTGAAAGATCAAAGTTCATCTTACATGGATATGAATCAATCAGAAGTAAACATATGCAGACAAATGATAATTTATTGTAATTGGAAAGATTTCTGATTAGCTAACATGATTAATTGAAATTTTTAAAATTGATCCGTAAATGTTATCATTTTTTGCAAGAATAATGACGTCAGGAAATGTTTTTTGGAGTTTTTAAAACTTTAATTCTTTTGTTTCTTTTATTTATTAACGAAAAACAAAGCGATACGTATCGAAGAACAAATTGGAATGATTCATTTGACAGTTAAGTTAGCAAACAAACTAAAAAATTATGAAAATTAATATGAAATTAAACACTCAAATGCAATAATTAAAAATAAATAAATTTAATTAGTCTAAAATAATTTTTAGAATTATTACACATTAAGCAGAAATAATGTAATTTCAGGAAAACCGGTTACACGGATACCAATTATGGCTAAACAAGTCTTAGACTTATATGAACTTTATCGATTGGTTGTGCAACATGGTGGTTTAGTTGAAATTATCAACAAAAAATTATGGCGTGAAATAACGAGAGGATTAAATTTACCATCATCAATTACCTCTGCTGCATTCACATTAAGAACACAGTAAGTTATATATTTGTAAAGCATCAAAATAATTAATAACTAGCATAAAATTAATTAATAATCAAAAACAATGCTGTAGAAAGTTTCATCCATCTTAATGAAATATATTTTTCCTTTTAACTTTGATTTCTTTTTTTAATTTTCTAAATTGCTATTATTTAAGGAGAATTTAATATGTGAAAGTTTAATCAATTAATTAATAACTCTATCTGTTAGCATTATCTCTTTCAATCTTTTTTTTTACAGCATTAATTAAATTAGAAGAATTTTGTTGTCAGCATTATGAGAGCTATCGTTGATAACATTGATAATAGCCATATGTATGATTCAATTAGTGAAACGTTGAATGAGTAATTAGTTTATAATTACAACAAATAATTAGAATTCTAAACTAAATTACATTGTTTTTCTAATATTTATAAACAAAATTTTAATAAATCAAAAAATTGTGACATATTTTTCTTAGTTTTAACAATAAAAAATTCGTTCAAAAATGTCAATTAGTGGCTAAATATTTCAGAACAATTAATTAAATTTAATTTTAAAACAAAACTGACTTTATCATAATGAAATGAAAGAATAAAAGAGCGGGAAGAGTAGAAAAGATTGAGAAGAAGTTGGTGAAGAGAAGCGAAATTTCGAGTTAAATTTGACACGAAGATATACGAATTGTAAATTTATTTCGATTTGATTGATATACATTGTATTGTGGGAAGAAAGAAACGGATAATGAATGAATGAATAGAATTCGATCAAAACTTTTTCATTGCAAAACAGGGAAGAGATTTAGGAGTATAATTGTGACATAACAGATCAACTTGATGATATATGATATTTGAAATATTAAATTTCTACAAATTGATAATAAGAGGGTAAAAGTATACGAGGGATTAGGATTGGATCAGATCGGATCGAAAAAAAAGAAAGCAAAATATAACATTTAGGGGAAAATATAAGCTAAAATTAGATATGATTTCTACAAAAGTTAAATCATCAATTTAGCACTTATCAACAAATGCTTGAATATAAGAAAATTTAAATTTTGATAATTATTTCAATTATTGCATAATGTTTTATTAGTAGAAATAATCTGTATGATATCTTAATGGTGCAAATTTTTATCTATAGAATTAAGTCTACGGATGAAATGAGCCTTATAATTTCTGGTCATATAATTTATTACCTATTAGTTTGGCTATTACATTCATTTGATTTTCTCTTCGATACATTTCTTTTGACTTACTTACATTATATTCATACTGTAATGCAAAATTACAATCATTTTTTCTTCAAAATTATGTTAATTGAAAGAAATTCCCGAAGTATTATGTTGGAAAAATAAAAATATGAAATGATAAATACATTATCATTACAATTCCATCACATAAATTTTGACGTATTTTATTTAATTTCAAAAATTTAGGCCATATGTTCTGAGAATGTTTATGAATAGATTAGATCTAAATGATATACAATGGGATTATATTATTTAAAGCATGATATATAGACCATATCATATCATATCATATCATTAAATTTAAGCTTTAAATGTGTTAAAGTTCACATTAAAAACAGATTGTAAAATTGGATTAACCTTTGAAATTAATACAAAACTATAATTTACACGAAAATCTAATAGATTTATTCAACTGAATTAGGATATAAAAAGAGAATGAAAAAATACGGAAATGTTGAAATGCCAGATGTTTTAAGGAATTATGTGATTTTCACTAATTTGGAAAATATTTTTCGCTTCTTTCTTTCTCTAAAATATATTCCGCAAATGATAGAAAACGATATAAAATTGATAATTGAAACAATATGTTGTATGTTTGGTTAAATTTTATGAAGAGAGAAAATTTTAAAAATTAATAAAATTTTAAATGAAGGGAAAAAACAATTCAATTTGTTATAAAAATAATTAATTACCAAAAGTATATTTCATTTATAATGTAATTATCGAAATATTTAACGTTTTGAATTTCACGCCTTATTTTTATAATGATTTCTTTCTTTTTTTGAAAATACTTGGTCTGATAGATCAAATAACGAAAAGTAGTAAATTTTGAAATTTCATTCAGATAGGAATAAATAATTTTATGATATTGGCATTCATTAAGTTACATTCGTTAATTTACTATTTAAAATTGTTTATTTTAAATTTCAGTTAATTTCATTCTTATCCATTCAGAAGTGAAATTAAATTTAAAACCATACTAATAACAATAAATCATTTCATTCTAATTGTGTAATATTTCAGAATTTCGAAAAAAATTTATTTGTTATTTTTGGATAAGCGATCATTGTAATATTATCATTTGAGCTGATATTTAAGCTAATCGTTTCACTAATAAACACATTTCATAATATTATGAAATGAATTTTTATTTTTGTTATTTTGTATTGCAAAATAATTATTCCATTAAATTTCATTTTGCTTACAGCTAATTGATAAAGCTTTGTTTATCATTTTTGTCTCTTTAATCTTATACTATTTTTCTATTCTTTCTTTTTCGAAATTTCTCTCTTTGTTTTTTGCTTTAAATGACAGCAACTAATGAAATGGCAAAAGAAAGAAACAGAGAGAGAAAGGGATGAAATATGAAGAATGTGGAAAAAGATAAATTTTTTTTTGAGCTTATAACACACTGATTGGCAACATAAGATTTCGATGAAGAAGTAATAATATGTGGGGAAACGAAATGAACTTTAAACGGGTTTTTATTTCAAAATTTTAAAAATTTTTTACAAAATTTTTGTTTGCGTTTCCTTCATTTTAAGCGTATGTTCCACAAGTTTTTGCTAATAGATGGAACCAGCTGTTTTATTACGACAATATTTCCGATCAATCCACCACCAAACAACACTCAATCCATTTCATTAGCCTTATCATCATTTTGGCAAATTTTTCTATCAATGATTTTAAATGATAATGGGAAAAAAGAAAGGGACAGAAAATAATATATTTTTAAAAGACAAATAAAATCAACAATTTTTTCTTTTTTTTCCTTAATAATTGAATAATTAATTTGTGGTAAATTTCTTAATTAACTTGTGGTAAGTTTCTAATTAATTTATGGTAAATTTCTTAAATAATACTTCTGATATATTTAAAAATTAATTATGAAAATTTTCTCTTTAAATATTTAAAGCTTTTTGCAATTTTTTAAAGTAATAAAATTTGTTAAGCTTATAAATTTTATTTTAGGCTTTTTAAATTTTTCATATTTTAGAAGTATATATACGTTATAATATTGTGCTGTATTAATGTTGAATAACTTTCTCATCATAATAAATATTTTAGGTATCAAAAATATCTGTATGATTATGAATGTGAGAAGGAAAGTCTCAGTACGGCATCCGATTTACAGCAAGCAATTGATGGAAATCGGCGTGAAGGAAGACGAAATGCATCGACTGGATCTGCTAATTATCCACAAGTTGGATATTCGGTTGCTGCAACTGCTGCTGCTGCAGCACATCATAACTCGACAGCATTACTTAACAAACATCTCAATGGTACTTTAAATCTTCGAAGCGGTAAATAATTAATAGTACTTTTTCAAATATTTTAAACAATGAATAAATAATAATATATTTAACGTATAATTTATTTAAAAAAAAAAAGGAAAATATTTTGAATGAAAGTAAAGATAATAAGGAAAGATATGATAAACTCTAATTTTTGAAAAAATTTTTTAATAATTTTTAGGTTTAGATGATGATGCTGGTTTAGGCCCGGCATCACAACAAGCAGCTTTAGTAGCTGCTTATCATGTCGAACAGTTGGCTGTTTTGGAAGCACAACAAAGGCAATTTGAACGAGCACAACGGTTAATTAATTATTAGAGTAAAATTGATTTTGACAAAAATTCCAATTGAAATTTAAGCTATTTACACTTTATTAGCATAAGGGATAGTTTTTCTTAATTTCGAAATTATATTTTTCAAAATATCATCTCATTTTATTCCCCGAAGGTATATTTTGTAAATATAAAATAAAGTAAAAGATTTTCAATAAATGAAAAAAAACTTCCAGAGCCGCGGTAGAAGCGGTAACGCGGCATTCAGTCCATACACGTAGCAAAAACAACATTGTAAACAGCAGTAATAGCAATAACAGTAGCAATAGTGGCGGTGGTGGTGGTCATCATTCTCATATGTCGGGACGTGAATCAACATCATCCGCTGATTCTGATGGTGCTGCACCGGCAAAACGAGCGCGAACATATTCCTCGGTTACCGGTACCGCTGATACCACTAATGCTGCTGCTGTTGCCGCTGTTGCTGCAGCAGCATTAAACGATGAAAATGGTCTCAGCAATAATTTATTGGCTAATTTGGCCACAGAACGATTATTTGGCAGTATCCCATCGGCACATCTCAAAATTACCAGTCGAGGAGGTAAGATATCATAAATTTTTTAACTCAAATGAATGAATTCCTCGAAAAGTTAACATAAAAATTTTACGAAATTTTAATGGTAATAAATAATCGTTCTAATTAATGGTTAATAAATAATCGTTCTAATTAATGGTTCTAATTAATGGTAATTAATGGTTTTTGTTTTAGTTTTAGTTCGAAATAGCTTTAGTTGAAATACTTATAGTTCTTGGCTGTCAATAAAACTTTTTTAAATTGTTACTAATAAAAATCAGAATTTAACACAGATATTATTTTTGCTATCATTATCATTTTATTTTCATTCTTATCAATATCAGCACTTTTACTATTAGCCAATTATTGGTATCAAAATTATTATTCTTTTTATTACAATTATTATGCATATTTTATTGTTATCAATTATTACTAACATTTTTTTTCATCAATTAAAGATAACATTTAAAAAAGTGTAAATGAAATTAGTAAATCATCGTTATCATAATCATGGTTATCATCAATGCAATCAAACTGTCAATTTTCAATTTAGTTTCAGAGAACTCCTTGGTAGTATCAATGGAAATTAATGGTACCATGTATCAGGGTGTACTGTTTGCATTAGGAGGTGGTACCGGTGCTACAAATATCCCGCAAAATCCTTTCCAGAATGTTAGCGATGCAGCAACAATGGTAACGGGGTTGAATTTAGCTACAACACTCAAGAATCCTTTATAGTTAATACTTTTCTTTTTACTAATATTTAATTTTGAAAAATTGTGTGTGTAAATAATAAGCGACGTAATTTCTTTCTCTTTTTATCTCTCAATTGTTTTGTTTGCCAATGTAATTCCAATGAAATAATGCCATTCAAATTAATTTTTAATTTCAAAATTTAAAATTGATATTAATTCCATATTTAATATTATAATATTTAATCGTTCATTCGAAATGATATGGCAATATTTAATTACATTGGCTTCTTTAAGATTAGCTTAGAAAGTGAATTTTAGGATGAAAGTAGAAATTGTCTGATAAAGTATGAAAACATACATAAACACACACACACACATACACACATATATGTATACATATATATATAATATATATATGTACAAAAGAGACTGATAACTTATCATCTAGTCTTCCATATTTTCAAATTTTCATTTTAGATATAATCCATCCTTTATCATACATAATTTACTGAATAAAACTGATAATTTTCATATATTTGCAAAAGAAAAAACAATAAAAAAATTCGATAATATCATAAAATATTTAAAATTTCTAATTTCTTAAACTTTAATGTTAATTTGAATTCAAATAATTAAATTTAAATTTAATTAATTACCGTAATTTCTGTGTTTTTGATACATTTTTATTTCTCTTTTTTTTTTAAATGAAAGATATTGGTGATATTAATAATAATAATTAATAATAATAATATTATTATTATTATTACTTTCAATATTTATGTGTGAGATATTTTATTGCAATTAATTGTGCTTTTCTTCCTTTTTTTTCAAATAAAACTTTTGCATTTTTTCAACTTTTTTTCTTAATTTGATGAAAATTTCATCAAAAATTGCTTGCAATAATTATAATAATTATTAAACAATAAAAGTAAAAATATTATTTTCATATTTATTTGAGTTATTGTTTTTTTTTTTAAAGAAAGAAATTTAATTTCATAAAATTCTTCTCAAATTTCAACGTTAATTTAATATCTTTCTTTTTCGCTTTAGTTGCTTTATATTCTTAAATGCAACATATATTTTTATTTCTTTCTCTTTGCTCAATGGATAAGATCGAAAAATGGCAGCTATTATCGTATAATAAAATTATATATCAATATTCATTTATGCTATCAGACCACAACGGATCGGATTTAGCAATTCTTTGGCGAACATTCGTGTTATACCATTCTGATCAGTGTCGTTACCATGTTTCTCATTCAATTCATTAATTAAATTTCCCACATTTTTGTCATTATTCCAATTTATCACATACATCGTAAACGAATGATAATTACCTTTAAAGAAAGAAACAAACTTTAATACCTGTCATATTTATTTAATTATTTATTACTACGAAATTATTCGTAGTTTTTATAAAAATTTAAAAATAAAAAAACTTAATAGAGCTCTGATAAACAATGATAACTTTTATATTATTTTTAAAGAATGAAATAAATTTCAATAGCTCTTATTGTTTTCTTTTATCATATCAATATTTGATGATATGATATTTTCTTTTACCAATTTTTATATCACATAATTATTATATCGATAATATTTTGATATTATTATCATGTGAGATAAAAATTGATTTCTTTTTTTATTTTTGTTATCCATAATTTATTATACTTAGAAAATTTTAAATTCCAATATCACTAACCTAATAGAGTATTCATAAGTATCATTTGTTGATTCGGGAAGCATAATACCTTATCAATATTTGGTGATATGATATTTTTTTCAATTTCTATCGAAAGCATAACAAATTTTGCTATATCACTTGAATTCATCTGAATTTAATTTTTGAATTTTTAAAATTTAAACTTGATAAACAAGCAGAATGCTAACTAATGAATATATATATATATATATTAGTGAGTTGAAAATGATTAATAATGACTTACTGTTTTAATTGGTGTCATAAATTTGATGGAACCAGGTAGTATGGTAGAATGTGTTGGCTCTATGAGGACATGAACTTGGGGCGTTTCTACTTTATATACATTTCTTCGATCATTAAAATATTTTATCTGTAAGCTTTTTTTTTCATTCTCTTTCCCTATTGTTTTCTCATTTTTTTTGAAATATGTTAAATCTCCCGTACTCATATCATATCATAATCATTATCAAACATATCACAAAGATTATCTTATCATTTTATCCATCAAAAAACTTTTATAATTATAAAATCTTAAAAAGTTTAAACTAGAAAATTTCCCGTATTACACGTATTAGATCTGATAAATAAATAAAATTTTCTAATTCATAAAATTTAAACATACTTCGAAAAAGGTAAATCGCTTCTTACAATTTACCTTATCAAAAAAAAAGTGCCATACCTCAGCAGGTAACAGAGATTTAAGTCCATCAAATTTTTTTGACAAATTATTGGTAAGTAGTATTACAGTAACCGGTGATGTTCCATTTATGATGTCATTATAAATTGACAGATTATTAAGCCGTACGAGCTATAAATTTTTTTAACGTTAATTTAAATGTATTTAAAAAGAAAAGAAACAATGGAATTTATTCCATTCATATAAGACTGTTGATTTTAAGATAGATATCTTTTCCCATCGACTTTTCCCATACAGTTGAAAGCAATTAAGCTTTTCAAAGCATTCAGGAAAGTTAGAACCTGTTTATGAACGAACAATATGACAAATTTGTCCTTACAATTCTATTCGCACAGACGAGTAAAGAAGTGTTTGCTTAATTGTGGTAGAAAGGAATTAAACTTTTTTTACTATCGTTTAATTGATATACAAAATATACTGAACCGGCAAAGCTGTCATACAACTCAATGAGATAAACATACTTCAAGTAAAGTTCCGGAACGCGTTTCATGGATGACAAAATTATGAATTGAATATGATAGCGAAATTCTTAATATTCCATACCAAAATAAGCAACGAAAATATTGCGCTTGCCATGGAAACATTCTGAAATTTGCATGTAATCATCGTTGATAGCAAAGTATTTTGATAATATAATAGTAATAATAATATAATATTATTAACAATAATAATTGTAGTAAATAATTGTAATAACAATAATAGTAATAGTAATGATAACAACCCGTTAATATTTTCACGCAAAAATATGTTAGTCGAATATCTTGTTAGCTTTCATCAACTATCAACTTTTGATGTTATCAAGCTTTCATCAGTTATCAGCTTTTGATATTATCAAGCTTTCATCAGTTATCAGCTTTTGATATTATCAAGCTATATTGGTACAAAAAAAAGACAAAATTTTATATGAATTAATTTTAAAAAAGGATAGGATGACCATAAATTCTAAAATGAATTGATCAAATGATAAGATTTGCTTATCAATAATAGCATGAAATTATAACAAATTTAATATTATATACATATGATTTCCGATACTAAAATTAATTCAAAAAATTTATTTTAGTAAAAAAATACTGATTAAGTTAGAAGCAAAGATCAAAAGAATAAAAAAAAACTAAACAATTATCAAATGGACAGAAGCGGAGAGCCTGTGAAGTTTCACCAGGGAATTCATATCATGATATCTTATCAAATGATAAGATCATAAACAAGAAACAGTATGAACATAAAAGTGTTGCGTAGATTTTGTGATAAGAAAATTTTTGAAAAGAAATTGATTGGAAAGTAATTAACAGATATTACATTTTTTTGTTAGGAAAAATTTTTCACAAAATTTAAATCCTAACAGGTTTTGAAGGAATTTTTCTTTTCTTCATTACACAATTAAAAGTTTGAAAAAGAAGAAACAATGGTATAAGAAAATATTAATGGAAGAAGTAATGATGAAAGTATTCGTAATTATTTGCTATTATTTTGATGTTAATTACTATTAATATAATTTTAAGAAAATTTCGATCTAAAACTATTGGAGAAAGTTTTTTTTTCTTAAATAATTTAATTAATAATTAAGGAAAAAAATTACTGAATTCAATAATAATTAAAGTTTTGTTATTTCTTTCCACCCAAATTTAAATTATCATAAAAGGGATATTGATTGATTTCAATAGTAAATAATATTAGTAAAGAAGAAATTAAAGTTAACACGGGAAAATTGAGAAAATATTTGTATTGTTTGGATGATTCATTTCATTGATTTCTCCCATAAAAAGAATAGTAAACGACAATTTCAAATTTTATTTTCTGAGATAATTAGAGAAAAAGAGAAAAAAATTCGATCGTAAGTTTTTAAAGCAAAAAAAATTTAAGCTATTTATTATGTATAATACAATACCTTAATTATAATTATACTTATTAATTATATAATATAATTAAAGAAAAAAATAATAAAAGTTGAAAATTTTAAAAGTTGAAAATTTTTTATGAATTCTTAATGATCTTTTCTTTTTGAAAATATTAAAAGAAGCATATTACTTAGTTATGCAAAGGTAAATGAAGAACAATGCCGCTAACTCTATTATCTTTCTCCTCTTTGCATTAACAACAATTTTAGCATAATTTGAAAAATTTCAAAGGATAAAATATAGTTAAATTTAATAAGTATTAAAAAACAGTTATACAATTTTAGCATAACATAACATAAACAAACTATCATTATCATTTTAATCGAGAGATTTGGGATGAAGAAATAAGAATTATAGTAAATATTCATCCATGTTTAAAACGATCAATAATAAAAATTAAATAATAATTTTTGATATCACCATTACTACTAATTACGAAATATTCTTTTCAAATTACAACAGCAAAATGGTAAAAAATTTAATTGGCAAGAAATATTCATATATGGCAAAATTCAACTTTTTCTTAGACTATTTGAACATTTATCGAAATTTGTTTGTTTGATTTATGGAAATAATTTAGTGATAAAAAAAGATATAACAATTTAATGGTAAGATTGAAATGAAAGAAAAGATGAATGGAATGGCAATAACGAACAAAATACGATTTAATCAATGAAAACATGGTAATATCATTTAAGGACGTTTCATTCAATTACCTGCAAATTATTAATTAAAAAATCAATTCATTGAAGCATTTCAAAATTTCATCAAACTTCAAAATTAAAACAACAAAAAAAAAGATTGATTATATTGAACGATGGAAATTTCATTTAATTTCATTTAAAAACTTTTAATTAAACAACTGTAAGCAAATTTTATAGATGAATGGCAAAAATTATAAAAGAACTTATCTAATTATTTTCGAAGAATTATATTAAATCTCTTTGATGATAATCGTTGAGTGATAATAATATTATGAAATGAAATCAATGTTAACAACGTTTGAAAACTGTATTAAAAAATTTGTTGAAAATTTCCTAATTTCATATGGAACATTTCGTTTTATGAATAGATTCCAACATACTTCATGAAAATAGCATAAATAATTCAAATGAATCTTTATTAGAAACTAAAGAAAAAGAATTGAAGGGAAGAGTAATTGAATAATAATAGTTAACTGAATAACTAGAAATGAAATTTTTGATTTTCAACTTTTTATGCTATGAAATAAAACTGGCAATCATTTATGTTATAAATTAAATGCAACTTAATGCAAATAAATTTAACAGCCATAACTCTGACATTTTGAAATCATTTTTCTCATTTGTGAGGATGAAATGAACCAACTTATTCAGTACCTAATTCCGTTTTTTAATTATGTGCATAAGAGTGGCACCCATTCTCAAGCCGTGTGATGGAATATTGCAAACAGGTGTTTCGACATTGTTCGGAAACCATTCCACGAAATACGATGAATTCTCCTGTACATTGAACATCTTAGTACAAACTTGTCCAATAAAAATGTATGCAATTAAACTTAAAAAAAGTTATTCAACACATTTTCTAATTGTTGTTTGCGCGATTATCTCATAGCTTTCAACAATATTAATTTTTTATAAGTAGTTTCTATTGATAATCAATCATCCTGAAGTACTGCTTCTTTTCATAGGCCTCTTCATCTGTTGTGCCCATAATTTTCGGTCGCTTTTTGGAATGCTTTTTAGAACAAATTCCACCACATATGCAATCGATACGTTATTCCGAACGAACCGTAAATTTAACGAAATATTTCAAATCAGATACCAACCAAGCAAACAACCTCCCCCAATTGCAGTCCTCAGTTTTCATGATGTTACACGGCCGTCTGTTATATCTTAACGACTCACTTAACAACACGTTCGCCATCCTTCCTATCTTTTATCTGGCCAAAAAACCGCAGCCATGACATTTCATAACAGAAGCAACGTAGAGGATCATCACTTATCGTCGTATGAACTTACTCTATCTTGTGTTTTTTGAGGAAAGTTACCGAGATACTTTCAGGAGGTGGTAATATTATGTGAACAAGATTCGGAAAAATGGCTGAAAATTATTCAAGAGAGTTAAAAAGATCGGAATTAGGTACTGAATGAATTGGTACATTTCATTCTTTCCATATTAGACGAAAATAATTTCAAAATATCAGAGTTACAGATGAATTTATTTGATTAAATTGCATTTAATTTATAACATAGATGATCACATTTCATTTCACAGCTTCAAAAATTAAAAATCAAAAATTTCGTTTCCGCTTATCTAATTAATTATTACTATTTCTTACATTTAATTATTCCTTTCTTCAGTTCTTTTAATTTCCAATAATGTTCTTGCATACTTAGTATTTGCATTGATCATGTTGGAATGTTCCAAGTCAATATGTATTTACAAAATTGAAAGTTAGGAAATTTCATTTTGGGCTTATCAAATTGGACATACAGGTCCATACATAATTATTTATTGCATTGTTTAAGGTCTTAATTTGCACGAACATCAAATTCTTGGTATAAAGCAAATCCTTCAATGGTACAGTGAAAAACACGGCGGAATTATTGCCGATGAAATGGGTTTGGGTAAAACATGTCAAGCAATTGGCGCTATCGTTTGCTTAATTAACGGTAACAAGACAGGACGGCATATGGTTATTTGTCCGCTTTCGGTCCTTCAACATTGGCAGAATGAACTGTTCAGGTTAATTTTGTTATTCAACTTATTGTTTTGTATTTATTTATGCAGCTTGATGTACACTTTTCGAAGAGTTACCTGTTGGGACAGAGCAAGGTTTTATATATTTTCATATATCCGTTCCAAAGTCTGCAAGTTTTAGCTAAGTGTTTCTGTGGATTAATTTAATGAGGATAGAATTACTTTAGTGAACAAATGTGACATAGCAATTCAATTAGTGCCACTAAATAACGGAGGATTTCATCATTAATGAAAAGGGTTTTCATTTTAGTTGAAATTTTTTTACATTGAAGTTTGAGCTTAAATAACGAAATTTCCAAAGATTTAAGTAAAAAACAATGTTGAAGACTTATTTTTTCGAAATCCATAAAAAAATGCATATTCTATCAGACTGCGAAGGTTGTATGCAAAATTAATTTAAGCAATGAAGAATTGCAGATTTGGTCTTGGAAAACTTCGAATTGTAACATATATTGGAAATGCTGATGCAAGGAAAGTAATTCGAAAAAAGTTAGAAACTTCCAAAGATTGGAATGTTTTAGTTACAACCTATGAGGTATGCATTAATATTGTACCGCTGGAGATTGAGAAGTGCTCTTTTATACGAATTCTATCATCTGACGAAAATAGCTTTTCTTAGATGATGATAAGTGATGCACACTATTTTCACTGGACATGGTCTTCATTATTTATCGACGAAGCGCATCGTTTAAAGTCAAGCAAATCTCTCCTTCACCAAATTGTTCGCAAGGTTTGAATTTCTTTCTCTTTTAATTATATTTTTAATGAAATCAAGAAATTTCTGATTGAGCAGTTTTTTTAGATGTTTGTGGAATTCATGGTATTGATCACCGGAACACCTATGCAAAATAATATTAATGAACTTTATTCATTACTCTCCTTGATTGATGCGAACAGGTTTTCGCTTCTTGGTGAAGAGGAATTTGTTGCAAAATATCGCAGCACACGTGACAGTAATGAATTTTGAATAAAATATTCTTAAAAAAGTGTTCGGAATTTGGGAGCTTTCCAAATAGCTTATTAAGCGGAGAATTTTCGGTATAGAATATCATTATTTAAAATTTGAAGTTTATAAAATTTCCACTGATATTTCCTTGTTGAATTTTCAATCTTTGTTATAGTTTGGTGTTCCCTTTTCTATCACACCTCCCTATCTGTCATCAACATTAAGAAAAGCAGTCTGTTGTTTCAAATGTACATATCTTATTAAATTTGTTCTTCAAGTAAAGTCTTCTAGCGATAAATATTCAAAATAAGAGGTAAATTCAATTTGTCATTCAAATTTAGCACGAATTTTTGTTGTAGCTGCTGCAGATCTTCAGCATGTACTTTCCAAATATCTTATTCGTCGAACAAAACAGATCTTGCGTATCAATATTCCGGATAGTTCAGAAGTTATAATATACCATGGAATAACTGAAATGCAGAAGAACATGTATCGTGCAATACTGAGCAGAAATTATAGTTCGTTGATTTTTTTATAAGTTCAGTAGTGGAAGTTTAGTGTATTCATCAGTTTCATTTCTTTCTTGGTCACTGACTAAAATTTTGCTATCAGCCAAAATTGTTTAAGCTGTTAACACTTTGCTTACGGCGTTGTTGAAATACAACTGCATATCTCTGATTTGTTTACACAATTATCCTCATTGAAATTCGTCTTTCATCTCAGTGCATGTGATCAAGAAAATCAAGAAAAATATAAATTTAGAAGATTTATTAATTTGCCAGATTTTGCTTCAAATTCTTATGTTAACAGAAGGTGAATGTTAGGTTTTTGATCGAAAGTGTATAAATTGGTATAATATTTCGTTTTAAGAATTCTTTGAAAATATGGATGATAACAAGACTCAGCAAACTGGCAACAGAATGTCATTACTTAATGTGTTGATGCAACTACGGAAATGTGTCGCGCATCCTTATCTTTTCGATGGTGATTTTTATTTTTTAATCAAGTGGTAACGAATTCAGTGATCTATCAAAAAAATACGAATTAATAAAGTTCTTTATGATTCATCTACAAAATTTTCTTTAATCTGTTCGAAAATAAGTTTGTCAGCCCTGCATAATTGATGTAGTTTATCTTGTAGATAATACTTTTCCCTCTGATATGTTTTTAGAACACAGATCATCGATTGCAAATGGCTCATTTTTCAGGTGTAGAATCGGAACCGTTCAAGGAAGGTGATCATTTGTTTGAAGTAAGCGGGAAATTCCTTCTGCTGGATCGATTGCTCACATTTTTGTCAGCAAAAGATCATCGTGTACTTATTTTTTCCCAAATGACTCGTGTGCTTGATATTGTCCAGGATTACTTGGTTTATAAAGGTAATGTGGATTTTTGTAATCAGCGAACGGGTTTAGATTAAGAGTTCTGAAGGACAAATTTGATATAAGGAATTAAGAACGAGCAATAAATCCTTATAAGTCCATTTTTGTTTGCAAAAAATTTCATTGCAGTATTTATGAATCGTTTAATGAATTTCATCGCATGCAGTTCCCAAAAAAATTTCTTTATTCTTTTTTTTTTGATAGGGTACAATTATCGACGTTTGGACGGAAGTGTACGAGCTGAAGAGCGGTTCGCTGCAGTAAATCGCTTTCAGGCAAATTCAGATATATTCTGTTTTCTGTTATCAACTCGAGCTGGAGGCCTTGGATTAAATTTAACCGCTGGTGACACAGTGATTTTTCTTGATTCGGATTTCAATCCACAAAATGACATCCAAGCTGCAGCAAGGTGTCACCGAATTGGACAAACGAAGTTTGCTTTTGAGATTCCAAATTCCAAAACTCATCCTATTTTTGAACATGAACATTGACTTTGATTGAATATATCTTAATTAGAAATCGATTCTTTTTTTGTCATTTTTTTCACTGCACTTGTTTTTTGCTTTTTGATTAGTTTACTAGAAGTATCTCAGTCTCTTATCATAAAAGAGTCCTTTCCTTAGTTTTATTCAAAATTACATTTCTGATTCACTTTCAAGGCCTGTGAAAATTATACGTTTGATTTCGCGTTACACGGTGGAAGATATGATACAGTGTCGTGCAGCTCGGAAACTTCAAATGACTCGAGAGATTTTAGAGGAAAATGATGCTAGTAAGTTGGTTTCTCTGTAAAGTTTAATTTCTGGTACAGCAAACCATGATGAAAATATAAAATGTTTTAAACGTTTTAAGCTTTAGATTGAATTGGTGAACTCTTGTTCAGGAAAAGAATTAACATTTGCGGAAATTTCCGATTTGATGATAAAAGGCTTGAATCGGTTAAATAACGACAAAATTGAAGAACTAAATATGGAAGAAATTGAAAAATTGGTCGGTAAAACCGATGAAAATGGTCACTGGGTTCATGATGAAGAAAAACAAGTTATGGTTAGTATTGTATAGAAAAAAAATAGTGAAAGATAAAGAATTTGCAACAGAAGTCGTGGTATACAGCGTCTCTTATAAATTAGAAGTATTACTATGGAATTGTTACATAATGTTAGTTTATTTTGGTTTATAAGGATGGCTCCCATACAGGCATTATAACATATGATCATTTAATCGTGTATGGGTTAAGTNCGTGGTATACAGCGTCTCTTATAAATTAGAAGTATTACTATGGAATTGTTACATAATGTTAGTTTATTTTGGTTTATAAGGATGGCTCCCATACAGGCATTATAACATATGATCATTTAATCGTGTATGGGTTAAGTTTCTGAAAACAAGATTTTCGAAAAATTCAATTTAATTCATTTTCGCGGAAACCATTTTAATTTGCATAAAAATTTATGCTTTAATTTTGTTTTTTCGAGGCAAGAACTATATAATGCGAGCAGCAAAAATTTAGAGATCAACTGAATTAAGGCGTATCTCATTTATTTGAAAAGGATATATCATGCATATGAGTGCGTAGGCTTACAGAGCTGGAAAAACGACGGTTTTCATGCAGAAACTTCCAAAGCTTTAAAAACTGATTCCAGAATTCTAAACCAAAATCTAAGAAGGGAGAGAGTGATATACCGGAAAATATTTACATCTTCGAAGGACATGATTATAAGCAAGATGTTGCAATTCTGCAGGATATTTTAAGTGGATCTAAAGCCGTGGAACCAGTTGGAGATATATTGATTAAGCAGAGTAAGTATCTGAAAATTTTTCAAATTTTTAGCACAATTAAACTTCCGATAACTTCAGGTTGACAAATCATTGTTACAATTCTTCGTATCTCCATTTTTTTTTGCATGTTTTATTCGTTTCCTTGTTTTTTAGTTCTATTTACTGAGCAGTTCTAACTCTAAGTAGACGAAATGTTATGTAAAAAGGAAAAAAGTAGAAATTAAAAAGTAGAAAGTAGATATTAAAAAGTAGAAACGTAATGGAAGTGTTATGTTACATTTATGGCTCTTATTTTCGAAACTATATAATAATTTAGGAAATTACTATTTAATTTTACATGAGGCTTTGAACCTGCTTAATAAAAAGTAAGTTGTAGTGAATGATTAGATAGTTGATCTTTTGAGGTTCGTTTGAACGCTTACTAACAACCATTAACAATGGTCACTGTCAATGTATTGAGTATCTAAACATTCTAAATGAATAATTTATTTGTTATGCTTGCTGCATAAATAGATGTTGTATTTTGTACAAATTTTTTTGATGAATCAATATCGGTTCAACGAGTAGGAGTTTTGTATACTTTTTATGATACTTTTTAACAAGTCATTTGTTAGCCGTACCAGTCAAAAGGCGAACACATAGACCAATATCGAAAGAAGAAATGGAGAAAAGAATCAAAAAACGAAAAGAAACATTAGAGCGGAAGAAAAGGTTAAGGGAAGAGAAAATTGAAAGGAAAAGGAAGAAACGAGATACGAGAAATGCCACGAAATGGGTTGAAAATAGTAAGTCTTCAGCAGCTTATGTTTTTTTGGAAGTTTTTGTAATGTAATAACTCATATTCATTACTACTAAAGATTGGAATAATTTTGGATGGCATACAATCTCTAGCTGCATCGTATTCAAAAATAATCTGCATGAAAAGTGGCTCATTTCATTTCGGTTAATATTTTATAGTCACAAAATCACTTGTGAAAATTTATTGCCTTAGGATTTAGATTACAAAACTGGTTCTTTGCCTTTTCGAGAATTACATGAAGTTCATCATGGCGACAATAGCACAGATTTTGGACCTCATTTCGTCTATGGCAGTGTTACGGACACACTAAAAATTTCCAGTGACAATTCAGATTGTGCGCTTATCGTACATGTTGTGGATAATAGTGGTAGAATGCTTAATTATTTTTTTTGTCGTAATTTAAACTCGGGTTTTTAGATTAGTTTAAATAGTTTTCGTTGTTTATACTTTTTAATCATTTATTACCTTGATTTTTAGGTTTGTTTGGTCGTGGAGGTGTTTTTGATGCTCTTAGGAGAAAGAGTCAGCAAATAGTAGACACGTACGAGTTAGCAGGCAAAATGGGTGATTTGCATCTTGGTGATGCACATCTTATTGAAGATATTGCTGATGAGTTGCCCACAACTCTTCTCAAACAAGGTTTGTACTCTTTGTTCACTTACTACTCGTACTCATCTTTGATTTTAAACAGTAAATATATGAATGATACGGATGAATAAGAAACAGCCGTTCACTTTTCATCCTTATTTTATTTGTTTTTTCCTTTTAATGGTGCATCTTCTCGCAAAGAGAGTCTCACTGTTAACGGTAACAAATATTTCGTTAATTTGTTATTAGTTAACATCAAATTTCTTTTGTAGTTAATTGCTTTTCATTAGTTTTCATTAACGAGATCACTTCTTTTGGAGCTGCTGTTTAAAAATTGTATAATTAGATGGTATTGCGCTAGATCTTTAAAAAATGGAATAAATAATTGGTTCGTAGTTTATTGCATTTAAAAATCTTTTTCTCTGTAAGCAATGGCTCTTATTGATTAGAGTTTGGGTTTTTCTTTTTTTGATAGTTAAGTGGTTATCAGGGATTTCATTAATTTACTAGAGCTTTTTAAATTTTGCCGCAATTTACTTAATATTTACTTTTTCAGATGAAGAATTGAAGGATAATAACGATATTGATGAAGCTGAGCAATCGACATCTGAAACTTTTCCTTCCAGGAGAAAGGTTTCTGTGGTACTGTTAGTAGCACAAAATTGCCATAGAAGAAGTATGCTGTGATAGATTTAACATTTTCGCTCAGTTTAATATTTTTGGGAATCTCAAGTTCTCAGTTTTTACTGAAATTTCTTAAAACTTCTTATTCATCTATGAAGTTTTGGAAGATATGACTGCCTTTGTTTACTGCTGAAATATGTTAACTCTTTCTTCTTTCCTACCAATACTTTTGAACTAATGAAAATGCTTCACGACATCTTATAGATATAATTAACCAAGATATTTTGGCAAAATGTCTCAAAAAGCTCGCATTTTATGCGGTAAACTCAAGCGTCTCAAGTGTTCATATGCCACGAATTGGTTATGATAAGCGAAATATTAGTTGGTATGCAGTCGAGCGGCTTATCAATCGCATTCTTGTTTCTAAGGGCATTCACACTTACATCTACTATTTTAACAGAAGAACGAACAATGCAATCAGCAGCACCAATTCTATTAAGTTTTTGAAAATTTTTCTATGTTTCGTGAGTTTCAAATTTAAAACTCGTTGTTGTGGATTGACATTTGCTTGAGAGAATTGACCCAAATTATGATTTACCTTAACTGAATAGATTTCATTTTTTTATTTGATTTTAAACGTTTCTGTGAGTACAAAATGATATACTTTGCAGTATTATGAGGAGACAACAAGAATGTTGGAATAAGAGCCAATTAATATCTTAATATTGAATATCAATTAATATTGAAGGTGAACTGATTCAGAGCAAGTATTTTGACATTAATCATGAGAAGAAATTCAGGAATAAAAATCACTTTGCAGACAGAAACATAAACAAACGCCCAGATAACACACAGAAATTTACACCGCAAAAAAAAAGGCGGAATGAACGATGAAGCTGGAAGCGATTTTGAAGTAAGCAGACCATTTCAATCTTTTTTATTATCAGCTGTTCACTTTCTGACCAATTTCTCAATTTAATCGAAAAAATTTTTATATTTTCCTTCAATTTCGGAAGTATCATAAGTCGACATAGACTTTGTTCTATGTCGACTTATGATACTTAAGACTTAAATTCATGTTTACATGTTACTCTCAGAAGTGATTTCCCCAAAGTTGGCTTTCTGCTTTAAGAATCATGGATCTATTTCTTGATGATTTTCAGGAGAAGAAAGCGGAAAATATGGAACAAGAAAAAAAGAAAAAGATTGCAGATTAAAGTAGCCAGAGAAAGAGGGAAAGTCTTAAATAACATGAGCGTAATTTCATGAACACAGTTTAAATTTATTGAATTTCATGAGCTCAGTTTAAATTTATTACAATAATACTAACAAAGTTTACTTTATTGCTTAATTGATTTTCCTTAATTTTTCAAAGTTTCATGAAATTGGAATTGATGATAAGTTTTGCAGAGAATCAAATTCTCGGTCTAAAACTTGATGTTCAATATACTTAAATTCTTTTACTACAATTTTGTATAATCATTGAAATGCGAAGAAGCTCGAAATGATGTTTGTTGTTATTTCGAATATTTGTTAAATTACAATATTTCATATCGAATATATTATTGGAAATAAAAATTTGATCAACAGCCCAAACTAAGTGATTCAATTTGCATTAATCAATAACAGCAGGAGATAATAATAATTCTTATTGGATGGATTATAAGTTCAACCTTCGCTATCACTGATTATCAATTAGTAGATAATGACTATTCAATTATTTTGTATAGTTAAATATCACTAAATAACATCTATTAAATGCGCTAATTTTAGATCACAAAGCTATAGTTAAATTTGTCTCTTTCGATCATAAATATAAGAAATTATCTAAATTTCATGCTTAATTCTTTAGTTTAAACACAGTTCAACTTGTATTTCGTATTATGTCATTGAAAAACTTAACTAAAAACTAATCATCGTGATATGATTGTAAATAACAATTATTGTCGATTTCCATTTATACATTAATTATTTCTTCACCAAACCTTACAACTTCCGATTATACTTATTGAAATTTTTTATATTATGTTTTAATATAATATGAATATAATAGTATTTATTTGAATCCTATAAGAAAAATAATTACTAAAATTTGTCGAAATTTTTTTGGAGATTTTTGTATGGAAGATTTTAGTAGTCAATTTTTGATTCTAGGTAATGTCAGAAATGTTATATGATTTCATAATATAAAAATATTCACATAATTAAAATATCCTTATATTGTTGAAATTTATATTATAAAAGTCGTTTGTATCAAAATATTCTTATTGAAATTGCAAGATATGCTTGTTTATTTTTCAATTGTAATGATTCTAAAGAATATCGTCAATTGTTATCAAATTTATCAGATGTTTTTTTAATCATCAAATGAATAATTATCTACTTTGCTATAAACGCCGAGCTCACCAAATACCATCTAACTCAAAAAAAGTATTCAGTGTAATTTACTGAAATACCGTCAATGAGTGTTTAGTGTGATTTACTGTTCTAAAAGGAAGCAATGTTGTAACTAACATTTCTCTGAACCACTACCTCAGCAAGCAATTCCAAATTATTCTCCCACATCAGCGATAAAGAAGGACGATCACTACTTGATCGTGTTCATTTCATATTCTTGATAATTTCTGATAATTGTATTATAACGTGAAGAAGGAATAAAACTCTCAATCAAATATTAAAATTTCACTAAAATTCGATTATGTCACATAAAATTTTCTATCAAAAAGAATTCCTCCAAAAAAAGTAACAGTAAATAATCTTTTTTTCCAAGTTTTAAGCTTAAATATCATGAAAAATTTAGATTTTGAAGATATCCTCAACAAACTTTCAATTAATTAAAAACTAATAATGCCTTAATGAATTCATTCTATTCACAAATCTTTCGTATATATCATATTAAATAAAGAATGTTAATATGTCAAAAAATTTTTTCCTTTGGAAATGCACTTCCTTCATTCCTATGTTATTTGAATATATATATATATATATATTTGAGGAATGTAATGCAGAATAAAATAATGAAAATTTATCTGACAGTAAACTTTGATGCTTATGGTAAATGTGAAAGACTGGTAAGATATGGAACGATCAATTATTTCTGAATAAGAAAAAGCATATTTTTTATAGTAATATACATCGCCAAAAATAGCAAGAAAGGAAGTACTGCAGAAGAGATTTTTCCTTTTCTTCTTTATGTAATTATGAATATCAATACTATTAGAATTAACAAAATTTTTCATAAGGTAAGAACTTAAGATAAATAAGGAAGCAAATGTTCGAAAGAGAAATGATTTAAAAATAATAGAGTAACGTATCTGTCCATTATTTTCCATCTTAATTACTTTTTTAACTTGTTTAATTATTCTATCAATCTTTCCATCGCATAGTGAGGATAATCGGATGGAATCAATTACAATCCCGTTCACCTCTTTCTAAATTTCAGCAATAGATGAATGGATTTAACAGTTTCGCATATTTGCTTCCATTTGTTATGATTTCTATGAATTCGAAGTTCTGCTTGATGGGAGATTGTTAATTAGTAAGAAGTTATAGGGAGGGTGGAAGCTTGTCTACTTCTTTATGTCATTTATAGTTATTAGTCGATTGGACTTGCTACTCTTGTCACTCTTCCTTTCCCTACAGCCGTGCTTTTTTCTTTTTCTTTTCCTTTTCTCTTTCTTTTTTAATATTTGCAAAACGAAGTTATATAAAAATATTTCTAGCACGTCTATTCTTCCTAACTCACTGAGTCGCAGCGACATCTCTTATCTCTTACTATTCTTGTTTCTATTATCATACTCTCTGATAGTGCTTGCACAATTTTGATTTTTGAACTTTTCTCTATCTATCAAATTGTCAAATACTTTGAATTTGTTGACTCTCCATGAAAGGCAGCTGGAATGGCAAGAGTGATTATTCATTGTGATAGTGATATGATTTTTGATTTCATATGAAAAAAAGATAGTAGGAATATGCTCAGCAGTTTGATTGATTGATCGATTGATAGATTGAACTTTACTAATTACTAAACGGAATGCGAAAGGCTTTATTTAGCCATTCATTTGTATCGTTAGTGAATAACCAGCCTACTTATTGTAAAGATATGATGTTATGATAGACATTTTAAATTTTTTAGTAATCTTGTTATTCTGTTAAAACAGAGAATATGGAAGTATCTTCAGTTTAGTTCCCGTTCTAGAAATGAATTATTTCTCTTCTTTCCTCTGTTCCTAATTTTTCGAAATAGGTGTAACTTTTTTTCAAAAATTTCTGGTATGTGAATTTATCAGCAAGTCATTTGCAGATTCTATAGTATTTATTTTCTTTCTTCTGTCCAACTGGGTCAACGAAAAATGAGTAATGATACGAAATATTTTGTTCGTTTACGGATCGGGCATAAGTAAGTTTGTCATTCTTATGAACGCTATGGATTCTTGCTAAGTTTTTGGAAAGTTAAGTTTCAAAAAATAAAAAAAATGAATAAGGATCAGAACTACCGATAACATTATTTTAATCATTAGGATTTGAATGTCCCATAACTATCTAATTCTCATTACACTGGAAAATATAAGTGTTTTTTCCGAAAAACTCTTCAAAGAGATAATCAGATTATCTCCCTTTAGTGACATGACTTGTCTTTAAGTGCAAATTTTTGGGATAGTGACCATTTTGTATGTGCTAGTAAAAAGACTTTCCAATGAGTTGAAAGTTTTGAGATGTGAAATGAAATACCTCAAATGACTCGGTCATGCACTTAACGATTTTCGGTTAGTATTTCATCTGTAAAGGTTGGTTACCCAGAAATTCCTTTTCTTTTACTTTCGCTTTTGGGTTGAGCTGTACAATTCTCATCTACAGTTATCACTTATAAACACTCCTCTGAAGAGTGAGTTTGAATAATTGAGACAACTGCGTATCTTATATCTGTTTGGTCCATTGCTTGAGATTCTTTCCTAATTTCCTCACCAAAAATGTCTTCAGATCCGAAATGCTTGATCGTCCGACGTCGACTGGCATGACTCATCGGTGGACAGTATTTGTACACTCTTTCAGTGGGATGCCATTTACGGACCGCAGTTTTATTTCAAAGGTTGAATTTTGTTTATGTATGAAAATTTTTCATAAAGGCGAAAAAATAGTTTTTTAACCTCTGCACCGAGAGTCCATATTTTAATCTACAAAAAAAAATTTGTTGCGAACCATTAAAAATTCAAAAATTCCTAAACATTTTCTAATTATTATCATGGAGTTTGTTAATTATGTCATATGGAATTCAAATATCTGGTGATTGTTAGTTAAAAATGCCATCAAAATTCAAAATAATGTTTTTTTTTTTACATGAAAGCTTTTTAAATAGTCAGTATTTGTAGGTTGTGTTTGAACTACATCCTGATTTTTCATCTCCACGACGAGTTGTAAAAGAACCGCCTTTTGAAGTGAACGAACTAGGTTATGGCGGATTTTCAATTCCAATTCATATCACTTTCACAGGCGCAAGCAAAGTCTACAAGCTAACATATGATATGAATCTTGTATTAGGTATGCGTAATTTACCGGTTTCAGTCTCTTTATCGAAAAATTATATGGAACTTTTGGACAATTAGATTATTTCATTTTTAATAACTATATCAGTTTGAATTCTGAGTAGAAGTCTCCAAAAAGTACTACTTTACAGAGAAATATAACGAACAATTCATTATGCAGACTATAGAAATGAAGCAGCCATCGTCATCGTTTCGAGAACTGATTTTGAAATATGGTGGGGCTAAGAAAGATTCCGATAGGCGAAAGGAAAAGCATCGATTACGAAATGGAACAACAAGTTCCTCAGAGGAACCGGCTCCAAAAAGGGAAAAAGAGAAAGAAAAGGACCGCTCTGGAAGTAATCCACCTTTAAGTAAATTAAAAATTCCTCGCGCTCTTGTTGATGGCGAAAAAAAACAAAAGAATTCTAGAGTGAGTATTTTGATTTGATATTGTTAAAGTTTGATTCGTATAATCATTGTTGCAACTCACCTTGCTTTTTTGGGGTTTGGTAAAGTTGTAGAACATCATGTTTTTATTACGAATAGACTGACCATAACAGTAACAGGATGAATTTTGAAGAATTTTACTTAAGCGAAACATATTTGGTTTTTGTTTATTTTTAAAACCGCTTTGAATTAATTTTTACTGGGTATTTTCTTCGGATTTTGCACACGCATAATATCATAAATACGTTTAATTATTGTCAACCTTGATAAGCCATTATATGAGATGATTATTCTTTTAGTCCGCTTCATCTGAAAATGTCGCAAATATTTCGAAATCAGTGGTTTTCGCAGAAATCAAAGTACCACCGAATAATGAATCAAAAATAACTGTCCTATCCGAAGTGAAACAAATAGAGACGATAAGCTCGGAGCCATCAACATCGACTGAATCAAATTGTTCGGATTCGGAAACTTCAAAAATCACAATGTTAAGTGCGGAAAGCACCGTTTCATTGACTCCAACGCTTGAAAGCGATTGCATGGTATTATTTTTATATATAAAAATTTATTGTGAAATAAATTGCAACTGCTCTGCCGGAAGTTTTCCTTTTGCCTTAGTAGCTCTAGTGATATTTTCTATTATTGAAAGAGCTATTTTATAGCTGTATAATTTGTGATGACAAAATTATTGATCTGTTTCGTTGTGAGCGGCATTGACTGCTTTTTACGAATAGTGACAAAGATTGGTACCTTTCTATAACGGGTGGTAACAAAGATATTTACGGAACAGTTGTTTTTCAAAAATCAACCCTTACTGGTTACTGCCCACGCTTTTTCGAATTTTTAAATATTCTGAAGCTTTTACAGGCCTCTGCTATGTATAGGAAATACATAAGATCGTTAATAAATTACAGTTATAAAAAGAAAGCTAAGAATGAATATCTGTGAAAACTTCAGCAAATTACAGAAATCAAAATGTACAATGTATATTTAATATTTGATTAAGTAAAAAATGTATATTTAAAATGTATATTTAATATTTGATTAAACCCAATATTTTTAGATCGAAAAGCAATATGGTTTCGAATTCCTAGTTCGGTTGCAGAAGAAGCTGATGACATTGAAAGATCCAGATAAAATGTTAGCAGTTGTAAATACCCTGTTAACGCCCACATCATCCAGTCCCAGTTTGCCATCGGGTTTATTGTTTACCGACAACAATCTGTTATCATTCGACATTTGCAAGCTGAATTCGTCACTCATTGATAAATTAGGTGAAATTTGTTTTGGAAATACCGCCTAAATATATGCCTCAGCTGGATTTTGAAAAAAATTTTGGAGCTCTTTAGATCTAAAGTTGAATTGGATTTAATGATAGCAGAATACTTTTTCGGCGAATTCCATTGCATGATTTCTTTCACATAGGGTTCTTGAGCCGTTTCTTCATCTTTACAATTTATTCTTATAACTTTTACATGGTGGTTTTTTGATGGCGTTATTTTCTTTTATAATTTTTGCTTGTTTCCATATATATTATCTTCAACATCTTATTTCCTTTTTTAACGTACGTTTGTACAATATTTTACTAAATAAGGGTTTGTTACAGTTTTGTGAAGTTTTATGTATTGGTATTATTTATCATATCATTCTAACTAGTTTTTTTCTTCCTCTGTTTGCATATTCACTTCCCCTTACTGTAATTTTAATTCTAATTTCCCAATTAAGTTCCAGCTAGTTATTCCTGACTCATCTAGTCAGTGAATCTTCATATCGTGCAATTATGCACCGGGCACGGCGAGTATCGTCCTTATTCGTTGAATCCAAATCAGTGGCGATCCGTGAAGTAACAGATTTGTTGTACTTTGTTTTTTGAAGAAAAAAGTATTTGCTTATTGAAGTATACTATTTCAAGCTATTGTGATTTCCACTGAACTTTTTACAAGCGGTGTAATGAGAATATGGGCTTTTTATTTTGATAATAATTTAGCAACAATAGGAATTTAATTTTTGGATTTTTCGAATTCGTCTGTTGTGCTAGTTTTTACCAAGTAAAAAGAGAAAAAATAGAGTACTTTTATCGCATTTGTTAGATATGCACCATTGCCATATTTTTATGACATTTTCACTATATGTACATAATGTATACTTATAATGAAATATGATATTTTTGTATCTACCGATTATCTTTGTCTTTTATTGATTGCTTTCCTGTAAGCATGCTCCAAAGATATGTAATCTTCTCAGTAATGTTAAAAATCGAATTTAATTTGAAAATAAAATTTCGTGGTTTGAAATCTGTTTGGATCATAGCTTCTGTTAAGTAAATAGCAGTTAAAATAAAGGAAAGTTTAAGGTAAGAAAGAGCGGAATAAAATTGATGACGAAATTACTGAAAGTGTGTTTTTTATCAAGTTGTCCTCGTCTCGTTTCAAATTTCATTGAGTTAAATAAATTTACAGTGAAATCCAATTATTCAACTAATTAATTTAAATTTGTTTTAGTTAAAGTCTACGAATTTTCATCACACAACAGATGCGATACTCATTTAACAACCTCTCCATAGATCTGTTCGATCTTGGTATGCTACGCCAAGTAGAATTATTCCTTTAATTAGGGAATTGCTACATCAGAAGCAAAAATATCGGCTGATTTGTTGTGACTGAAATTGCTTCAATCTACACAAAGCCTTATTTTATTGGTCCGAAATATTGTTTGAAATGGGATTAGAATTCGTATATTTTGCTGTTACTCGCTATCATTAACAGTTTCCTATCAGTGATATCAAAACTGATGTGATCAATTTCATTAAACTATGTTTTTCATTTGTATATCCTCAGTGTGATATTAATTTGAAAAATAATAAAAGTTTTTTTTCTCAGAATTGATACACATTTTTAGATTTCAAAGAATCGATGTCCATTAGCAAACTTGTCAAAATCTAGGTAATTGAAGTTATGTGATAGCGTTAGGCTTGAGAAATTCAAAGTCATAAAATGCTCAAAAAGAAAGATTTTAAGCTTGAAGGCATAGGTGAACCTTTTTCTGTTTGAGAAGTAGTAAACAAAATGTTTGTTTAAATCGTCCAGTGAATATTTGTTTGATTGGGATATTGAAATCGTCCAATGATTTTTTGTTCATTGCAATCTCACATAACTTCAAACACATAACCTTTTAACGGAAAAAAACTTTTTGAGGATAAGGTATCGCATAGAAAGAAATTGGTTGATGAAAACAAGCGAATCTTCGCAATTATATATATATATATATATATACATACTTCAGGGCATGCGTAAATAAGTGCTCAGACACTTATGCTCTAAGGCCAAATAATGCAAGTGGTAGACATAGTCTGGGACAATTCTTCTCAAACCGGAACATTCGCTTGGCCATATTCCACTTCATCAAGTAATGCATATTTTTTTTCGATGTCTTTTATTGATTCTGTCATCATTGTTAATGTATAGGTAACGAAATGAATAAATCTAAGAGAAAGTTTATAAATTAAATTTTATCTCTTTTATTTTACTTTTTTCATTAAGGCTGGAGTAGTAATAATAAAAGTAGTGGAATTATTGAACCATATATAATGAACTGATGGATTGAAATAATTTATACTTTATAAACGAATAAATTTATTGATTAGTTTAATTAAAATTTATACCATCAAATATAATTGTCACCATAGCTTGATCCTTAAAACAATTCCCTTTTATTAGAATATTTTAATTAAATGCATTTTAGTAACAATGATAAGAAATTATTTAATGTTATTATAATAATATTATTATTAATTATAATTATTGTTACTTAAGATAGGACGTTATTAAGTTAATGTAATATATATTAAGATATTGTTGTAGTTTTGATTTATTTTACCAAATGAAGAATATTTCACCTTCATATCTAATTATTTGCTTCACTTACCTTGCCTACCATTTTAATTCAAATCAACTAAAATTAAATTAATGTAAAAATAAAATTACATCGAATTACTTTCTTTGCTGTTACATTTGTTAAGTATTATTGTTAAATTTTCTATGTTTTAATCTCGATCACATGACAAAAAATAGTTCACTTACATCGTTGATAATTTCCTTTATTTCATGCTCTTTTACTATTCGTACCGATCTGCTGTATCGATCTACTGCACCGATTTAATTTCAATTTTAGATATTCAATTTGAAATAATTGAATATAGGTTTTAGGAAATTTTTAATTTACCTTTTTTAATTTTTAATTTAATTTTAATTTTTAATTTAATTTTTTTAATTTTAATCTCATTGTTTTATAGTTGTACAATATAATTTATTATATCAAACAAAAGCAAATCCTAAATCAATGAAAGATTTATAGGATTTTGTCTTTTATTTTATTCTATTCTTTCTTTTAAAAGCTGAATGATTTTCATTTATTCGTATTGTTTAGTATGATTAATTAATTAATTAATTAATGATTTATAGTGTTTCAATTTCAGTATGATTTCGAAAATATTAGCAATTTTTCAGATAAATATATTTGAGTGTAAAAGAAGAAAAGATTATTCTGACTTTCTATATTTTGCTGAAAATTTGCTTTATTTTAATGGCAAAATCAAATGATGATATCATCTCATCACGTTCACAGCATGGTATTCTGGCATCAGCATTAGCTGATTTACAAAAATATGATTTCAATAATAGTCATGGAACAAATACGATTTCGGAATTCAAATCAAAATCAATTTTAATAGATGCTGCAAATAAAGCTACAAAACAGCTAACATCTCAACTTACACCTGTTTGCAATTCTCCTCTATCAACCTATCGTGGTATAATAGGTACAGCTTTACGAAATGAAATTTCAACCACTGAAAATGGTTACATTCCATCACAGTATGAACAATCATTGGCAAATATCGGAACATCATTTAAACTTTTGCCATCTGAAAAGTCTCTCTCAAAAAGGCCTACTTCATTAAATGGCCATAAATCTTTAACAAGTTCATTGGATACCAACAGTTCCACTTTGCAGTCAGCACGATATACCACCGCACAACAAAAAGGAAATAAACGAGGAATGATTAGTAAATGGTTACAAGACATAGCCGAATCAACGCCTGATTTGAGTAGCAGAAAGGAAATTACAGATGCATTGGTTAGTCCACGTACCGGAATACTTGGATTACTTTTAAAGAAGAAAACGAAATTCAGACACGAGAAAACTTATAAATCAGCAAATAGTCTTTTATGTAGTCCTGATCATGCAACCAGTGAAATAAATTCAGTTATTGGTGAATCTCGTATGTCACAAAAAAATCAATTAATATCAAGTTCGAAAAATCGAGAAAGAAGTGATGATAAGCATTTATCATTGGAAGATCTTGATGGTACCTTTATTAATCCATCCTCGAGATCATCTCAAACTATATTCTCAAAAAGATATGGCTCAGAAAAGGATCGCAAAGCGGATTTTATAAAGTTGCCGGCTGAGCATAGCACATCAAAAGAATCAAGAAGTTCATCTGCCTCTACAGATTTATTGATTGATGAAGATGAATATGCGAATAAAAATGTGCCATCTAAGGTATGTTCAAAGTTAAAATTTATAAATCCATAATTATTTTAATCTTAATATTTGAATTAATTAAAAAAATTTTTAATTAGTTCGATGGAAATCATTCAATTATTTAATTAATTTTAGATTATTGAATTTTTCGAAATTTTAGCTTTTATTTCACGCAATGAAACGTGAATGGCTAATTGTGGAAGAAATTTTAAACAATGAGGAAAATCTTGACCTTACCATTATCAATTCAGTAAGTTCCATTTTATAATATTTCCCTTCAAAATGTAAAATATAAATTCATAGTTTTGTTAAATTAACAATAAAAGTTAAAATATATAATACTGTCATTTAATTTGTTAAATTTAAATTATAACTTATAGTTTACTTCCATAAAAAAAACAACGTTCAATTGAAATATTTTTTAAATTTCAATTATAGTTCTTTTTTGCTAATTATATTATAAATTGTTCGAATCATAATATTTCATCTTTATCTTTCATTTCTCAATTTTCTTACCTTTCAAAAATTCCTTTTGCTTAAATTATCTTATCGATAAGTTTACGACGATCTTTCTTTCCTTTCTTTCTTTCTTTGCTATATTATTTTCCTCAAAATAAATGCTTATCTATTCTGATTTCCTGAGAAATTTTGCCATTTGAAATATGTATTTATGTTAAGAAAATGAAATTGATTGATTGATTGATAAAGTATGAATGATAGTGATAATATATTTGGAAATAAGTTTAAATTGTTAAAAAATTTTTGAAATTTCCAAGATTTTAAAGAGTAAAAAGGAACATTTTAAATAATATTCTATGATAGAAGAAATTATTTTAATTAATTATATCACATTCTAATATTCTTATTGTTTATCATTTTAAAAACAAAAAAGAAAAAATATATTTTTGAAGTTTATTAGAAAGAAGAGAGCTTTGAAAGTAAAGAAAAATAATTAGTGGAAATTGAAATTAATAAATGAAACAAAAAAAAAGAATATAATTCCTTTAAAAAGACGAATGCATTCCACTTTTGATTCGAAAAGTTTGAAATATAAAAGATAAATGCACTTTATATACTATAAAATATATTGTTTATACTACTAAAATTATTTACAGCTTGGTTTCACAGCTTTATTATATGCAATCAAAAGTCGTAATATTTCGATTTTCAATAAATTACTCAATCGTGGAGCACCTGTTGATACAATAACAAAAGTTTGTAATTAAATTGAAATTTGTAAAATTTCAAGAATTTTAATATTTTTTAGTGGAAATGATAACAGATTGAAAAAAATTTAAATGTATGAGCGAAAAATATTAATTAATGAAGAAGAAAAGTATTTGAAAATAATTTGAATATTTTAAATTTTAATCATTTATTTATTTTATTTAATTATTTCAGATTTTTCTAATTTATTTGCAATGTTTTATTTTATAGTAGACATTCCCTTTTACATAATCAATCATAAAAGATCTATTTCAGGATGGACGAACGATCGCGCATATTGCAGCATTTTATGCAAATGAGGAAATGATACGACATCTATTGGATAGTAACATTGATTTCAAAGCAGTCGAAACAGTAAGTCGAATTATTATCAAAATTTACAAGTCGAAATCATATGATTGCGTCACGTTACCTGTATTTTATTTATGTTACTTACAGAGATCCAATAAAATTCCTTTGCATTTTGCATGCAATCGTTCATCGAAACTTGGTTGTCGTGTAACGCAAATATTATTGAAACATTTGAGAGAAGGTCATCTTGTAGAAGATTTACATAAATGCTTACCGATACAGTATGCTGTACAGTGTGGTAATATCGATACGGTTAAATTATTATTGGAAATAGATAGGAGTAATCAATTGTTGCATGTAAGGCCTTTTTCTTTTATTTCCTTAAATTTTTGGAAAAGTTTTAAAATAAATTTATGATTTTTTAAAATTTCACAAAAAATTTAACACTTATCAAAATTTCGACAATATTTATATAAAAAAATTTCATATTTCAGTTTTAGAAGAAATTCCTCACATTGATAGTTTTGTTTAAAGGTAGATGAAAATGGTGATTCATTACTACATATTGCATGTCGATCAGGTAACAACGATATGTTGCAACTTCTTACTAGCTATAAGCAAATTGATGTGAATATTGCAAATTCAGCCGGTTGGACGGTACTTCATGAGGCGGCATTGAAAGGAAATATACCTTCGTTGAAGATTCTTCATAAACTTGGAGCCAATGCAAATGTTTTTGATAAGGTTAAATTTATCAAATTTTTTGAAAAAAGTATTATTTCAAGTTTAAGTTTTAAAATTAAGAATATCAAGAATTATGATATTTTTAAATTTCAAAAACTTCAATCATAAATTGTCTGCTATTTAAAGATCTTTTAATTATTATAATTAAAAAAAACTTTTTAAGGAAGATCGAACACCGCTGCATATTGCAGCAGCTGCCGGACATACGAATATTGCTGAAATATTGATTGAGAAATTTGGAGGATCTGTACGTGCTCGTGCACGTGACGGTAATACGTTATTGCATATTGCCGCGTTAAGTGGACATGCTTCAACTGCATTAGCATTCCTAAAACATGGCGTACCACTTTGTATGCCAAATAGACGAGGTATAAATAATTATAACTTACTTTAACTAATATATCGATATATCGATTAATTCATGAAATTATATTCCTTAAGAGTTGAAATAAATTTATTAACTTTTGAATTAAAATATATTTGTATTTTATTTATTCGGGAAAAAATGATAACTTATTTTTAATTATTAACATATTGTTAAAAAGCTATGTGATATTATTATAATATTTGTGAGAGTGCCGAAATATCTAAAAAGAAAATTCTATGTAATTAATTAATTCAGGTGCTTTGGGTTTGCATTCTGCAGCAGCTGCTGGTTTTGTGGATATTGTTCAGCTGTTAATTGCTCGAGGAACAAATGTTGATATTAAAACTAAAGTAATCATTTTACTATTTCTACAAAAATTTGAAACAAAATTTTGCTGAAAACTTTTCAATATTTAATTTTCTTTTGTCTCACTTCAAAATTTACAATAATTAGAATAATAAACTGAATAAAATATAAAATTGTTTCTTTTTACAAATTGTATAAATGGAAGATAAATTGTAACTTAAAATTGTTTAACATTCATTCAACGTTTATCTAATCAATAATTCATTATTATCTAATACAGGACAATTACACAGCATTACACATTGCGGTACAAGCAAGTAAGGCATCAGTTGTTGAAGCATTACTGGGATGTGGCGCAGATGTACATGTTCATGGCGGTTTAATCGATGAGACAGCATTGCATATTGCTGCATCATTAACTACAGAAGATGCAATCGAATGCGCTGTAATGTTATTAAAAAGTGGCGCACAAGTAAATGTTACACGTAATGACGGTGAAACGCCATTACATATTGCTGCACGTAATCCACTTTCCGGAATGATACGTTTACTATTAAGTGAAGGCGCTGATCCAAAAATTTGTTCGAATGTTAGAAAATTTTGATTCTCTAATTACATAAAAATAATTATTATAAATGAATAATGTTAATAAATACTAAAATTAATTAAAATAAATTTTTAAAATTTTTGAAGAATAAAAAAAATGAAAAAAAGAAACTTTTGAAGAATAAAATGTTTTGTGAAAATTTTTGTTAAAATAGTTTTATTGGAAAGGAATGAAAAATTTAGTAAAAGATAATAGTAAAATAATTTGCTATAAAAGTATATTCTTTTTATTAAGGAATTTTTAATTAATAAATTAATAGATTTAATTAATGATTATATTGTGGTATTACAGAATAGTGAAACTGTTTTGCATGTAGCAGCGAAGAGTTGTAATAGTGAAACAGTGACACTTATCTTAGAACATCTTTCTCAGCAAATGTCACCTGAGGAAATCAAAGAATTTGTTAATGCTCGAACTGCTCAGGTAATTTATACTATTAGAAAGTTATTTGTTATTTTTCATCTTTAATTTCACTGGAATATGTCAAGTTTTAATTTCAATACATTTTTATTTTGAATATATTTCAAAAAGCAAAAAATAAATTTTAGGATGGTTTAACAGCAGTACATTATGCTGCTCAGATTACTTCAGATCAAATACATTTTCCGGGTGAAAATGCAAAATTGATCAAAACTCTTATTGAATACAACGGTCAACCGGAACTACAAACATATAAGGTGAAAATTTTCAAATGAAAATTGTTTTAGAAAGAATTACCGAGTTTTTTAATTTATACTTTTTTGTTAAACAACAAACAAAACCATTATATAATTTAAAAAATCTAAATTTTTAAATTTAAACAATTTTTCATTTAATTATTTTACTACAAGAAAACTTCGGCCTTCTCGAATTGTTTAGGGACATGAAACAGCAATGCATTTGGCTGCACGATCGGGTAACGAAGCTGCGCTACTTGCTATCGTTGATATGATTGATGCTGGAGCGATACAAATTGTTCAAAATAAGCAATCAAAGGTAACTTAATAGCTCTTCGTAATTTAATAAGTAAATTAATTTTGTTGATTATTTAAATAAACAGTGTAATTTTGCTAACTATCCCTTATATTATATCATATCATATTCATAGCATTTCTAGTAATTTAAAATTGATCAAATTAGAGAAATAATGATTAAAATCACAGGTAACGAACATTCTTTCATTTTCAAGATTGGCTGGTCACCATTAATGGAAGCATGCGCACCCGGTCATTCTGGTGTTGCTCAAATTCTCCTACAGCATCATGCTCGAATTGATGTTTTCGATGAGAATGGTCAAACAGCGTTACATTTAGCTGCTGCTAATGGTCATCTCAAATTGACACATCTATTATTGACCAGTAAAGCGTTTGTTAACAGGTCCAACTATACTAAATATGTTTTTATGCTTAACTTCACTAATAATTGAATTGTTTTTAATGATAACATTATTTGAGAATATTAAAGAGAAAGCAATTAAAATTTAATTTGTGAGTAATTTAAATTTGTTTGAATATCCTATGTTAGATATTATAATAAACGCTTAATACTAAATAATTTAATTTTAATATATTTTTTATCATTAGAAGATCTAATTATAGTAGAGAAAAAAATCAAAATTTGAAATTTCTTATAATTATAGTAAATCGAAAACCGGTGAAGCACCGTTACATTTAGCAGCACAGAATGGTCATGTTAAAGTGGTCAGTGTCTTAGTAGAAGATCATGGTGCTTTATTGGAAGCAGTAACATTGGATAATCAAACAGCATTACATTTTGCGGCACGATATGGACAATTGGCTGTAGCTCAAAAGTTACTTACACTTGGTGCAAATCCTAATGCACGAGATGATAAAGGACAAACACCGATTCATCTGGCAGCTGAAGTATTGCTAAATTTATTGTAATTTCATTTATTAAAAGAAGAAAATACAAATAAATATTGATAGATAAAAGATTAATTTTTTCTTATCAAAAATTTTTGAATTTTATTTCCAAAGTTTGCATATTCCTTCAGAATAATTATCCAGATGTAGTCAAATTATTTTTGAAAATGCGACAAAATAATCGAGCGATGTTGACAGCAATTGATTTAAATGGTTTCACATGTGCTCATATTGCTGCAATAAAAGGATCATATGCGGTTGTTAAAGAATTAATGATGATTGATAAAGCTATGGTTATTCAAGTATGTGCTTTCCTCATTCCATCCTAATAGTAATTTATTTCAATAAATTGAATTAATCAATAAATGAAAGATATTCGAAATTAGTAATATTCATGAATTGATTGTTTTAGCGAAAAAAAGAGTAATTAAAGATGAAAATTTTTGTTTGAAATTATCTTTCATTTAAATATTAGTAATATTTACTATTAATTTGTAAATGTACACTTTTTCTTCATTTCTATTATTGAACAAATGATGGAAATGAAATTTTTGTTAATTATATAAAATAGCAAAATTTAAATTGGAATTTAATTAAAGGCAAAAACAAAAACAATGGAAGCAACAACATTACATATGGCAGCAACTGGTGGACATAGCAAAATTGTTAAAATTTTACTCGAAAATGGTGCTAATGCTGAAGATGAAAATGCTGTTAGTCATATGTTCTTTTCAAAAACAAAAATTATTATCAAATTAAAATGAACAAAAAAAATTTAACAACAATCAATCAATATTCCTATATACATTTTATATGTGATTTGTAATATTATAATTTGAATTTTTACAATTTTCTATTTTAATTTATTTTTGTTAATTATTTAATTGATTAGCATGGTATGACAGCACTTCATTTGGGTGCTAAGAATGGTTATATTCCCATTCTCAATGTTTTCGATCAATCACTATGGAAGAAATGTTCAAAAAAGGTATTCTAATATTATTAAAGAAACATTTATTAAAGGCTAAGATAAAAAAGTAAAATTTAATTTTGAACTTTCAGCTGCTTACTTTTACAACAAGAAAATATATAATTTTGTTTAAATTTCATCCATTTTTTAAATGAATTTAGACTGGCTTAAATGCGCTTCATATAGCTGCATATTATGGGAATTCAGATTTTGTAATGGAAATGTTAAAATATGTACCAGCAAGTTTACGATCCGAACCACCAATTTATAATCATCATGTTGTAAAAGAGTTTGCAAGCGAAGTAAGCAAATAATATCACTTTATCTTTTTGACCTTTCACTCTTCTCTTTTATTTTCTGTCTATCACTCATATTTTGAAGCAATTTTTTCTAACTTACCAAAAAAAGTGAAAGATTAATCGTAGCAAACTGGAAAGAAATTTTTTTCCTAAACCTTTAATATTCAATTATAAACTTTCCCTTAATGGAAAATACTATTAATTTGTAACTATAATTCATCCAAAAATTTTATCTTAGATTTTTATTTTTAAAATGAAATTTTCTTTTACAGTATGGCTTTACACCTTTACACTTGGCAGCACAATCTGGACATGACTCATTGGTACGAATGTTATTAAATCAAGGAGTTCAAGTGGATGCTACTTCAACTACCATGGTTATCATCTTTGTTGAAATTGATAGAAAAATTATCAGTGTTTTTAATATCTCAATTTTATCCATTCGTCGTCTATTTATAAAAAAAAGTAAAGTGAAAGAATTTCTTTGTATTCTTTATTAACCTTTAAAATTATTGCATGAGGTCAGATTTCAATTTTCATTCAATGACCAATGTATCTGAATCTTTTTTTAATTTTAAAGAAATCTTTTTTTAAAGAAATTCCTCTTTCATTTTCTTTGTTCTCAATCAGTCATCTTTTTCAGAGTGTTATACCTCTTCATCTGGCAGCTCAACAAGGTCATATCGCAGTGGTTGGGATGCTCTTATCACGGTCAACTCAACAACAGCATGCAAAAGATTGGCGTGGGCGAACACCACTACATTTGGCTGCAATGAATGGACATTATGAAATGGTTTCATTACTTATTGCGCAAGGATCGAATATTAACGTCATGGATCAGGTTCATATCAGATTTACCAGTCATTTCATTTGGGTTGCATTTTTTTACGTTAAATTTTATTGCCTTTATATTTCAGTGTTAGGCTTTAGTTCTTCGTCGACTTTCTAATTCGAATTTCCACTTGAAACAAATCAAAATGACATATGAATTGGGCAATTTCAAGTTTGCTAATCGTTTAATTCTATCATTTTTGAACGTTTGCAATCAATTAAAAACAAAAGTTTTCCAAAACCTCAGTTTCTCTTAATTTGTCATAAATTCAAATATTTCAAGAATGGATGGACAGGGATGCATTATGCCACTCAAGCAGGTCATTTGGATGTTGTCAAATTGTTTGTGAAGAGTTCAGCTGATGCACAAGCAGAAACGAAAGAAGGAAAGGTAAGAATTCAATTTAGAATTTTTAAATTTGAAATATACAATTTATATATTGTAAAACGATTTAGGTACCATTATGTTTCGCTGCTGCATACAATCATGTTGATTGTTTACGCTTTCTACTGAAACAACATCACGATACGCATGCATTAATGGATGATCGAAAGGTGATAATTTATCAAAAGCATTCTAATTTAACCTTTCAGTAAAATTCTTTTATAAGGTTAAAGTTAATCTGTAAAAACTAATTGATTAACTTAAAGTATTAATTTTTGTAGTTCGTTTTTGATCTAATGATCTGTGGTAAAACGAGTAATAATGAACCATTAAAAGAATTTATCTTGCAAAGTCCAGCACCAATTGATACTGCTGTTAAGCTATCAGCTTTATATTATGAAATGAGTGAAAAAGAAAAGGCAAGCAAATTTTTTTTTAATTATCAAATTCTCATTTTTATTAAATTCAAGAAATTCGCAACAAAAAAAGATAATCATGTCGTTCTGATATTCATTTCTATCGCAATATTTTCTTTTTTTATTTTTGTTAAAAGTTTGAATTAACAATGACACATTACTGTCAACAATATATATAATTATTACTGATTGGTGATAACAATTGAATATAATATATTGTGTTATAAGGAAGATATTAAAAAAATCGATAGTGATAGTAAAAAAAGTGACAATGTTAATGAAATGATAAGCTGATAATATAACATTGTTGAAGAAAAGATGTTAGAGAGGTGACCCCTACTGATTATTAAATCAAAATTAAGGATAAAGCTATACGATAAGAAATTTTGTATTTGAGAATCTGATAGCCTATGCGAAGTTCAAATATTAAAGATATTACGTCGCTGAATTTTTGTTTCTTGCATTTAAGATTTTTTAGTTTCTTGTATTTTTACATTTAAAATTATTACATTTCTTACATCGCTATTAAAGTGAAATTTCAAAATGATAAAGTGAAGTATTTGGCAAATAACATGCGGATAATATATCAACTAGTAATTAGTTACTTATAAATCAAATTTAAGAAAAATTTACTTTAATATAGGAAAGGTCCAAAGATCTATTAAATGTTTCACAATTTGCGGAAGATATGGCCGTTGAATTACTCAGTATAACAGCAAGCGAGTACAATCCGGCATTGTTACTGAAAGCAAAAGATAATCGTGGACGACCGCTTTTGGATGTATTGATTGAAAATGAGCAGGTAAGTAAATTGTGAGTAAAGTAAAATTGAATAGATAAATTTAATGGCATATACTTAGAAGCGTAATATTTCTTCTTGAACTTTTCTTTCCTCTTTCATTTTCAGAAAGAAGTAGTTTCCTATGCATCAGTTCAGCATTATCTTACGGAAATCTGGAACGGACGTGTGGAATGGTCATTTGGTAAAACGGTCGCATTCACACTAATGGTACTTATTTGTCCACCAGCTTGGTTTTATTTTTCGCTACCGCTTGATACACGTGTTGGGCGTGCTCCAATTATCAAATTCGTTTGTCACATCGGTATATTTAATTTAATTTAAATTGCTAACAAAATAAAATCATTTCTAATTAAAAAACACCTCCCATTGTCTTTCCACTCATTTACACTTCTATTTTTCTCATTATTTAATAAAGATGAAACCTATGCATAATCAATGATTTCTTGAAAATACTTTCCAAAACCATTTCAGTATCGCATATATACTTTACAATTTTGCTTACTATTGTGGTACTCAGCCTGACACATAAAATTTATGAAGTACGAAGTATCGTGCCGAATCCAATTGAATGGTTATTGCTTTTATGGCTCTCCGGAAATCTTGTCTCCGAGTTATCAAATGTAAGCGGTGGTTCCGGTCTTCGGATTGTTAAGGTTGGATTTTTAATATGTTAAACATATTCTTAAATTAACTTACCTGCTACAACTTATTGATCAGTTATGGTTTAAAAATATTTTTTTCAAAAATTGACTTCAAAAAGTTTCCTAATTAGTAAAAAATAAAAATTTTAACATATAAACACTTGCATTATGCATGCATGAAAGCAATCAATGCATCCAGCGTGCATTTTATGTTTGATGTAATCGTAACACTCAGCGCATCTTAATAGTGGATAAATGAATGTGCAATATTAAAAAATTAAGTTTATCAGAGTCTATTTTGATAATCAGTATCTCTTGTTATTTAGTGTGATCAAATAGAATTATATAAGAATTAGTGCAAAGTTAACGCCAGCTATAGTTTGACCTTGCATTGTGATTTTAAGTCTCTGTTACTTTTTAATTTTCAACAAATAAAACTGTACAATAAGACAGAGAAAAACTAAGAAGCATAGATTAACTAAAAAAACATAAATTATTTCATATGCTGCACTGCAAATCCACTAAGTATATTTCAAGTAATCTATGCAAATTTCAGGTACTAATTTTGGTACTTAGTGCAATTGCAGTAGCAGTGCATATTCTTGCATTCCTACTACCCATTTTATTTATGCATCACTTAAATGATGACGAAAAGATGCATTTCGTGCGAACAATGCTCTATTTAAAAAATCAGCTATTTGCATTTTCTTTATTATTTTCTTTCGTTGAATTTTTGGACTTTCTCACTGTTCATCATTTATTCGGTCCATGGGCTATTATTATACGAAATCTTATGTATGACCTTCTCAGGTATATGATCTTTCTTATAATTTTACTATTTTTAATTTTCCATTTCAAATCATTTTGTTAATTCTATTTTAAGTGATTTTTATTATTCAATATTTTCTGTAATATTTAATTTCTATTTTAAGCTATATTAATTAATATTTCATATATTATAATTATATCATAATTAATTATTTTGAGATCACAATTTCATCAGAAATCGTTATTCTTTTATTTTTTAATAAGTTTCTTGTTTACACTTAATTTTATCTATTCGATTTTATATGAATACGATGAAATGATCGTAATAAATTAAAAGTATTTGATAAGATAACGAAAAAAAGAGAAAGTTAGGATCGCTATGTTTCCATTTTATATTGAAATGTTAAAATCAAATACATCAAAAATTTTAATTTCAATTATATTATATTTTATTTATTCTACTTTAATTATTGAATTACTTTTCGTTTGTTTAAGGTTTCTCGTTATATTATTACTATTTATAGCAGGTTTTACTCTACATGTCACCTCTATATTTCAGGTAATTAAAATAATAATAGAAGAGATATTTTTTGGAATGTCCTTATTAAGAATAGAATATCATCACTTTTGAATATAGCAAAAATCGTAATCGCATAATAAGCAGTTTAGGAATTATCGCATGGAGTGTTAAAAATCCAGAATTGCAATTTCAGAAGAATTTAAAAATTAATCAATAAAATACTTTGTACTTTTATATTAACTTTCACATCCTCAATACATTAATTCCAATCAAAATATTTTTTGAAAAAAAAAACACATAAATAATTGAAATGGAAATTGTAGCCAGCATATCAACCTGCAAATGCGGATGATGCGCAATGGATGCGTCTTGCATCACCGGAACAAACTCTTGAAATGTTATTTTTCTCATTATTTGGATTAGTAGAACCGGATACGATGCCACCACTTCATTTAGTTCCTGATTTTGGAAAAATTATTTTGAAAATGATTTTTGGAATTTATCTATTGGTTACTTTAATTGTAAGTAATTTTCGAAACTTTGAAACCTCATTTTAATATTTAAAGAGCGATGGATAACTTTATTAAGAGCCAAATTTTAAGCTTAGCAAAAAAAATTTTTGATCACAAATTAAAATTTGAATATTAAAAATTTGAGCTAAAAAATTTTTAGGTTTTAATAAACTTATTGATTGCAATGATGTCTGATACATATCAACGGATTCAAGCGCAATCGGATAAGGAATGGAAATTTGGTCGTGCAATCCTAATCAGGCAAATGAATAAACGTTCTGCTACTCCGGCTCCTATTAATATGTTGACGAAGTTGATTGTTGTCCTTAAAGTTGCTTATAGAAATAACTGTAAGCTATTTTTTCATTAACAACTATGCATATTTATTAGTAAGCAAAAGAGCAAATTAATAAATACTTTAAGGAACGATTAATTTTAATAAATTTAAATTACATTTGAATTAAATTATTTCCAGTCTTCTTATTTTGAAATGAATTTAAACTTTCAAGATTGTACAATTTGTTGAAGTTTAGTTGGAGTTTAATTTTGAACTAATTTTTTTTTTAGTAAAATTATGTACGCAAAAAGCTCAGCAAGATCTTAGGCATGAAGAGAACATTGATGCATTTTCGATGAGCGGTGGTGATACGGGGCGCCTTAGTCCAGCTATTTTAGCTGATGACGATGCTGCTGGTATTATTTTCTTCTCAACTTCTACTAAAATTATACAATTTAGAAAATTCAGGAAGATGTCAAATCTTAGGAACGAAAAGAACGATGACTGGTGTTTCTTCAATTTTTGTTTTTATCTTTAATTTTTCACAGTACCGTCAAATGGTAGGTCAACATAAGTTAGCGTAAAATTATTGTTAATTTGCTTGCTGGTTAATCCCTTAGAAATTTCCGGCATATCTATCCATTATTGATATTTCATTAGTGAATGGAATGTTTAGAAGCTTAAATATTAAAAATTCTAAGCTTAAGTATTTAAAATCTGATTTCTATATTTTAGAAATTCGATGTGGCCAGAACGAAGAATTAGGAAAAGGTGATAATTGGAATATCGAAACAATAATTGATTGGAAACGTATCGTCAATATGTATTATCAAATAAATGGTAAGGTAGATCCGGAAGACGTACAAGTGGAAGTGCCGTAATAAATTTAATACATGTACTTATCGATAATTCAGTTTAAAATGTTTCAATTCAGTAGGAATTTAAAGATAAGTTCGAAATGTGAAATAGAGTATGTTTGAAGTATTTGATAAGTGGAATAAAAATTTCACTATTTAATATTTCAATTTATTCTTTTATTCAATCGAAATTTCTCATTTAATCAATTCATCGATTTCATTTTTTTACTTTACAACACTTCAAATGCTGCAACATGTATATAAAATATGGCTCAGTTTCATTATTTGTTGGAATAAATTTTCATAAAAGTTTTTTGCAAAAAATGACAATGAAATAGCAAGCAGTAATTGTGGAAAATTTATTATATGTCCAATCTAACACTTTATTTTATATCCGAAATTATTAGTGACAAGTTAAGCTACATGTAAATTAAAATAGAAAAGTAATTTAAGTGACATTTGAAGATAAATGATGTATAGATGAGGAAATGATAAAAGGCTATTATTTAGTAATCATTTTCAATCATCCTTTTGCGAATTAAATTGAAATGAAAACGACTATTCTAATGTCGAAGAAAGTTTCATATTAATATATGGCTTGCATAATTTCCATTCATTTAGCCATTACAACTATGCTTTACCTTATTTTATGCCTTATCCTGAAAGTGAGAACTTTCATAATTAATCAACTAAAATTAACTTTGCAGTTATTTTTATAGATATCGATAATTATATCATTGAGTATTTGTAATATTTCATTGAACACTTTTTTTTCATTCATTACAATATTCTTATTATCTGTTTGCAGATTTTCTTTAGTTCCCAAATCTCCTAAAATTAGAAATTAAGTATGAAATGAATTATAATTGAAATTATATATTAATAAATAAGTGATATGAAGAGAAAAAAAATTATTTTATAATAATTTCAACTTTCACCTTTGTTTAACTCTTCACCCAAACATATCGATTCGATTGCACTGATTTCTTGTTCAATCAATTTAATCGATTCAATCATTTTATCAAAATTATAAATTCTAAATTAGTAAAGATATTAGTAACAGTGTATAATTAAAAAAGGATCTAACAATTTGCTTTTTCTATTTAAATTAATTGCAAATTAATTAGACCATTTTCTTAAAGGATGTAATTATTATTATTATTATTATCGAATAACTTTTTGCCCATTCCAAAAATTAATTCTTCAATTAATAGTAATGAAGTGAAATCTGAAATTGCAATTTTTAGACTAAGCTATCATCTTTCTTTCTTATAAGTATTGTTATGATCTCACAAACCTATCGATCATTATTTGTAACTGCATATATTCCAACCATCTAATAATAGTATCATTACGGCTGCTTTCATTTCTATTCCGGAAAGTTTCCGGAAAAGCATTAAAGACGAGCACTTTTTTTGATGTTGTCTCATGATACTTTTGCATAATTTTTTTTGATGACCTAAAAATTTTTTGTTTTATTTTATATTTGAACTTTTAAAGTATCAATTTTTTCAGGCACTAATTATAAATAAAATATTAATTATAAATAAAAATATTATTTATAGTAATAATTGTAATTTCATATGATTTTATCAATTTTCTCCTTCTCAATTACTTTTGAATTAACGATTGCAAAATGTCCAGTAATTATCACTTCAATGGTTATTTAGAAGTGATAAACGTTGATAAGAACTTATTTGTGTTTATATTTCCTTCTTATTTAAATGAAATATATATATTTTTTGGAACTGATTAACTGAATTTTCTTCGAAATGCAATTATCATTCTCCGAATTTTGTTGAGTTTGTTCACTGATAAATGCTTCCGGACATATATAAGTTTCACTGATTATTGTTGACGGCGAAACATTTGATAAGGCAAGATGAATGATATTTTTTGGCAAAATATTAATCATTGTTGAAAATAATTTAACTGAAATTTTTTAATTTGAAAAAAGAATTTTGTAGTTTCAAAGAATTTTTGTAAATTTTCCTCAAACAATTTATCCATCCAATTGATACTGGCAATATTAAGCTTTTGTTGATTAATTTTTGATGCAGAAGATTAATTCATAAGGAATTCAAATCCATTTCAAGTCGTAAAACTAGAAGTAAATTATACCTAAAGATAATATCGATTGAAACTTGTAATTATCATTTTCTGATAAATTACTGTAAGCTTGGAAAAGTAAGAACTTTTTAAATTTTAGTTTTGTTTTTAAACTTAGTATGATTTAGTGTGATTTACAGGTTTCAATGCTTTAATAAAAAATAAACGAATCAATCAATACGTACCGGATTTCTGTTCAATTATGACTTTATAAATCATTGAGCTGACTGATTGAAGCTTATAATTTTTGGCTCTCTTTTTGGCAGCACATTTTAATAACTTCAATTTTACATAATGGGCAATAAAACATTCAGCGAAGTGTAACTTGTAGTAATCTGATTGCTTTTTTCGTAAATTGATTTGATTCGGAATTTTGATTGCTTTTCCTGATTTCCTGATCAGGTTCTTCTTTCGGACTATAGCATTCGGTTTTTTGATAATTCCATGTTTAATTGAAATTTATATGAACAAGCCGATTGCTACGAAGTATTTTTTAGCATTCTTACCTTTTTTTAAAAAAATATCTCTCAAAACTTTGAAATTTAAAAGCCGAAAAATTTTTCAGTAGCAAAAATTTACTGATTTTTGGGTAAGTTTTCTCCGGTAAAACAATATCATCGTTATCGAAAGATTCCTGACTGGAAACAGTTATATCCGAGAAGGGTATAATGGTAAGCTCTGAGCTTAAACTTGAAGTTCCAATCGTACTTTTCACTTCAGATAAATTTGAACAACAGCTAAGCATATCATCCGATTTGCTACAAGAAATCCATCAGTTAAAATCTTTTTGCATTTTGATTTTGGTACTGATAGTTTCGATATTCGATATTGTTTGAATTTTGATATAACTCTTTTATCATTGGCCGATATTTGGGATAATTGGACTTGTTGGAACAATATGAAAAGTATCAGTGATTTCTAATAATTATATTAATTTCTATTAGATTGGCTTCATTTAAAGATAAAATAGCAAATGCATATATATTTATTGTTACGTTAGAATTCTAAAGTTTTTTGGAAGTTAAAATTAAATTTCAAAAATCCTAAGAATTGGAAGAGTATTTTGAAGATTCAAGTTGATACATGTTATCATTACATATATGTAAAGTATTCATAAAAATTTAATTGAATTCATACCAATTCATAGCAATGTTTGATAATGATAACCTGCCAGTCTGATTTTAGCATACAAAATGACAAATTTATTTCATTTTTAATTGAATTTTATTAAATTTCGTGTGTGTGTGTGTGTGTGAAATCATACATTATTTATTCAAATTAAATTAGATTGTAATGATTTAATCAAACTTTAATAGTTAATTATTTTAAAGTTTATAAAATAAGAAATTAATTTATGGAAAAAAGCGTATGCGAAATAAACAAAGAGTATTTTTAAGCCTTCAATTCTGTAAGATATATATGCTCTAAAAGATAACAATAATGGTTATGATAAATTAAATGCTTTTAAAGTTAACAAGCCTTAAAGTTAAGTTCATAAACAAATATTAAGACTTAAATAGTTGACAGTCTGATTTAAATTTAAATAGCTAATTAATCTATTACAGATCTTGAAGGATAAAATTAAGTGCTTTGATATGAAATTTATTACCAATAGCAATAACTATGATGATATCATAATGATAACGAGAATTTCGACGGCAAGTTTCGATAGCATAAAAGCTACAAGTAAAATTTGAAAAAGAAATGATAAAATTAAATGGAAGAGTTTTAATTAAAAAATATTTAATTCTTAAAGTTCCACAAAACATATGTATCTGTCTCTTATAATTTCACTGTATTTTAGGCTAAAAAATTGAAATGCCAAAAACTGAGTAGTGCAAACATTTGTTAAAATTTTAAATAATTAATAATTTTCAAACTATATGATAAACAAATGCATACTTTTGGGATAGGATTATTGATCTAAGCTAGATCAGACAGATTGCAATTTACATTTGTACGACCAGAAAACATTCTCGAAAAAGAAGTTATCGGAATGTATGGTATGAGGAGTCATTAGAGATATCCGGATCGATGCCAAAATTTGTTTTTACTTTCATCCTCTTCTCTTGTTTAGCTCTTTTACGACAACAAAATAATGCTGTCATATTGCTAATACATTGTCCAAACCATTGTAACTGAAAGAATAACATTTTCATCAAGAATATACTCTTCGAAGAAATCTACAAAATGAATAAAACAAATTCAACGTTTAAAAGCAATATTCAAAATTAAGTTGAAAAGAAATTAGAGAAAAAAAGATGAAAAAAAGGATAAAGACAAAGAGAGAAGTGAGAAAGAAAAATACTTAATAATTAAGTTATTATTTCCTATCATTCAGTATTAAAAGCAATTCAAAATTTCCTTTGTAATCAATTTTTGATAACATTTTAAATTAAACTGTTCTAATTATAATTTGGTTTTATTTGTAAAATGAAAAGTTCTTGGAAAAAGTAAATTGATCAATCAATCAATCAATCAATCTAATCATTCAATCAATCGATTACCTTAGCATTCATTGCTGGTACCCTCAATATAACCAGTAATGGATTGAAGAGAGGATCAACAAATGCGGCAATTCTTGCCAGCTGAAACCATCGAGCCCATTCCATCGCATCTTCACGATTTTCAGCCCAAAAAACAGCTATTTCAACAAATGATTGTCCAGCAATTGAAGTAAAATAGGCGCAAATGGATAAAAGAAGAGTTTTAAAGAGAATTTCACGACGTCTTTGTGGTTTGCATTCACTAAAACAATTCTTTCATTAATTAAATTTTCTTTTTTCTTAAAATCGAAATCTTATGATATTTATATATTTTTTTCATACAGAAATAAAATATAAATAGAATATTTGAGCCAAGTTTTAATTTAAAAAAAACAATAGAAATAAATTTTATTGTTTAATGGAAAATGAACGAACCGTTTTTCTCTACGTAATACATTATTTTGTCGTCTTATATTGCGATGATAGAAAACTGTCACAATAAATATTATTAATGCTATTGCAAGTAAAGTTAACGTGAAAAACGTATGACCATGTAATAAATAAACACCAAAATTAAGAAATGGTAAAATTCGATCACAAAAATCACCAAAAATATTGTAATCAGCTAACATTAAACTGAAACGAATATATAACAGTCTTATCAGTTATTTCTTTTTTTGATAATCAAAATTCATCGTATGATTCATCATATTATTTGAATTATTTCAATAATTCTAAGCAATTTTAGTAATGTATTAAAATTCAAACAAATGTTTATAACTATTTTTAAGTAAAAGATTAATAATTTATTAATTAGTTCGGCTATATTCAAAATATTAGTTTGTGCAATATAATAATAATAATAATAATAATGAATGATTTATATTCTTTTTTTTTAAAATTCATTGTTATAACTATCATAATTATCATGATTAACATTTGAATTTCATTGTTTCATCCAAAAATTAAACCTTATTTCGTTACACTGAACTTTTCGTCGATGAGTTTTCAAAGTATTAAATATTTGACCAATAAGATGAATTGCTGTAAGTTGAAAGAAGGAGAATAAGAGATGTGTAATGAATAGGAATATCCAAACAAGTAAGAAAATCGAAATTACACACTTCCGTGACAGTTTTATTGATTTACCCGCCATTGAACGATTGATAACAACCTAATAATAATAATAATAATAATAATAATAATAATAATCGTAATTTCTACTTAATGTTATTATAATTTATATAATGGTATTATTTATGATTCAATCTCTATATAATGCTATTATTATCATAATTATAATCATTGTAACTTTTATAATGATATAACAATTAAGAAAAAAAAGCACAATTATTATTATTCGTGATAATTACAACTGTTAGGTAAATGAATATTTTAAATGAACAAAATTGCTATTTAAATATATTTTATTGATAATATTGCTTGAATTGTTTATTGTACAAACATACCAATACAAGGATAAGTAAATTAGTAAGGCCAAGAAGGGAACCATTTTGTGACAATGAATAAAGCGTTTCTTGGATCATCTGTTGAATGAATTTATTTGCTTTAAATAAATTTACATTTAATGTTTCAGTTATGATCAATGATGCTGGAAGAGTGCCATCAAAATTCTAAAAAGGAAATTTTCATTATATCAGTAATCAAGTATGCAAAATATAAGTAAAATTATAAACGTATTTATGGAAAATTTTCAGAATTCTTTTAACTTTTTTAAATTTGAGAGAATTTGTTGAAACTTTGAAAGAAATATTTTATTATAAAATATTAGTTTAATCCTAAATTTTTGAGTTATTCTAAAATTATTTCCTTATTATCCATTTTTTTCTAATTTCTAATGTTGAAAATACAACTATTTTTTGGATCGAGCAAAACTGATGAAAACGATAAATTCTAATTGAAAACAATTAACCTAATTAATAACGATTTAAAGATTAATAAATTCCTTTTGCTAGCATTTAATGAACGATCTAAACTTTATTAAATACAAATATCTCTTCACATACTATTATGAATAATCTATAATTCCTTAAAAATTATTTTTGTTTATTTAACAAAAAGTTTTAGTTTGGAATATCAAAATTCATAAGAAATATATTTTGTTAAAAATTTTAAAATTACAAAATAACTTTTTCTTTGAAAGAAAATTTGCAATTTTTGAATTCTTTTTTTTGCTTGCAAAATTCTAAACTTTTTGATATTAAAAGAAATAATTAAAACAATACTGAAATCATTTATATTTCCGACATTTTATTGTTTTTTTTATCGTTTATTTTCCTTTTTATCTTTTGCAAATAATTGAAAAAGTATTTGTCATTAAAATTTCATTTATTTGTTTATTTTTTAATTAATTAAAAGGAAAGGAAAAAGCAATGGTATAATTAATACATACCGTATAATCATCCAATATTAGATATGAATTATCTTCGATTATTTGAAATAGTAAAAAAATGAATGATATGATAAATAATGAATTTGAAAAAATGAAATTAAGTATGAAAAGTTCCATTGCTGTTGACAAATATTTATGTGTTTTCCATAGTAATAATAATAAAGTTACTGTAACAATAAGTACCAATAATAGAAGAAATGTTTCAATGTAAAGACCAATTTCAGCAAACCAAGCCATATTTCTGCAATAGAAATTTCTACATATAATTAATTTTTTCTTTTTTTTAATAATTACTAAATTATTTTTATATATTATTTGGTTTTTAAATTAATATTATTTAATTAAAAAATTTTAAATATCGATAATTAATTATCTAACTTTTGCGTTTAAGTAGTATTTGCTATAATAATAGTAAAATAATTGTATTAAATAAAAGTAAGCTTAAAATTATTGATAAATTAATTAATATTATCATTTTTTTGATGATAATAATACCTTTATTAACAATTATTATTATAATATTAGAATAAAAATGATAAGAAAAAAAGAAAACAATTATAATTTCGTATAATTTTTATGTTAATATTATTTCTCTTAAAAAATTTTAAATATTAATAAATGATTACCTAACTTCTGCATTTATTCGTGCATTAATGAATAAATTCGTATATGAATGAGCAATTTTACATGAGCAATGATTGAATTTATCGTTATCATTCGTTATCATATCATAAAGAGAATCATTGTGATTGTTACTGATACTATTATTATTATCATTTTCATTGTTTTCCAAAATGAATTGCTTCTCTCCTCGTTCTTTAACATACCTAATTGAATAATTTCACAAATTTTTAAACCTTTAATTACTAATTTGCATAAAAATAAAATAATTTTTATATTATCAAAGAGTGAAATTAAAATTTGTAAATTCTTCAACTTCGTGATAATACTCTTTTTTGCAAATTTTCTATATTTTCTGCATAATATAATTAATAATAATTTTTATATTAATTATATCATACCTTACTTTTCTCTACAATTATTACATGTTATTGTTTTAAGCATTACACAATAATGAAATTAAAGTTGAAGAATTTTTTGAAATTTAACAAGCAAAAGATAGAATTTGAAAAGAAAAAATGAAAAATTATTAAATTTGGAAGAAAAATTTTAGGTTAAATTTTAAATTAATGAATGAATAATTTTTAATTATTTAAAATCGAATGCTAACATTTTAGTTTCATCGAGTTTATACCGTAATTTTACAGCGATAATGCTGAAGAGTTGAAGATGGAAGCGTGTTTTCGAAACAATTTCCAATAATCGACTGTCACTATTCATTGTTGATATGAGATAATTACTGTAAGAATATGAATAATACTAAATAACTTAAAATGAAGTATTTTTTTATTGTGATTATTTCATAAATGATAATTTATCTCTTTCATATAAGAACAGATTTATCGCTATTCGATATTTATTTATCATACAATAAACTTATCATATTTGACTGCTGTAGTGATATGATTTAATGATACTAACTGATGTAGTTAAAAAAAATTAATTTATAATTTGAACCTTAATAAATTCATAAAATATATATCATTTGAGAGAGCTTCACCAAATGATGAGTATTTTGGTAGTATATTAATGGTAAAATCATGCAATGTATGGCAGTTTCTAGCAAAACGTTGAAAAAATGTTTTCATCTTAATCAATCGGACCATTGAATGTCCCGAACACATCTGAAATATCTTTGAAAATGTAAAATTTAATTTCATTCAATTATAGATGAAAGCAAACAACTGTCAATAGTGATGTTCATTTTAATATAAACGAAGAGATTAAAACTGCGCAAGCGATTGAGTAAGTATTGCAAAGTTGATGAAATAAAATTATTGAAAAAAATAAAAAGTTAAAATAAATACCTTATTAAGAAAAAGTAGCTTATCACCTGGTTTGTCTGTAAGACAACGTTGTAATAAACCTTTGTTTGTCTTCTGTATTTGTTGACAAATAATGCTTTAAATAGTTGAACTTGTTAGTTGAAAATTTTCTTATCATTTATCATCAATGATTGTCATTATCGTCTTTTATAAGATTAGCTAAAATTAGTAATTAAAACGGATAACAAATGTTAATTAAGAAAGAGTTATTAATAATAATAATGAGAAAGATAATTAGATTATAGAAATAGAAAAGATTTAATAATTATAGCGATTGATTTCAAATGTTATAAATTATAACTCCGCTATATTACAGTATACTAATTGTTTATTAAATTTGATTGATAATTGGTAATCTTTTTCTTTATAATTCTTGAACTCAGTTATTACCTGCGATCCGTATTATTATCCTCGAAAAGCATTCTGAACAAATCTGCATATTTTATCAATCCATAAAGATTAATATCATTAGTTTGATGACATACCTGAAATAGAGGAGAAGATGAATTTTAAATTAATCATTTAATTCTAAGATATTTTCATCCTCAAAAAATTCCATTTTGAAAATTTCTTAAAATTATTAGTTTAGATCAGTTAGTAAATAATATTGAAATATTGATTAAAAAAAATTTAAGATCCGGAAATTTTTCTTGAAATTAATAAAATTTCTTGCAAAAGGAAAAAATAATTTTAAATTGCAATTTTTTTATAAATCGACGAAAAGAAATTTGTTTGAAATGAATTTCAGAATTTTTAGTTATATTATTAATTTAACAAATATCCGAATTTTTTGAAAAACAATAGAACTTTTCTCTCTTGCTAATTAGCATTTCTTATTTTACATTTAAATTTTTGCTAAGCAATCAATAATGTATGTACCAAAGCAAAGGCAGCTCGTGCAATTAATATTTGAAATGTTCGATTATAGTGAATTTCAGATTTCTGCCAGTTTAAAATATGATTCACTTCACAATATTGTAGCGCCTGCATAAACCATACTAATGCAGTATGACGTGGTGATACGTAACGTTCACTTTCACGCCAACATAATGCGTCATGTCGAAATAAACGATAAAGCTGCAACCACAGTTCGGTTCGAAAAAGTTTTTGTTGTTCCTCGAAGAAAAATTTATTTCAAATAGATTTAAAAATTTTGATCAATATTACTTATTAACTAATATACTCAAAATATTACAACAATATTATAAAATATTATTGTAGAATGTAAAGATATAAATTGACGGAAATTTCATTCCTCTTATCTATTAATTAACTAATTATGATATCAATAATTCTTATTAAATTCAAAATTTGGCTATTTTTTTCATTCATAATTCTAAAATTAACATTTTTATTTTGCTTAGATACTAAATTATTTATCAATTAATCGATAACACATACCAAAGATGCACCAGAATGATGCATAATTAATTGTCGATTATCATGAGTACATAGTGTTGCTAATTTATTCCGATTATTGAATGGTGATAACCATTTGAAATTATTATCTGATGAATAATAAATCATCGTATTAGAGGAATACGAAAATAATCGTAATAGTATGATATGAATGAATACATTATTGTATTCCATAGGAATTTACGATTTTTACTGTAATAAATTAGTATATAAAGTTATTATAAATTATCTCAAATAATTCGAAAAGTAAAAACAAATGGAAGAATGACATTGCTAATATATTGAGAATAATAGTGACAGAAACTATCCTAACAATCGTTAAACCAATGAAATGTTTGACCATTGGACTAAATAATTTCTGACCTATGGCCTTTCTTCCACCTCATTTCTAAAATTAATCTAAAATTTGAAATTAAGAAAAGCAATAACTAAAAAAAGTAATCAATCAAAAGTTATATAAATTAAAAAATACTATAAACCAACAAATTTTCATTGAATTTAAAGTTTTGAATTTTTAAACGAAAAACTTTAATGAAAATATTTCAATTTTTAATTACGATCAGTTTCTGTAAAATATTTTTCATTGAAATGACAAAAACTATTGGAAAGAATGTATTTAAAGAGAAAAAGAAAATAATATAGCATTTGAAATGAAAGATAATTATTTGTAAGAAAAGGTATACAAGGTAGCCTAATATTATTGTAAAATGAAAAATGATTGTTTTATTGGAATAGCAACATTTAGCAATTCATAATTGAAATAACAAAATAGCCGGATTGGGATAAATTTGGCCATTATTTTGGACAAAATGGCCAAGAAGCCAAGTCAAACTACTCTCGATAACATCAACTTTTTTTTTCGAAAATACATTTATCATTTAAAAAAAGTTATTTATTCTTTCCTCTAAAGGCTTACAGCCTATCTGTCTTGTGATATTATTCAGATTGCGTCATTACAGAAAGCATCATAAGTGCCTCATTTGCGTAAGAAGAAGTTATGCAATATTTAAGAATAAATCATCAATTGATAAACTGAATCAATTCCTATCCAATTTCATCAGTTCCTCTTCATTTTAGCTAGGATATGAAATAGAATAGCAGAAATATATGACAGAAGCTGATAAAATTAGAAGCAAAAGATTCTTCCAATCGAAATGAATATAAAAGACTTAAACTTCTCCAATTGTCCCAAATTCCTTTATAAGGATGAAGTTAATGATGCTTATCAATAAATCAAATTTGTGATAACAAACAAAATCTCATTTTTCATTCGTTCTTAATTTCAAATAAAAGAGTGATCGAATATTGAGAAATCTATTCTAATGCATTTTAAATTTCATTATAACTAAAATTATGGTATAAAATTTTCTATCTTACCATAATTCAAAAAAGGGAATGAATGAAAAGAGGAAGGCATTTTGTTGATAATAACTATTCGTATGGATAATTTAAATTTCCTCATTTCTAGCTATTTTATTAAAACTAATTTAGAATAAGTATCATTAGCACACTATTCATTGTCAATTAAATTAGAATTGATTCTTTAAAAAAAGTTCTCCAAAATATGATATCAAAAAAAAAATTGTATAAAAAGAAAATGCTTAATTAGTGAATTTGTGAAATAAAAATAAAATAAAATAAGCATAATTTCAAGCATATATGAAAATCTAATACTTTGTTTAAAAAAAAGAAAAAGAAAGTTTCTGCAACTTTTCTTCGACAGTTCAACATTTGAAATTTCCTCATTATCCCAAGTGATTTAACGTATTCGACGCATTTGCGCAACAAATGAGCGCTATGATATCTCTCTCTCTTTCTCTCTCTCTTTCTCACATGGGAGCTCTCGGGACCATTAAATTAATTCGAAAGTGAAATCCGAAATATAGCTTACTAATATGAGCTAAAATTAATTGAATGCAGAATTTAACTTGAAAAATCGAAGTAAAATATAGGATCCACTGAGAGACCGAAAGAAGAAGCCAAAAAGGCTTAATCAAATTTTCTCTCACTATATTTTATTCTTTCATAAAGCATTGAGAATATTTTTCATAGGAAAATGATAACGCGTTAAGTGGTTTCGAAAGTTAATGAGTTTCAGTTATTTCAACCTTTCCTTGCTTTAAATATGGTCTTCTGCATAAATGTAACGATCCAATTAAGTGTTTAATTATTTGACTAAAAAAAACTATTTCGTTATATTTGTTGTGAAATTGCTAAATTTGAAATTAGGAAATTTCCACTCCAAAACATTTTAAATTTTTGTGCACATTTTAAAACAATAATAAACTTTAAAAAAAGAGTAATTTGAGGACAACAAACTTTTTCGCTTTTTTCTTTTGAAACTTTTAAATAATTTAAATATGATAATTGTTAGAGATACTTCATCTAAAAAAAATCATTATTAACAGCGAAATCAGACGGCTGAATTAATGGAATCGTTTAATATAGCAAGTTTTTTTTCCTCAAGCAAAGTTTTATTCAAAATATAATCACTGATATTTCGGATGACCATTGTTAATTTACTAATTATGCATGCGTTGTTGGTCATTTGAGGGATTGGAAGAAGATCCAGTGATATGCCATTATGCAAAACCGCATCAATTAGACAGTTCAGAAATGCAACATAAGGAAAGGAATACATTTTAAATATTCTTTCCTGATAAAGATGCTCCCCAAAAATACTACGATCTTTCCAGAAGATTCATAACATTATCCTACAAAAACTGAAGGATTCTGTACGATATTAGAGAAGTAGAAAAATTTTGTCATCCCGAAAAATAATACCAGTTTTGCTTATCAATTATCAATTATGTTTTTATTGCTTATTATAAATGCTGTTGAATTATCAAGAAATAAATAAATGAATAATTGAAAATGCTCCTCCACTTTTTGCTGGGCGTTTCGCATAGAATCGATCCAACTTTCAACAAACAGGCCTTTAAAAAAATTGGTCAAAAATTTTGTTGTGCTTGTGCAAATTCAAAAAGTATTATGATAGAAATCGACTCTGACTTTTTTTTGAATTCAAATTCACTTCTTTTCAACTCTTTAACACTTTTTTTTAATTAGGGAATTTGAACACAAATTGAACTTTGAAGCTTGGTTCAGATCTATTTCGAGATTATCTGATAAATATCAGATTAATACAAAGCATAAATTTATAATTTCGCTTCAACCAAATTATACATGCTTTTTCAAATTGCATGTGTAAATAAATAAAATAAATAATTACTTATATTCTACCAAAAAATCCGAAGGAGGACTCATAAATCTTATGCGTTTTAGTAGCACTGGATGACTTATGGATGTTTTTGATTCACAGAGATTAAATTAATAAGGTAAGTTGTCGCACAAAGCTATCAAGTTTAAGGGCCTTCAGTTTTCTTGTTGTCAACTCTATATTCAAATCCATATAAACACAGAAGATAAGGATTTTGACTGCAGATATTTCTTATTGTGAATTTTCTGTCGAATACTTTGGGTTTTCTCGAGTATTTCATCGTATCGAAATCTATCAGCCTAATCGCCAGAAAAACGAAAAGACGATGGTGAACTGCTCGCAAAAAGGTTCAAATGGATTAATCTTCATGGCAACAGAAAGGGAAAAGGTAGACAGGAATAATAATTTTTTAATTTCAAAATAAGTCTGTTAAAAACTCTTTTGAATAAAAAGAAATAAACCAATTTTAAATAAGTTAATTACAATTTTAAATTTACATTATCAATTCATGCCATAAAATTGACCCTAATTTTTGAAAACAAGGTAATTCAAACATTCCAATTTCGTTCAACATCTAAACAAACACTACAAGTGCCCTACACCGAATTAATATCAGGACGTAATACCAGCTCCCCGTGCGCTGTAATGTTTCACCGGTATCCCGCCTAAATACACCGCATACGATCCCGAATAGGGTGGAAGTTGGATTTCATGTGTGCGGTTGGTATGAAATCCGTCGTCTCAGATTTTTATTCCCATTAATAATACTGGAAAATATGTGGTTCTACGCTTCTTCCAGTGTGTTAGGAATTTTAACTCTCATGTCTACTTATCACGTTTTACATGTGTGCTGTCTACGTTTATTGAACGGGATTCCTTATAATTGTCACAACTTAGTAAAAGTTCAGATAGTCCTTCCTGAAAGTCTCTGCAATTCTGTGATCCTGATGTTGGATCGCAATCAAGACCTTTCTTGTACATTAATCAAGCTGCATCCCAAAACATCATTTCTTAATATTTGCTGTATATTAGGAAACGATATTGAATGACCAAATATCATCCGCAACTTTTTCTCTGATTGGTCGATTTTTATTTGAGCCAAATGTTCACAACCCTCTAATTTTAGGTGCTTCGTATACTTTTGCAATATTTTTCCTTAAATAAATTTTCATCGAGTACCGATTTAAATTGCGAAGTGCAATGATCACTTCATAAATTAGGATTTATAAAAATTGATTTAACTAGAGCTAATTTAATTAGAGTCCTGTAGAATTTTAAAATACTGTGAAAATTAACCATTCGCACATATCATCAGCTCCAAGTCCTTGTTCTAGTATTGTAGTTTCGAGATCATCGATTTACGATGCTACCTAAATTTTTTTTTGATAGATTTTCATCAGTGAATCAATAGTAGAGAGATATAGTGGGCAGGGTGAGGCGATGATGCTTTGAAGTTGGGAATGGAATGTTTTCATTGAGGTCAGTGAGTTGTTTACCATCTGTCAAGCATTCATATTCTCTGAGATTGGCTGTATGATTCAGCTCCATCATGAGTATTGCATTTTCATTTCTTATTTAATGCTGGGGCATTCTTTTGGCTAAGAATATGTTAGGAAGCAAAACATACGTTCTTCCATACGCTCTCATACTCTCTTCTCACGTTTTGTACTATTACAAGTGTTGGAAAATCGATAAGTTGAGTAGAATTGTAGATGATCGCTAATGGAAATGGAGTCATAGGCTATATGAGAAACGCTATTGCCGACAGCAAATGACTCACAAATTCTTTCTTCCAATCCTCATTACTCCTTATTACTGAGATACGTTATTTCGTAACCTTATCTTGATGTAGGTCTCGAATATTACTGAGAATCATCAAATCAAATGCAGTCTTCCTCTCGTAATGAATTTCAATTCTTACTTCCTCTTGGTACTGTTCGGTAGAAGCATTTGGCATTTATTAATAGTAGAGAAATTTGTTATTGCGATAGTAATTTTTGCATTGTCACTCCACCGAGAGGAACTGTAGTTGCAACATTATTAGGATGGTGATATGTGCAAGTGTATATGTGAGTACGTGTATGTGTGTGTGCATATATGTGCAAGCGTGTGCGTGTGCCTGTAAGTCCGTATATGTGAACGTTCCCCATATTTCATTCCCTTTTCACAGTAGACTGTCATCTGCTTATGAATACCGGTTTCTTCCCCTCAAAGATTTACTAGCATCACTAAATTCTTTTCTCTTCTCTTCATTGACGATATCATGTTCCTCCGCTTTTCGGGAAATTGCGTCACTTACGCCATCCAAGCAGATATAATTCCTAGCAGGCGTGCAGGCGAACGGAACTTGCTTTATTTACCTTAAGATGGAGGACGTGACGCAACATCCTACGAGGTCCGTCAAACCACGAAGCAAGATACGAAATTTAGGCCGCCTTGACAGGATAATAAATCGATAACGGTGCAGTGCACTGTTTCCCCCTGTCTATTTCATTATCACGTATGCGATATGTATTCATTCCTCAATGTCTACCCTATCTTCATTCACTTCTACACTCTTATATTTTGATGCCGTCAGTGTCTTGTCTCTTACGTATCTCTCCCATTCATGTCATGTTAACTGTTATGCCTATCTTCTCTACAATGCTATGCAGTCTGCGTCTTGTAACCTTGTTACCTCTCATTATGTATATGCACATGCCTGTCTGTCTGTCTGTACGTGCAGAGAAGACATCTTGTTCTTGTGTGTATGTCATTGCGCGCAGTGTGTGCGTGCAGAGCTGTCCGTGCGAGACGCAGTCACTTCATCGCGTTGTGTGTGATGGAACATTTTAGGCCAGGAGTGCTTAGGTGATGCATAGGTTTGTGTTCATTTGGGCACAGCTGTCTGCATAAGAAGTTATCGTAATGGGTGGTGTGAATATTTGAGTTTCATGTAATATAACGTGAGCACGTCACTTACTGTACAACAGTAGCGGAATTTCAGTGTCTTCTCGACGTTTTTGTGTACTGGTTGTCAACTCGTGACGTAACGTCCATAAGTTCTTCGACATACAATGGGAAAGGAAAAGACTCATATCAATATTGTCGTCATTGGACATGTCGATTCGGGTAAATCGACGACGACTGGCCATTTAATTTACAAATGTGGTGGCATCGATAAGCGTACCATTGAGAAATTCGAAAAAGAAGCTCAAGAGATGGGCAAAGGTTCATTCAAATACGCCTGGGTGTTGGACAAGTTGAAAGCGGAGCGTGAGCGTGGTATCACAATCGATATTGCTTTGTGGAAATTCGAAACCCCCAAATACTACGTTACCATTATTGATGCACCAGGACATCGTGATTTCATCAAAAACATGATTACTGGTACGTTTACAATAAGTTTTTATGAACTTTAGTTTTATTCACATTACTCTCGAAATTCTTCAGGTTTTTTATCACTGGGATGCCTTTGTTACATCTTACGTTACAGATTTTTTGGGATTGATTGGTGTCCTTATTATACTAGCTATAATAGAGTTGGGTGAAATTGATTAGCAATGAGTTTTTAGGATGTTGGATTTAGATCGTCATATTTCAGGGACATCGCAGGCTGATTGTGCTGTCTTGGTAGTTGCTTGTGGTACTGGTGAATTCGAGGCTGGTATTTCGAAAAATGGTCAAACGCGGGAGCATGCTTTGCTTGCTCAAACACTTGGAGTGAAGCAACTAATTGTTGCATGCAATAAGATGGATTCCACCGAGCCACCTTTTTCGGAAACCCGATTCAATGAGGTAACGATTTTCATTTTGGAAGTGAATTAACTCGCTGAATCTGTAGTGACTGAATCATAACTTCGTGGTTGTTGGAGACTGTTTATAGCTTGTTGGTATTTCAGGTCACCAATGAGGTTTCGAATTACATCAAAAAAATCGGCTACAATCCAAAATCTGTTGCTTTTGTCCCGATCTCAGGTTTCAATGGCGACAATATGTTGGAACCGTCTGCAAATATGCCATGGTTCAAGGGATGGACAGTTGAAAGGAAGGAAGGCAATGCTTCTGGCAAGACACTTCTGGAGGCTTTGGATGCGGTGATACCACCCTCCAGACCTACAGACAAGCCTCTCAGATTGCCTTTGCAAGATGTTTACAAGATTGGAGGTTCATTCTTGTACATTATCGCTATTTTGAAAGCCGTTGTCGAGTTTGGTGTGATTTTTTCACTCATCACTGAAAGTCTGTTTGAACCAAATATCTTTTTTGCGTAGTTTATCCCTGATGCTTTATTGTTTCAGGTATTGGAACAGTACCTGTTGGTCGCGTTGAAACTGGTATTCTGAAGCCAGGAATGGTGGTGACATTTGCACCACAGAATATTACGACCGAAGTGAAATCAGTTGAGATGCACCATGAAGCTCTGCAAGAAGCACTTCCTGGAGATAACGTTGGTTTCAATGTTAAGAACGTGTCTATCAAGGAGATCCGCCGCGGCTCGGTTGCCTCGGATTCAAAGAATGACCCCGCGAAAGAAACCAAACAGTTTACTGCTCAGGTAAACAGTGTCATTGCATCTGATAAGATTTTTTTGTACGAAGCACTATGACACAGAGTACTATTATATAATCACATTGCATTTTATAGGTCATTATCATGAATCACCCTGGCCAGATTGCTGCAGGATACACTCCAGTTCTTGACTGTCATACAGCTCATATTGCTTGTAAATTCGCCGAACTAAAAGAGAAGGTTGACAGGCGATCCGGCAAGAAGGTGGAAGATAATCCAAAAGTAAGTTTGATTTCAGGAAGGTTTTGGCCATCCGACTGAAAAAATTATGGATGGATATTTCTTTCCTTGACTGAATATGAAGTTTCAAACACTATTTCAGTTCCTGAAGTCGGGCGATGCTGGCATTATTGATTTGATACCAACGAAGCCTCTGTGCGTCGAAACATTCACCGAATACCCGCCACTTGGACGATTCGCCGTGCGTGACATGCGACAAACGGTAGCGGTTGGTGTTATCAAGGGCGTTGAAAAGACGGAAGGTGGTTCCGGGAAAGTGACAAAGGCAGCGCAAAAAGCTGCTGTTCCAGCTGGAAAGAAGAAATAAATATTTAGAAGGAAGGAAATTTTATAAAGACGAAGTCACCAGATGTTATTACTCGTATATTATGTTGTTATTAAAAGAAGGGGCATTTTTTGCTTTCGTGGTTGCTGGATGGTGCTTTTTTCTGAATCTGATCTAGCAGATTCCTGAAATCACATATTTAGCAAGAAGTTTTTGAATTTTGGCAATGTTTGTTGTTATTTTAAATTTGCTTCGTTATGTTTGATGGAAAAGCGGTAAAACATTTGTGTTTCCTTAAATTGCCTTGGTTCATTACTGAAATGTTAAAACGTCATCGAGTATTCGTTTTTTTTTGTTGATAAAAATGTGGTTCTTGGGTTTCGCAAACAGCATGCAAGTGCTCGTAACAGCAGGAGCAAGGTATTGGGCTGAAGAAGTCAAGGTGTCATTTTGGGCGATTAAGACTTTGCTGCTTTCACGATCAAGTTTTGAGCGGTGGGCGATGTTTTAATATGGTGAGGGGCACATTGATTTTGAAATTCCAAGAATTCTGAAGAGAATATGTCCCTGTTCATTGGGTGGTTGTTTCATCGTATGCATCTTGCGGTGGGTAATCGATGGTGTGTATGCGTGGGTTTATGTGGTATTGATGTGGTTACGCTTTCTGGGTTCGTGTTGATTAATGGTTTTTCTAGGGAGTGATGCTGAAACAAAAGAAATTGGATGAGGCGCTAAGGGCCGGTGCTGCTTCGAGGCGTGTTAATGTCGATAAGGTCTGTACGGCCCATAAGTTACATTGAAAAGTTGCACTCCATGACTAGGAGTCTGCTGCCGTAGTTTTATTTGTTTCGGATATTTTTCGAAAATTCAGTCATCGGTGTACAACATCAAAATTTGACATTCTAGTTAATGGGTTCAACGATACATGCGTTGATCAATTATAACATCGAATTCACTCCAGCCAGCACTTCACAGAATACAATAGAAGATGGCAGCGTGAAGTAATGTTTAGTTCTTGTAAATTTGATTTGTTCAGCCATACGAATGGTAAGAAGGCTGAATTGTTAGGACTGATCTGTATACCCATTTGGAGATGAATTATGATATGTTTTATTTTCGAAGCACCAGAAATGATACAGTAAATATGTCGAGTTAGTATAGGGATGTGTGATGCCAGGATTCTTTTGTTTTTGTATTCTTTCAAAGTCTCTATAAATTTTATATTCTCCACATTTGAACCATCATATGTTAATCTGTATTTTACAGGTATATTCTCCTTAAACCAGAAAACGAACCAACAAAAAAGCGACATGTAATTAATAATGTTCAGTTTAAAAAAAAAGTTGCGAAATTCGGAGTGCTCAAGTTTCAACATGAACAACATAACAAAGAAGTGTTAGTTGCTTCGTGTATTTGCTGTGGTGTAAATTTGACAAAATATTTGCAAATATTTGATTTGATAAAATATTTGCAAATATTTAACGTAAAACTCAAACTTATGGGATCAACAACAATAACTCCTTTACTTAACGTGATAATTAATTGTTTAATTCCTGATCAAACTTTTTCAACACTAATGCTATTATTTGTTGTCTATGTGAACTGCTTTTTAATGAGGAACGGTAGTATTAAAAAAAACTGGAATAAAGTTCACTATCACTGTAAGAGCTTATAGTACTACTGAGACTTCAATCTTTTTTCGTTTTTAATTATGTTACATGCGCTCTGCAGAAAATCTGAAGTATGTGTAATTTAGTAAAGAAGAATTCTTAAATTTTATATGTTTCAAGGTGCTGTGTTTGCATTTGGACGATAATACTTGCAGAACAGTAAACGTTGAAAAAGTGACATTATTTGAATCTACTATAAGTTATTCGAACGTGTTTACAGGAAGCAGAATGCGGAAAATAGGAAATCCGCTAGGAAGAAGAGGTCAGGCATTATCGAAAAATGTCAGCAAAAAAAAAGACAGCAAGTTAACGAAAGCTGACGCTTACGATATAGATATTAATTCACTAAGATTTTCATGAAAATTATATTGAAATATGGCTAAGTGCCAATGCAACTATTCCAGCTACATCTTTCCGAATCATGTTTCATATGTTTACTTCTTATTTCATAGCTATTTTACAGTTATTTTTTTACACTTATTTCATAGCTGTTTTGCAGTTACTTTCGTTAGTTTCATTTTGCTTTACTTGAACTGTCAAGTAAGACTTCTCACTATATCTAGCTTGCTAAATTGAAAAGTTATATATTTATGTCTATTACCCCTTAGAATCTCTCAATTCCAAGTAATATTTTAAAATCACTGTTTAAGTTGGCTTCCTGTTGGTTGTTAATTATGTAGTTTTCTCCCAGCCATCTGACTGTAATTTATATTGATATTAGTTGCATATTTCTAAAAAAAGATTCGGCTAACATAATTATTTTTTCCTGTTTATTGATTCTGCTTACTATTTTTTTATCATTCAAATTTGAACTGCCAAGATTTCGTTTTTCACTGATTTCGGATGATATATTCTTAATTTGTTTGAAACAACTGACAATATTCCAGACATTTTCAAATTCGAATAATGCTAATTTGTATTTTGATACAAGTAAACATGAGACTTTTATTTAGGTACAACTCAAATTATAGTCGCCATATTGTTCGGCATTTCTTGGTGTAAAATTGCAAGATGTAAGAGACATGATGAGTTCGAGCTCCGATAAAGTCGCTGCATTATTCAAGGCCAAATAAATCAAGTTCTCATTCTTGTCATTAACTTCTTACTTCCTTAAAATTGCAGTTTTCTCGTTTCTTGTCATATTAATTGCTCGATTATTGAATCTGTGATAAAATTTTCAATATCGAAAGTGTATCATGCATCTCATCCAAAAAAAAGTTAATCCACTGGTAATTGTCAAAGTAATCATGAATGAGCTTACTTTTTACGGGCAGTATTCCAGCCATTTTTGATAGTGGTGTATAGCAGTGCTGCGAGAAATGCTGTGGTGCGCTATGAGCAACAGTTTTCAGATTGCTGTCAGCAATCGTGTGTGAATAAATATTTCAAAATGGACGATTTCATATTTCCGGAAGATATTGATGAAGAAAACAATGATGCTATGGATTTGGACGCTGTTCAGAGTGGAGTAACGATTTCTGAAGGAGATGACCGGGAATTAGAGTTAGTGTCAGAGAATGTCCTCTCGGTTGGTTATTGCGCTCAAGCTATGAGTGATACATTAAAAAAGTATGAAGAAGTCAAGGAAAGCATTGCTGAAGTGGATCAACTGGCGATGCAGGCAAGAACTTTAAGTCAAAGCTTCCTAAAAAATCCTAAAAAAAGCTCCGCGTTTAGTTTTTTCTGATGATTAGGTGGAAAATAGTTTCTTGTAGAACAAAAATGGAGCAGTGCCGTGACTTTCGTTTAATTTGTCGAAATTTTATAGATCAGATCTTTCATCATTAAAACATGTGGAATGAAGAGAATGATATGTACTTTAAAAACGATTTTTCTTTCCTTTTACTAGCAGAAATTAACATTCTCATTCAGCACAAAAGCAACAAATGTTTTTAAGCCTGAATCTGTATATGCCCATCTTCCCTTCCTTCTCTCCTTCATGAAAATGTCAAGATGGATGAATTGAACATAAAATTTCCTAAACTATTTTTTCCAGTTATCCTTTGGAGTACGTTTACAAGCCGAAATGGACAAATGTGCCTCAGAGAGGAAGGATTTTCCATTGCATATTGTTCTGAAAGTATCATCATTTGCTTTATTTTTTGCAACATAAGCCTATCGTATTTTCATCTAGTTCTACTCTTGTATCCCACTGAACAAAGTTAATCTTATTACAGTTAATTTTTTAGAGATGTCCCATAAAATTTCGAATCTTAACAAGAAATATTTGATAAAATCTAAAATGCACTGTACTTAATTAGATTAATTACAGTGTATAATCTTTATTGTTATAATCGATATACATAATGAACAATTCATATTTTTAGATTCTTTGCAAAGTTAATTACAATATATAATATTCATTGGGCCATACGCATTACTTCGCGTTTTTTTCCTTTCTTCAAATATGAAATGTTTCTCGTACACATCAGTAGAGCTAAACTAAAGTTCGATAACACATTTCAGAGGCATTTTTTTTTTTCATTTCAGAGACAAAAATTGAGTTCTGGCGCATCCCTACTAATGATTCAATTGCGGAATAATTCACCATTTGAAATGATTAAGTGGCATTTGACTCTGACTACATCCTATCAAACATCAACAACTGCTGAGGGTAAAGGTTTGTTTACAGAATGCATTAAGAATAAAAATAGGGATAATGTTGGCTGAGAGAGAGAATAGATGAATAATAATAAATAATAATTAATAATAACAATAACAATAGTAATAATAGCAGTAATAATAATAACAGCAATGGTAGTAATAAATAATAAACAATAGTAATAATAATGACAGTATTTACACTCTTTTATAGATAAAATATTTACGAAAGCAATACCAATCGAACGACTTTCACAACATTCCGAGTTCACTTATGAAGTAAGTATTTTAAAGTAAAATGTTAAACCTAAATGTTGTGACAAATCTTATCAGAATTAAGCTATTTGTATAAAAAAAGGAAATTTTTTTTCTGAGCCGATTTCCTGAAAATTTCCAAAAATATAATTTCCACAACCAACGAGAACAATATTTTAAATCATATTTTAAGCATTTATTCATTAGATATTTGATCACATAAATTTCACATGTTGTTAAACCGTAGAAAGTTCTTTGTAGCGATATTAATACATGAAGATTTCTGAAATCAATCAATATACATATATATGTTAAAATATAGTAAGTTTTCTGAAAATCCTCAAAAATGTCAGCAATTAGTGAGAATAATGAAAGATATCCGTGCTATTTATTATTGTGTGCGGAGTGAATAGTATTTGTACTTTGCAGGTATTTTGCACCCATAATTTGCCAATATCACTATTCTTCCGAGTGCATTTGTTTAAATGTATCCATTTATCAGGAGATAGGGAGTCTCGTGCTTTTCGAATTGCTCTTGAACCAATTTATTTAACTCATTGGAATACGGTTGCTATAACTGCCATATTGGAAAATACAGTCAGTCGATTGGTTCATTATGCAAGAGTTGATGAGGTCAGTTAGTGCAAATAACTTAAGATTAAAAATTTTTGCAAATAATTTAAGATTAAAAATTTTTCTCAGGATGATTTTTTTTGTTAAAAGACTCGATATCTCAAGTTAGAAGAATAGAGATCAAGGAATAAAGGTAATATGAACTTAAATAACACAAAGTCTGGCAAATGCTCTTAAGGTTTTGCTTTAGGAGCAAAAAATTACATTACCTGATGCTTTGGTATACTTAATTTGTAATGGAAAACAAACAGAAACGATGCTTCTCAATTGGATTATCATCAATACAATTACGGATGGATGTGATTGTGTGAACTGTGTGGTACTGGACGATGAGAATGTTCGTTGGCCATTTACAGTAGAGATCAAAAAACGAGGATTAAGCTATGATGTAGTGCTAAAGATGAAGAATGCAAAAATGCGATGTATTTTGATTGATGAGTTGAAAATAAGAATTTTAGTAAGTTCACCTCTGTCTTATCAATTCCCACTGAAATATTTGCTCATTGAATGATTCACGAAATGGTTAATGTATTGAATGATTAAATGGCTATTTCCAATGACTCTTTCACTGATAATTTCTCAATCATTTTAAAAAGAAGAAAGGATATCATACAAATAATATTTGATTATTTTTTCGGAAGAAGCTATTAAAATTTCAATTCAAGTCCGAGAATTAAAATTTTAGACTAAAATTTAGTCTATAAGGAATGATTGCAGATTCGGATGCGATATATCTGGAAAGAATTGAAGGAAAAGGAAGACTGTGAATTACTTCTGGATAAGAAATCACTATCTGACTGTTTCGCTTCTCTTATTGCTAAATATAAGCGTCGATAAACTTAACTGATGACTGTTAGTGTAACTATATATACGGTTACTTCACTGATAAAGAAGTTTACAACGATAATATCTCATCGGCAACTTCGATAACATGATTAATATTGTAGCTCAACTCTTCTCCGATAACATCATTTCTGATAGGCCATTTTTCACGTTCACACACTCATAGAGAATGTTGCGATATATATAGTTCCCTAAAACATGTTTACTTAGCTCATTAAAACATGATTGTGAGAGTTAACTGTTGAATATTGGAAAGTTCATAAGAAATTTCTTTACAAAATTCTTAAATTTAGTCTAAACAGATTAGGGATTAAAAATTTGAATTGTTGAAAATTAGAGAGAATGGAAGGAAATCTTATGCAGTGAAATAATGCATAACACGAAGGATTGCCAGTTAATTACTCCAACATGTGGATGTCGAAGATGGGACGTGATGATGTCATAGAGGACAGGGATTGTGATATGGGAAGGTTGGTAATGTAATTTAAATGTCGCTTAGAAAGGATTTAACATTTAGGTGCTGACTGTGGCTTGCAAGGGTGAGAGAAGATTTAGATTTGTGCGCTAGTTTGTTTTTATGCTAAATTTATATGGAGAATTTATATGCTAATGAAGCTTCACTTTGCATGAAGATGTATTGTTTATAATTCTGTTTCACATTGTGTAATTTCACGTAAATACATTGCAATTAAATTTGAATTTATTTTACATTTATCTATGTTTTCTTGTGGAATTTACACTTATTTCTTTGTTTTATATGTAAATTTAATCAAAATTGGATGCATTTTACGTATTATCGTGAAAATTTATGTTTGGGCGTATTATTTAAAGGATCAAAGATCAAATACTGTTTAAAAGCGCATTGTTTAAAGGGTGTTTGCCACTCGAAAATGGTGCGTAAATTAAAATTTCACGAAAAGAAATTGCTGAAAAAGGTTGATTTCATTTCGTGGGAACTTGATAACAATATTCATGAGGCGAAGATCTTGCGAAAATATCATATTAAGAAGCGCCAGCATTACTCGATGTATAATACTTTGGCAGCTAATGTTAGTTTGTACATATATGACAGTTTTGTTCTTCAAATAAGTCGTGGAGACTGTGAAAGTTAATTCTTACAGATTTTTTTAGACTTTATTCGCTGCGATGATGAAATCACGACTCATTATGAGATGTTGTGAGATTATATAAGCAATCTTAAGAATGAGGAGTTCGAGAGTTTTCTATGCATCTTTAAATGCTTGCAGTATAAGTTACATGGGAATTCCTAGCATTTCGTTGGTGACGAAAGCGAAGTAGTAAATAAGTTCTAGCTCGAAAAAAATCGGATTCGTATAAACTAAATATGTGAATCTGACTACTCGTTTAACTTTGAGAAGGTTTAAATTAAATAATAATTGACGGTTGGTTGATCTGCCACTAGTAACTTATAGCTACAATTTTATTTACAGATTCGGGAAATTGCACTGAAATTAAAAGAGTTACCACTGAATGATCCATTTCGTTTGAAAACAGTTCGAGAATTTTTAGAAAAATTGTATGCCGTCGGACTGATACCGACTGCTGACACACTTGAACGTGCCAGTAAAGTTTCCGCTTCTTCATTCTGTAGGCGACGATTACCGGTATGTTATGATTTCCACCTCATTAAAGAAAAGGATTTAAAAATCAATTCATATGTTATGTTTCCACTCCGCTATGTGTTTTGAAACATTTCAAAGATTCTCTTTCTTCAAAAATGTGAGCATTAAATTTGTGCATTTAAGAAAACATTGTGATTTGATTGTTCAGCAAATTTTTTTTCATCCATTTTTGCCGTTATTGCAGGTAATGATGAAACGTCTAGAAATGGCAGAAACTGTAAAAAATGCGAGCGACCTTGTAGAACAAGGGCATGTACGTGTCGGAATAGAATTAATAACTGATCCTGCATATCTAGTTACTCGAAATTTACAAGATTGTATTACATGGACGAAGGACTCGAAAATCCGAAAGCATATCCTTAACTATAATAATGAGCGGGATGACTTTTTGTTATGATAATTTTTTGTCTTTTAATATGGTCGCAATGAATCACTGATTTTTTCTTCAAATTTTTAATGATGCTATATTTTGATGTGAATACGGTGAATTAGTATGAAATTTATCTAGCTATTCATTACTTGGTAAGTTTGGTTAATGAGGCAACTACCAGACATATTCATGTATTAGCATTTGAGCGTTGCTTCCGGGATAAAGTTGTAGACAGGGTCTCAATCCATACGCTGATATTCCAACTCGCTAGTCCTAATTTGCAGATACGCAACACTACTTTTCGACTATATGCAGTTAAATAATGAATGATCAGTTGTTGTGTTATGTCGAATATGTTTGATATTGTTCTGCGCTTGAGTTTTTGTAAGAGCTTTTTCTTTAAGAAAATTCGCCCGATACTACTCTAGTAACTCACATTTCTCAAAATATAATGTTCAAAATTGCGATGCTATACTTAGGATTAAATTCCAATGCTGATCTTACACAATTGTTCTATTTATGTGTATAAGATGAAGATAAAGTAAAAAAGCGTTATTTTCATGATAAGATTCTTGTTTTCATCTCTTTTTTTACTATATATCAAATAGATATTACTCCCTTACCGTTGGCTGTGTTGTTCAATCGTTTCGTTTCGCCCCAAATACTAGCTTTAAGAAACATTTAATTGCTCTGCAAAGTATTGGTTCATTTCAGCAACTTGGAAGTAATAGCGAGGCATAATAATGTAAACAAAGCAGTTTCATATGACAATTTTTCAAAATTTCAAGCAGAGAGAGGGTGCGCATACGTGCGTTTTTCTTCGTGCAGAAAAAGCTCATAATGCTATTCAACAAGCGGTTTGGTTTTATCGAATAATTAGCAGAAAAGAAATTTTTAATCTTATTCAAACATGTTCATTATGTGGATCGTACATTATAATGTCTTTGTTTGATTTCGTATGCATGCAATATCATAGGCCCAGGGTTGGGCAAAATGTGATACGGAATAACTTGATGAGGCCGCATAACGAGATATCAAATCATCATTGGGATTACCGTTGAAGTTACCACATAAACCGCAAACCTAGAATACACAATTTCAGCTCTTCTGTCGTTACTTTTTACATTTAATTTGTTATGTTGAACCTATTCTAATTACATTTACATTTGCACTAACTTTTAAACTATTCTTACCAAGAATTGATTTATTTCTATGTTGCAATTAATGAAACAATATTTAAATTAAATTTCCTGCGAACACATATCGCTGTAAATACTTGAGCACAATAGTATCCCAGTTATATTTGAAAGTTAGATCTAAGACCGTTTTTAGGGAGATTTATATCATTTATTGAAATCCTATACAAGTTATATGATTTTAAAATAACTGATAATAAAAAAAATGCTTACCTTGGATTGATATCGTTTGGTGAGGACAATTTCAACAAACGATTCCCCATCCCAAATTACTTTTAAACCGATCAATTTAAATGAAACAACAATGTGTCCATTGGAAGGGTCCTCGAAAGCTCGATATTCTGGCCAATCACTGTAACGAACATACGGAATATTGATTATCTTCGTATGTTCACGTATAACCTTAAAAAAAACTTCCAAATACGGTTAATGTATTTGAACGATTTGTCACAATATCAAAATAATTCTAAATCTGTTTCTTTATTTTATATTATTCTAACAAACTTCAATTTATAAATTCAAAAAGAGTTGTGACCTTTTTTGGCAATAAATGTATGGTAAAGTACGTTCCATTGAAAAGTGATATATAAATAATTACACGTCGTGTCCACGTTAACGATGATCGCCCACTGTTTACGCCAATTATTTTGAACTGTGGATCAATTCTGAAGTAAAATATGAATTTGTTATATTTAATTTAACAATTTATTATTGATTCCAATTTTCTCTTACTGCAATTTATTGATTCCAATTTTCTCTTACTGCAATAGAAATTTTAAACACTCTTAAATCTATCATATCAAACCGATACCCATTATGTGAGCATTCTTGCGTGAAAATGTAACTACACGTTCTTTGAAATGAATAACCAAATTTGTCGAATGTTATATAATTTGGATTACCGAATATAGTACATGAGCTTTCCTCTGTAAATAATAATAAACAATTATTTGTTCAAATATTCAATTATTTCACAATAGAGTTTTTCTATTATTGAATATAACATTTTCTCATTTAGGATTATTGACAAAAAATATTTATGATTAATGGGAATATCAAGATTGATATTATGAATGATGATATTATTAAGATAATAAACTTTAAAGTTAGATCAAATATATATAGTTTTCATGACATACAGTAAACTATTACAATTTATTTTTTCCTTATAATGTGCTAATTTATTAACAATAGTAATTAATTATTTAATTTCTAATTGTTTTATCTTTGCCAATAATAGTTTATTGCGTTTTTTTTTGTTTGTTTAACTATAAGCTTTGATTTTTTTGTTTAAAATAATATAAAACAAATTGACTTATTTTATATTTTTCTTTTCAAATTTATTTTTATATATTAAGGATTACTGTAATAATTTGCATATCAATCTCTTATAATATGACATATATATTTACTTAGCTCACATTGATGACAACATGATCCATTCATTTTTTTGAAATGTTGTCCTTGTGGACATTTCTTTTTCCGTGGACAGTCAGTTTTTTTACATTTTATATAACCATTAATACATATGCAATTAGAACAATTATTATCCAATGTCCATTTTGTGCCATGCTGAAATATTGATTTTATATTTGTTGATTTTCTAAATGAAATATGTGTGTGTTTTTTGATTGATTTTATTTCTAGGTATGTATGTCAATTGCATTTGATTAGATAAGAAATTCGTTCAAAAGTTTAGTGATAATTCCTTAGTAAATGGTGATCCCATAATTATATTTGGAATTGTATGATCACTGGATAATGCCCATTGGATAATTATAATTAATTCATTGAATGATCCTACTGAATAGCTTACTTCTACAACAATTTCATTTCCATTGATATCAATTCTTTTGCATGTATTTTCTTTTCTGTAGCAAAATGGACAACAAACATTCGGTTTATAAAATATATGCGACATGTCACATTGTTTAATTGGACAAACAAATCTGAAAATGTAAAAAAGCGAAATACATAAGGAAAAAACAATGTTTTTGAATGATAGTAAAAATTTTGGAAAATAAAAAGATTTTCAATTGGATGAAATTTTGATAAAGTAAGACCTTCTACAGACAATTCCACCTGGTTGACAAGTACAACGTGAGCATGGATCTATACGAAATGTATCATGCACAAGATAGTGCCATCCACGAAACAAGCAATGGGAACTGTTTGATATTGTCAAGTTTGAGCCTTCCGAAATAACAGTATGACTTTTGCATTCCGGACAACATCTGAAAACTATAATAACTGATAAGATTACTTACAAAATAAGCTAACTGAATTGCAAATAATACATTGTGATAACAAATTGATAATGTATTTTCAGTCAAAGAAAAATTAACATTATTTAGCTTGCTAGGGGTATGATTTTACGGGTAAAAAAAAATTTGATAAAGGTTTGGTAAAAATTAAAAAATACCTTTTCGGATGTCTTGTGTGTTGAGATATTGGGCAATTCAGTACGGGACAAGTAAAACGATAACAATGGTACCATTGATTTAATACCAAATCACATCGAATACATCGATCCTTAACTTTTATTGGTGTTAAGCATAATCCACAACAAAACCCAGCCAACAAACGTCCATTTGAACAATTTGATACACATTGAATCCGCCAACTTGTTATAATACCAGCCTAGGATTTTATTATTACGTGACAAAGTTATTATGTAAAAAGAAAATTTTGCGAGTGATAATGTTTGCTTACAAAATATAAAACGACTGGTAGTAGAAAATGATAATTAATAATAACAGTAATTTCTTAGAAAGAAAAATAATGGAAGAAAAAATGAAATGAAGCAAACAATTTGAGTATTTATTTATAAATAAAGGATTGGATAATTTCACAGATTTCTAATTTTTAATTTTAATTTTAATTAATGCCTAAATTTAAATTCATTTGAAAAAAAAGAAAAGAAGAAGAATAACTTTGCATGAAATTTGCGTGCACCTATCCTGTGTGCTTGTCCAAATTTGGTTATTATTTCGTTTAATACCCAAATGAATACAATGCAAACATTTTATACAGCATGTATTATTATTACGATCCCACACTGTTGGACAATTCTTCAATGATTCACATTTTTCCAATACGCATGTTATTATACCATTCTGAAAACAGGTGAAATAATTTGAATGATTCCCATAATAGCCTGAATGGTAGTTTATAATAATCTGAATGGTACACTAATAATTTTTTAAATGGAACTCTATAGAGCCTCTTCGATAACCTGGACGGTACTCGATATTATTCTGAATAATAGTCTATAATGATCTGAATGGTAGTTTAATAATGAGTTTAATGGAACTCTATAAAATGGAGTGTCAATTGGAGCTGTTAATAAACTATCGAATCAAATCAATAAATTTAGTGAACTTCCCGATATTACAGTCAGATATTACCGATCACTCATTTCCGGAAAACAGCTAATTATATCAATTGTAATATCATTCTATTTTATTCTACGCAGTGATCGAATTTATTGATAATCTGCACCAATTTCAGCTTTGACAAAGCATATTTCAGCAATTATTTCGTAATTCATTTGAAGTGACCACTGGATATAAATCTCCAAATGGTCATCGTCATTCAACATCAAATGTTTTTGATCAAATTTCTTAAGTGATACTGAAATGATAGTTAAGTTGATAGCTTAAATAATAGTCAAAATTCTATTAATGAAGCGATAAATAACACCAACCTTACACACGCAATGATAGCAAGGTGACGTGACCAAACCACGTGTTACATCTGCCAAATCAATCTTGGCACCTTCTTTTGTACATGGTATTCCTATGTGAAATTTAAAATTTCAAATTATATTAAATTAAATACACATTTATTGAAAATTATTTGCGGAAACAGCAAATAGCATAGGCTAATACTATTACTCTCATATTTATAACCTTAATTTTAGTAAAATGAAAGAGAGAAAACTATAGGAATGGTATAACGTTAATTATTTCTTTATTAAAAATAAAATAGCATCCTTTCTTTGTCAATTATATTAATTATACATTTATCAATTTTTGTACCAAATCCTATTTATTATCTTTTTCTTTTTAATTCATAAAAATTTAAAAAATGAAATAAAGACTAACCTTCACCAATAAGTTGACTACGAACTTGTATTAATGGCAATGTTAGTGAGAAAATAAGAATGGAAATAATGATACAGTATACACTTTTACAAATCATACACGAATGGAAATTGATATCTAAGCGGTGAGTGATAAACTATAAAAGATAATAACTATTCAACTTTTGACCATTTTTCATTTTATTGTCATAATCAATCGGAATATGATAACATTTTTTTTCCTCTTCCTTATCATCAATGATAACGCATTATAAGATCTGACGAAAGTATATTACATCAAAGATAAACTCACCAAAAATACTATCTTTTTTGATTTGTAAATCCAAACGTTTCTTTCTTCATTCCCTTTTTTTGCTAGATTTTTCTGCATAAACCTTTATTAATAAAAAATTTTCTTTCATCGATTGATTGATAATTTAATAAAATATGAAAATTTATCTTTAAAAAAAATAAATCAATAAAATTTGTCGAAAATAACTCATTTTTTTAAAATTTTCCTGATGAATAAATAATTACGCTCAAATTATTAAGTTTATAATGTCTTACATTCAACAATTTTGTGAACTTTTAATTTTAAAGTGATTTTTTTAAAAAATTGAAATATTTAATTTAAGAATTTTGAAAAGTTTTCGATAAAAGATCGAATATTTATTATTAAAACAGCAATAATGAATACAGAATTGATGTAAATTACATTATATTACGTTGAAGATTTACAACAAAAAAGTAATTAATAAATGAAATTATTGAAGATATTATTTAAAACGAATAAGAATTGCCATTTTGTCAAATATATAAATTTAAATTTTAAAGTTTTTTTTTCATTCCTACAAAATATGCAAACCGTGTATGGCTTATCATTAGCGAAAAATGTGAAAATGCTTATCAATGCCTATAATTATTTATTAACAAACGAGCAATCGCTATTTGTTGAATTCATCAAAAGGTAATAAACCGGAAATTAATGGATCAACAATTGACTCGAATTGCTGTAGTTCATTATCATCTTCCTCTTCTTTGCTATCTTCATGTATATAAGCCATTGCACCACAACTACCTTCACAAATACTTTGTAATAAATATCGTAAATCATTTGATGTCAAATTAGTATTTAAATCAATTGATTTAAATGTTGATATTGCCCATTTGATTCGTTCCCAAACAGACTGAAAAATAATAATTAATATATGCAATGTAAAATCATCGTATATCATTCATCTTTTACAACAAATACTAACATTTCGTATATTTGCAGTTTTCATTAAAACCGCTGATAGCATTGCTTATCAAAGAAACTGTTAAGCATCCAACCTCTCCTAATCTTTCTTATCAAATTTCAATAAAGATTAAAAAAATGTTATCATACAATAACATAGTATTTGCTGTAGCATTAATAAAATAAGCATAAAGTATTTACGTATTACCTGTCCGGAATTGCTGACAATAGTGCTATCCAGAGGTAATGGATTTCCCTTAAGGGAAGTTATTAAATGTATCAGATTCAGTGCAGTTGATAATGATAAAGTAGCAGAACGCAACGCTTCATTTAACTGTTCTAAGCGATCTACACAACATAATATCTGTAACTTTTCCTTAATGAATTCCATAATTACAAATTGAAATAAAAAGAGATATTTAAAAGAATCAAAAATATAGAGAATTTCCGTTGTTTTTCCATTTCTTTTCTTTAAAGAAATTTTTTTTCTTTAGAATGATTAAAAAAGTTGAAGAATTGAAATTAAAAAAACGAGATTCAAAATTTTAAAACTAATTAATTATAGAACCTGTTGATATGTATAATTCAACAAAGTATTCATATGATCAACTTCGGTTGGTCGTTCACCTCTTAGTTTTATTAATATAGCTGCTTGAACATTACGTAAAAGAGTGCAAAATCGTTCTAATTCTTTCTCTTCTTCCAATTTTCTTTTTTCATGCTAGAAAATAAAAAAGAAATATGATGAAGAACGGGAAGGCAAAACCTAAAGTTAATAGAGGCAAAACTGATTTGTTGGAGAAATTGTACCGTAAAAAATGAAAGTAATATTGTTACCGAATATAAAAATAATTTGATTATCAAATATAATAATTTCACCGAATATAGAAATAATATTATAAGCGAATTTATTTCATTTTCTAAAATAATAAAGCAAACTTCAATGGAACAATCATAAATATTCCGTCGGAATTTTGAGATAATCCAATTCTGTATGATTTCGAATTTAATTCATAAATTTTGATGAAAATTTAAATCATCCACCTCAACATAAACATCAATTTCGTGAAGAATCTGATCTAATGGAAGTGTGCAGTTTAGTTTTGCTTCCGGTTGTTTCTCTTGTATCCTTACGATTAATTCATCGGCAAATAAATAAATGAAATTTAGGCTTTCCGCTTGAATTCGATAACGCTCTAAAATCAACTAAAGAATTTTTTTTTTACAGAAATTTCCCAGAAACATCTGGGAATTGCTTTTAGGACAAAAGAATAACGGAAAAGAGCAATAAGAGTAGAATTTAAATTTACTCACTGCATTTCTGAGATACATAGATTGAAACAACCGTTCCCGATAAATATGGTTGAAAACCAATTGCCGTATTACTTTCAGCTTCAAATTCTGAAAGTGTACGGTAATTATGGTAACTTTCGATAACAAGAAATAGTCCGTGAAATAGTGTATAATCAAACTAATAATTTAACCGATATGATGACATTATTGTGAGAGAGGACGGAAAAGATTATATTTGAGTACGGCATGATAGATTGCTAGAAGTATTAAATAAGCTAAAAAATAGAATTTATTAACTATTTAAGTCAAAGGATAAATTCGAAAGAAATGATAACTGATATTATGATCTTCCATTAAGAAATTTAATTTTGAATCGTAACTTTGACATCCTCTTATGCTATCATTGAGCTAAAAAGTTTTAAATATGATTTAAACTAGTCAAAATAAAATTTTGATTCAAACTCAAATTTACTTTTAACATTACCAAATAGTTCGAATGTTCAGAGAAATTGATAATTATTACGAATTCTTCTATTAAAAAAAAGAGAGGGAGAAAGGAAAAGTAATTGAAATAAAAATACCGGGAAATAATTGTGTTATATCAAGAGCAGGTAGTGTTGATTCGATAGTTACTTTGTATTGTGCATTTCGTTGAGTGCTTACTGTATGACACATCAAATTCAAAGGCATTCTCAATTCCTCACCAATCACATTACCTTAAAGAAAAAATTCAAAAAAAATTAAATTTGAACAAATATATGCTTTGATCATAAATTATATAAAAAAGAACTAAAAAGGTAAAAAGATAGAAATTGTTTGTTAACAGTAAATTTGTGAATACAATCAAATATAAAATTATTTCGCAAAAAATTTGAATAATGTAGAAATTTGAAATTTCAAAATAGAATAATTCATTAATAATTCGTGTTTAACTAAATATTTTTATGTTTTAGTAACTTTTTTCCTACTACTCATCAATTTTATTAAGAATTTTCCTCATTATAAAAAAGGGAAAACTAAAATTACAAAGGTAGTAATATTACTTTTATTAGATAAAGTGTCATGTCATTTTGAATTCGACATAACACAAACCGTTCCATGTGCTTTTGTTAAAATACTAAAAGTTATAATTACAAATTTTTGATAAATAATTAAAGTTTAAGTAAAATGCTTAAAAATTATATCATTTTTGATAGAAAATTAGAAAGCAAACCAAATTGTGAGGAGAACGCATAAAGTTTACATCGCAAATCATATACAGGTTGATGTAAAACGTATATACCTGCTGATAATTTTTGTGAACCATCTATAATTGATTTCATTGATAAAAAATTAAAAAAAAATACTGTTGTAACTTTTTTATCTTTTTTTAAATTAATCAAAGTTAATCGAAATTCGAATAAAATGAAATTTATCAAATCGATAATTATGCTTAGAAAAGTATCATGATAATTGATCATAAAAAATTATTAAAATAAATTAATTTTTGAAGTATTTTGAAATCAAACAATTTTTTAAGCTTAACTAGGCTCGTTCACCACATAAGTTTTATGGAATCATTTCAATCATTTAAATGATTTAATTATGACAAATTTACTTATATGATTAGACAAACCAATGGCAGGAAATGATATATATTTGTGTTCAGTATAAAATTCTGTTGAACATATCAATTTGACGTCAAGTAAATGTACTTCACTCAATAATTCAATGTTTAGCGTTAAAGACGGAACTTCTTCTGATAATTTTTCTGCTCGCTAAAAGATAGTTAAAAATTGGAGTTATTGTAATATCCATTATTTGAATGAAAAACAAATCAATTTACACACTTAACTTTCAAATTTGATTTTTTGCTTTTTCCATTTCTACCTCCTAATTATTTTATTATAGCAAAATATCTTTCCTTTAACTCTCAATCTCTAATATTTCAAATAGTATTTCACAATAATCTAAAGCAACACTTAAAATCTCTCCAATTACAACACTAATCATCGACCACTAATGATGAAATCAACGAAAGAAGACGAATCGTACCGATTTAGAATCTAAGCCATCGTATGTGCAATTTAGTGTTAATGAATTTTTCGGTGTAGTACCTATAAAAGATGAGAATTTGTTCTTATTAAATGAATTGTTTTTTCTTGAAAATTAATTTCATCTTCAGAAGAAAGAGAAAATTCAATATAACAAGGTCCGAAATAAGAACAATTCTCATTAATATATATATATATATATATAAAATATCAATCAATTAGAAGACGTCCATCAATCCTCTTCCCCATTTGATTGAAAATATCTCCCGTTCCTTCTCGGATAAATTCTTTTATCGAAGAGATAACATTTCTCTCTCATACATAGACATTATATTGTTTGCATTGTAAAAAAAATGTAAGTAAATAAACATTTGGAAAAACAATATTAAAAAAGAAGAAATCTTTTAGAAAAATTAAATACCCTCAATTAATTCTAGCGGTTTTTTATGTATTAATGCTTCAAGCTCAGTGAATTCTTTGTAGCGCTGTTGGAAATCAATGAAGCGCGTTTGTGGTGCTGGAAGACGAAATAACGATGGCTCAGTACCCAAATAACTAACAGATATTCGCGAATTTGATAAAATTACCAGCATTGAACGATATACTGAGCTTAAAAAAAAAATACAGCAACAATAATAAAAGATTGATTTTATGGAATGAAAAAAGTTCAAGGAAAAAAAATTCTCCAAAAATTAATTCTTCCAATTATCAGATGTGAAAAATGCTACAAACCTAAAAGTACATAATCGAACTTGAATTGCATTTTGTAGAAGTTGTGCTGCCCAAATTAATAACGTATCTTTGAAGAAAAGTAACATACGTGTTGCTGTTGTAATGCATAATTTTATATATGCATCATGAGCTATAAAATAAGCCTATAAGCACGATATACTATTTCATTGAAACAGCTAATTAATTAATTAAAGTAATAAATCAAAGAAGTAATGACAAATGTTATGAATTACCAACTAAACAAATGATTGATAGAACAAATATAGCGATGAAAAATTTTAAAATAGAGTAAAAAATATTAGTGGTTAATTTAAAAAATTTTAAAGCTAAATAAAATTACAGAAATTAATTGAAATCATAGTTGACTAAGTGATAGGTTGAAAGCAGTAATTACATAATCGGTAATTAAAATTTCGAAACTAACTAGAATCGTAAACAAAAAGTGAAGTTGCAACACATTGTAAGCGATATGTAAATCTTAAGGTACCACCATGAGTTAAACAAAATAAAGTTCGCTTGCAGAGAATAATAATAGACGGTTGTACAAGTGATGTATCAATCACTTCTAAATTCAATGGATAATCACCCAAGCTAAATGTCCAATTAGTCTGGAACTTAATATTATTGAGAACATCAATACATAAATAAAAAATTGGATAATGTCGATTAATTCAAGAAATATTAGCAAAATTATAAGTGCTACGATTGAAAATTATAAATTTTATAAATTTTGAATTTCAAAAAAATGAAGAAAAAAGTAAAGTAAGAAGAAAACGTACAATAATTTTTTTCCCACTTTTTCCACTTGATGCTGTAGCAAGAACGGAATATCTATAGGAAACTAAGATTGCTGAAGATGATGCGATAATGATTGAATCGGAATGAGGTGTATAGATGATTGGACCTGGATGTAGAGCGGTTATTAAATTAATCGAACGGTAGAAAAGTTGATTTTCCGCTTCGAAGACCATCAATGAACATGTCATATCTTGGACACATATTTGTGTTGCAGTTGCTCGACCGAATGTACCGATACACATGTTGTATGCTATCGTAGTGATACTATGTTCATAGACGGTACACAATTCATAAACTTCTCCATCTAAAATTATCAACTGGAATTGAAATTGCAAATGTTTTAAAATGCACATCAGCAATCAACTGATTGGAATATAAATATTAAATTTGAAATACTTGAAATAAGGCGATAAATTATCAGTTTTTGCGGCGATAATACGGCGATCACATTTTGTTCTAAACCGGAAATGAAATTTGCAATAGCAATGTCCAATATAGCAGCGGGTAAATCTTTCTCTAATAAACAACTCAAGAATTGTTGCTTCGTATCACTTGTTCGACCCGGATCGATGATCCATATTCGACCTGTTATACTACCCACCACTAATTGATCTATAAAGTTAGCCGGACAGTTATCAAGATTAATTCTAATGTATATAATCATAAAGTGGTAAGTTCAAAGATTAAAATCATTTACTAAACAAATAAATTATTTTTGTAATTTATAAAATAGTAGATAAATTTCAAAAACTAAATTATTTACAAGGCAAATAGGATTTGGAAAAAACGAAGAAGCACACAAAGAAACATTAGCTAAGCAAGAAACATTAGTGAAGCAATACGATCTTCAGGTTTTTCTAAATACAATGAGTTTGATGTTAGACTTCTCATATTTTATTAAAATTTAAATATCTCAATAAATTCTTCAGCTAACTTTTCACACCTCTCATTTCACGGATATTCGAGCTAATTTTGTAGCATACTGGATAAAATTACCCAACACTCATTCATCTATTTTCTCCTTATTCTTCTCGATAAAAAAAAATGTCAAACCTCGTTTCTCGATTAATTCGCCAACTGCGCAAACATTAGCATCAATTAATTCAAATGTAAGCCATTCATGGACATGAAATACCGACATATTAGCTATCACACTTTAGATTAATTTCGATGCAAAATCAAACAAACCGATATTTATGAGAGCGGAATTTCCAATTACCATAGCAACACCATGTGCACACCAATCATTACCCATTTTGTGGAAGTAGATTGAAATCATTGAGAAAAATTTCTATTACTTCTTAATATCATCCAAATGATATAGTATTAAAAGAAAGGATTAAAAGTAACGTCAAATATATCCAAAATTTTCTTTTCTTTTCCACTAGCAATTCACGTATTGCGGAGACCAATACGTGAATTGCCGAAGACCAAAAAATTCAAAAATTATTGGAAAAACCAGAGATTACATGTTCTTGAGATTTGAGAATCTTAGAACTAGTTTTTAAGGATTTCAAACAGTATGAAATCATATAATTCTAGATAGTAAGTGTTATGCAAAAAATGCGGTGTCGGAAGATTTTCGAATAAATCGATAGCTCAGATTATTTCTTAAATGATAAAAGTATTGAAGTACAAGAAATATAAAAGCACTGGATCCTCGAAAACAACGACAAATTTTCTCTCCAGTAAATAATGAAAAATTCCAGCTTAAATGGAACGGTAAAATAACTCGCTATTGTTAAATTATCTGACAGAAATAACAGACGATCCCTCGCTCTTATACTCCTGGAAACTTTTATCAGCTCTATCAGACGGTTCAATAAATTTGGAAACTGATTATGCAGTGATACTAGCTATAAATCCTTATTATCATTTATGTTCATTTCATCCGCTCCTGGCAAATCCGGAAAATGAACGAAAAAAGGAATTACTATCAAATTTTCTTAAGCAAACTATAGGAGTAGAATAAAACAAACGTAAAAACAAAAATAAGATAAAGAAGAAAATAGAGGAAAAAAATCTTTATACTGACATCACATGTATATTTTTTGGAAATAAAACAGAGCAAAATAAAGACCCAAAATAGATGAAATGACAATAAGGCAGTGGGAAAATTTGAAATTCCAAATTAAATTACAAGAGATAAAAAATCCAATCACTATGGACTGAATAAAAGACGGAACAATGATATCATATCCAGCTAGAATTTCTAAAAGCCTTAAATTCTTCGTATTTCCATCCCACTGCCGTGTTAATAAATATAACACACCCGTACCCCGATATGTCATATGTAACGAAAAAGATAACAGAAAGATAAATAAGAATAAGGAAATAGCATACAAAACCACGAAAAAGAAAACCGAAATAACTAATTCGAAAAGAAAACCCAAATGGTTTGTATTAACATGCAATCGAAATTCTTTAATATACAATACTTGTTCCAAACCACAGAAAAATTGATTGGTAGGTTTGAGTAATAGGAATAATAATTAATCTAAAGTCCTCAAAACTGGAGATCTCAGTAAGCATTCATTCCTTCCACTTCTTTCTGAGGATTTTCTGGCAATTCGCAAAAATTAAGAGAAATATTCCGAATCCAAAAAGTGATAATACCATTGAGAATCACAATAAATTACATCGAAGCGCATTTCACAACAGTGTATAACACATATCTTTTTTCTAAATCTTCTTTCAATGGATTAACTCTTCCTTTTCGACTTCTCTTCTCGTTTTCGTCTCTTTTCTTCTTCGCGCTTTTGCTTCAATTTTATTGAACTCGTCAGTCTGTATGTAACCAGTGCTAAAATCGCAAAACTGAATTCATTGGCAATATTTTTAATGTAAAGTCATCATCTTGAGATAGATATCGAGGAACAGATTAAACAAACTAATAACGTACGTAGCAGCTTTTCAAGAGCTGAAGCAGTTGAAGAATCTTTCTCATTTGTTCATCTCCTAACAAATTATATATCAATTCAATAATTTCGGGATCATATTTGAATCAGGAATGTTTTTTTCTCAACCAAAATTTAAACCATTTTGACTTAGATTTCATTGAAAAAATTAAACTCTGTCACAGTTTTCAATTAAGTCAATTCACAAAAAAGCGATATCAGATTGGACTGAATAATGGGCAAAATAAAAGATCCCTCAGATAAAGTGAACCAAATAGCATTTTTTTTTTTTTGAAAAAACTAACCTACGATAGTGACAACGACCACTAATGGTATAATAAAAACTGAATTATCAAAGCTATGTTGAAGAGTGCTTCTACCACTCAATTCAACCATTAGATCCGGATACGGCTAAGCGAATACCAGTACTGGAAAGGAATACCAATTACAAATTAACGGTTATTAAAATGAGTGCAAAATGATGCGCAGCGCAAATTGAAATCCAAAAATACTTTCAATAGTGCCCTTTCTTCACCAAAATGTTCGGGCAGGTACCACAGGTACTCTCAATCCCACCTCCCTTGCTCTCACTAAATTGTCTCGCAATAAATTCGTATGCCAACACATTCCCGTGAAACAGGTCGCCATCAAACCGGCGAATTCAGACGCGCTACGAAAATATATCTCATTCGTACAGGAGGGCCTCAACCAATTTGCGCATTTGCTTTGTTAATGGTGGGTGGGTTAGTGTGAGTGAGTGTTTGCCTATATGTCCGCTTCTTTTATTTAATTAATCGTTAATTTCATTCATATTTGGAAAATGCAATAACCACCCAATTTCAGCTCCGCATTATATTTTTGTCTCTTGTAGTAGCGATAACTGTAATACTTTTAAGAGAAGATGGAAAGTTTCCATAAATGCTGGAAAGAAGCAGGAGTAATGACGTCAAGTTTGAACTTCAAATAGTGAGGTTATGGTTGGAATTCAAGTACTGAAATAAAGTTTGGAGTTCGAATATTAATTATATAACGTAACAATGGTAGAGTGGTAACTGACAGTGCTAATAGTATCATCTCATCGCATTATATTGTTAGTGATGGCGGTAATAAAGGTCAGGAAGATGATTTATGGATCAAGAAGACTATGTAGAGACTGTGATACAGGTCAGTAAGAAATGACATGGGCCAAGAAGGCAGTGATATGGTCAAGAAGACTAGATGGAAACGTTTACTTCGTTAATTCTTACGTTCTGTTTTGAAATTAATAGTGAAAATGTATTACTTTTGGTACTTTAATTGTTTATCTCTTGACGCATTCCTTTCCCACCGAATAAAATCTTACGAACTCTTAAATTTCGAATATGCGATCCGAGCGATCGGTACGAAAACTGCAATACGTTCAGTGAAGAGTACCGTGATTGCTATCATTACCATTATCACATTAACTGTTCGTTAATAATATGCAATGACAGCGGGAACGATTGTGATAATAGTAATAACTGTAATAATTATGATGTAATAAGAAGGCGTATTATGTTTTAAATTTAAATAGTATAAAAAATTCACACATCTCTATTCAAGTTATTGGCTGAAAATTGAAAGTGAGAAATTTTTTGGAAACTGATTTACTGAAATTCATTTATTAATTCACTTTGACCAGTTTTTACTTGAAATGGAAAATTCATTAAAATTCATTTGCAAAGGAAAAAAGGGATGGAGAGGAAGGAAAAGAGAAATCACGTCATTGTTCGATATTGATCGATGAATTCAATTAATATTTGTTGGTGTTGATAGCGTATTTCAACAATCCTATTGTTGTGGGCCGTTTGCGCGTACTTTGTACCCTTTGCAGCGCTTCGGTACATAATCATCAGCAACACCGAAAATCATTTCATTGGCAGAAGGAATGGAGTAGAACAGAAATAGAAATGAGAGAATGAAAAAGAAACTACGAAGAACTAAAGATTGCTTCGAGTATTTAATAAAAATGGAAAAGAACGATTGGGGAGATGGAATGACGTCGGTCATAATATTGAACCGAATTTTTTTTTGAAGTAGTAGGAAGTATATGAATTTGAAATGTGGTGACCCATAAAGTACTCATCGCAAATGAATAGTGTGCAACATGGTGGAAGTATTTATGTACTAACATTTTTCTTCGATCTTTCCTTCATAACACTTCCATCCATCCGCTATTTAGGTCTCGGGTGATTTCTTAGATTCCTCCTCGTGAGCCTTGGAGATTCCCCTGATGAAATTGCTGAGAATTCCTCGATGAGAATCAAACGATCCATACATTAGCATGATTATGTCGATGATGGCTTCCGATGAAATTCTTTTTTTGGGGTTTTTTTTTTAATGATTCTTTCGATTATTTTTTGCATAACATTTGTATTGATTATTCTCTTGATGGAACTACTAGTTGCATAGGAATTGAGAATTTAAACTTTATCAAACAATCTATGCATTACTCTGATTAAGTTGATGATTCTCAACGAAATTTTTTTGTTAAAAGAGGGATAGGAATAGGTAAAGAAAAGGAAAAAAATGAAAGGAAAGCCAAGCAATAAAAAGAAAAGATAATTAGAAAGTAATTATCATAAAACTACACCAGTAATTATCGTAATAAATTTTAACAAAAATAATCAAATTTTAACGAAATTTTAACAAAAGAATCGTGCAATAAAATTATGGCTGTCTTGCTATTAAAGGATAGAAACGTAAATTCAATTGAATTGAATTAGTTCATTTTCTGCAGTTGCAGATTTCAATGTTATTTGCTAGGGATGCATCAGTGCGTTGGCCGAAATATCTTACCAGTGAGATTTACATTCATATTTCTATTTTAGTTAATTTTGAGTAAAATTTTTGTGATGGAAACAGTTTTATTATTTTGTTGAAACTAACATGAATAGAGAAGTTAACATTTCTCAGCATGTTCACTATTTTCAAAATTTAATTGTACTGATTAATTGAATTTAATTTAAATACAGTATCAGTGGTACGAAGCATCGCCCGGCTTGCAAGTACAAATGTATGTACTAAACCAGGTGAGTTTTTTGATTTTAAAATTTTAATTTGAATGATCAAGTTTTATGAAGCAATACTTAGTCACCTAACTTCATTTCAAGTCTTCGATCTGATAAAGATAAAATCTGAATGCTGTAGTACTCAAGGAAAGATCCGTACTTGGTAGGAAGAAACTTTCCATTTTGTTTTTCAGGTGCAGTTGCAATGGAACCTGAAGTAATTATCTCAAAGCGTCAAGGGGTGATTGAATCTGGTAGGCACAAAACCGTAACATTAAAGATAGAAGACAATATAGCTGTAATGAAAATTGATCTTCCTAATGCGAAGGTAAACTGAATATTTCCATTTATAGCAATTCACTTTTATTACTATAGTTTTTATTGTGAACTAATTTGTGGAAATAATTAAAAATATCTTTTCACCTTTAGTTTTCTTTGATTTTGTATTTACGATTTTTTTCAAAGACAATATTTTACTGTTACGCTATTGGTCGATGGAATTTCAATTTTTTCTCACAGGAAAATGTCTTGAATGAAACAGTTGCGGATGATTTGCGACACTGTATGGATCGTGCTGATGCCGATTCTTCTATTAAAGGGATAGTGATAATATCTGGAAAACCGAATACATTCATCGCCGGTGCGGATATTGAAATGTTGGCTAAGGTAAATAATTTATTTTCTGGAAAGAACCATAGTACAGTGGTTGCTCTATGTCGACACTATGGCATTGAATCTGGACATTTATGTAGAAAGCTTACAGAAGCAAGTGTTCTATCTTCGTAATATATATAGTAAGTGTTCTATCTTCGTAAGAAGTTAAATGAACTTTATAGTAGCCTAGCGTAAATAATAGCGTAACTACTTGAACTGCAACATATGAAGTGATTTTTAGAAAGCTATATTTTATTTTCCTTTATTAACCGACTTATCGTATAACAATGCAATGGGTAGTTTTGTAAAAGGAAGATATTATTGAAATTAATTTAAGTTTTTAAAAATTTAAACAATACTTAAATTTGACATTTCAATTTTTATTAAAAGAGGTTCTTTCCAAAAAAGAGTATCAATATTTCAGTGTAAAAATTCTGCAGACGCTCGGAAAATTTCATCCACTGCCCAACAAGATTTTTTTCGAATTGAAAATAGTGAAAAACCAGTCGTTGCAGCCATTATGGGTACCTGTATGGGCGGTGGTTTAGAGCTAGCACTTTCATGCCACTATCGAATTGCCATGAATGTGCCAAAAACATTGTTTGCATTACCTGAGGTACATCACCATTGCGGTCTATTATAATTGTCTTTGAAAATTTAAAAAATTTATTCTTGCCTCAGTTATTTTGCTGTGATAGCTATTACCACAACATCCAGTAGCTTAGCAAACTGTAACATTTTTATATTCCACTTAGCAGATTTAGGGTAATCAAGCAGATCACCAAATCTAATCATCTTGAAAAATGTCTATCGCAACTGGTAGCTGATTTATAAGATCCGAATTCAGGTGAAATTAGGCCTACTTCCTGGTGCTGGTGGCACGCAACGTTTACCAAAGCTGATTTCAATCACTGAAGCCCTTAGTATAATGCTTACCGGGAAAATATTGCCAACTGTAAAGGCAAAAAAAATTGGTCTAATTGATCGCATTGTGCAACCTATCGGAGCTGGAATAAAACCTGCTGAAGAAAATAACTATAATTACCTTGAACAGGTCAGTCTATTTCGAAATTCTCCATTCCTTATATAAAGATATTTGTTGCATTTTTTTCAATACCTAAAAATCGAAATTCTTGCCGACTAAATCAGACCGAAACTTTTAGTTATAAATTTTATGAAGAGTAAAAACCAACGGAATTTAAAATTTAGTTATTTTAATTTATTAGCTTTGCATCAGTTTTTTTCTTTTTCATACACTATTGAATATGTTCAATTCAAGTTGCTTTCCCCTTTGCTTTCAGGAATATATCCCGTAACTTTCTTATCTTCACTCAAAATTTCAACTTCAGTATATAATATTAAAGAGATATTTTTAGGTCGCCATCGAAGCCGCGCAACAGCTGTCTATGGGAGCACTGGAAGTAGATCGCAAAGGGTCTTTTTGGAAAAAAGCTACAAATTACGTACTGACGAAAACTCCAGTCTTCAAACACTTTATTTTGAAAAAAGCGCGCGAAAATGTGTGTTCTCAGTTTCTTTTCAGGAGACTTTTGAATTTGAAGTTCCAGCCTATTCAAATTTCAAACCTCTTTGTTTTAGGTTATGAAGATGACTTCTGGAAACTATCCAGCTCCACTGAAAATCTTGGACGTCGTCGAAAGTGGAATAACAAAAGGACCTGATTTAGGTTACATGGAAGAGTCAGAGGTTGAATTCATTTATTCTTATAATTCATTTATCGATTCGCTGTTTTCTAGAATTAAAGCTTTATGCATTCTTATTGAGATAAATATTTAGCTATTTTAGGCTTTTGGAGACTTAACACAAACAACAGAGTGTAAAGCTCTGATGGGTATTTTCAAAGGCAGAACCGAATGCAGACGAAATAAGTTTGGGGAGTCGAAAAAAATTAAGTAAGGTTCAGTTTTTACGTATAAAAACGATTTTCAACTTCGAGAAAACAAACAGCATATTTTCGGTACTGAGATTCGATTGGGATAAAAAAGATGGTTTAAAGCAGCGGAATAATAGTGGTATATATAGCATGAAATTAAATTTTATACGGAAAATTTATATATGTGTGTATGTGTAAAAAAACTGAAAAAGTGAAACCTGAGTCTACTCTAAGTCAAGTTTTTTCACTTCCAAACCGTAAATCGTAATATTAGCTATGTTTTTAAACTGATCATCTTTCTGTAATTGCTCTCATAATTATTACGTCAAAACGACTAGGCTGCTCAGAGTAGATGCCGCAGTCACAGAAATTATAAATAAGCTGAAGTATTTCATCGCATTTTACTTTCTTTATTTTGCTAATAATTTTCCAAGCCAATAATTTTCCAATAATTTTCTTGCAATGAAATTTTCTGCAGTTTTTGAGAGTTTCATTTCTTCGCACTCTGAATCACAACTGTGCAGGAAGTTAGCCGTAATTGGTGCCGGTTTGATGGGTGCTGGAATTGCAAATGTTTCGATCGACAAAAATATTCAGACATATCTGCTGGATAGGAATGATGAAGGATTGGCACGAGGTCAAAATCAAATTCACAAGCATTATGACGGAATGGTAAAAAGGAGAAAAATCAGCGATTATGAGAGACATAGGTTTATGGCTCATCTAAAAACAACTTGTACATACGGTGAACTACATGACTGTGATGTGGCTATTGAAGCCGTTTTCGAAGAACTCCTTTTGAAACATGAAGTAATCAAAAAGGTTTGTTAGTTATCAAATTGTAGTATTCCTCAGGAGAGTTCCGCAAAGTGAAGGATTTCTTCTTTCGTATTGTTAGAATTTGTGGAAATTAAGCCATTTCGGAAGAGATGGAAGTTACGTAATTAAGGGACTTTCATTGTTAGTACACAGATAAATAAAATTTCCGTCAAATTTGAACTTGAATTTGCTATCAGATTAGTGCTTTATTCAAATATTTCAAGGTTGTTAATGATTCCGACAGATTTAGAGAAATTCGTACCATCAACAGCTAAACTATTAATTAATCAAAGGTGATGACGGAGGCTTAATGTACATCGCAATAACTTTTGTGTACATTTGAAACTTTCGTGGCCATAACGATAGAAGGAAATATTACGTTAAAAGAAAAGATTTCGGGAAGTGAATGAATTAGTTTTTCATCACTTTATATAATCGAAAAATTTTTTTGCAGTTGGAATCGGTAGTATCAGATCACTGTGTTATTGCGTCTAATACTTCAGCGCTCCCAATCACACAAATCGCATCGGTTTCCACTCGACCTGACCGTATCATCGGGATGCACTACTTTTCTCCAGTTGAGAGAATGGAGCTACTTGAAATAATAACGACAAAAAATACTAGCAAGGAAGCTATCGCTGTAGCTACGCAATTAGGACTAACGCAAAATAAATTAGTTGTAGTGGTTAAAGTAAGTTAATTCCGCGAAGTTATAATTAGCAAACAGATGTTTCCCAGTTTTAGATATCCTATTTATTAAATTTGACTCATTTCTTTTTCACGTTGCTAAAACAGTAGTTATATTACAAAAGTAAATGTCTTCAGATTCTTTGTTTATTTTCTTCACTGGTGCTGGCGATTTTGACTTTTTGACGTCACTTTTTTGCATATAGATCAAAAAATTGCGACGTTATTGTATCTCATTCATGGATAATCGGACTGAGGGCTAATAAAATGAGTAACTTGAGTTTTATGACACTTTTCCTTTATTTTACTTGTGGCAGGTGGAATAAAGGCTTCACATATTCCCTTTTTTTTTAATTTTTAAACAAGTTGTATGATTTCTGTTTTGGCAGGACTGTCCGGGGTTTTTCGTTGTCCGTTGCTTAGCTCCAATGATGAGTGAAGTTGTTCGATTACTTCAAGAAGGTGTTTATCCAGATGAAATTGATGATATAACGAAGAGTTACGGTTTTCCAGTGGGTGCAGCAACGCTAATAGATGAAGTTGGAATTGATGTGGCGCAGCATGTTGCAAAGTTCCTGGGAGAGGTGAGAAAAGTAATTAATAAAGCTGAAAAGCTGCAAACTAAATTAAACTTAACATCCGGTTAAAGTGATCTGGGATTCTTAATTACTGTTCGTTCCCGGTTAATAATAAACATGTGGATGATCCGAATATTTTTAAAGAATTTTTTCCTAAAAGTTGATGTCAGTTCACTTATTTCCAGGCACTAGGTCCACGAATTGGCGGTGGATCGATTACAGTATTGGAAGAAATGATTGCATCAGAGTTCAAAGGTCGTAAGTCGGGTAAAGGGTACTTTATCTATGGTGATTCTAAAAGGCTCGGTATCTTTGCCAAAAAGAAACCTATAAATGAGGCTGCGCTAAAAATTCTTCACAAGTACCAAGTGACTCCTGTTTCAACAGTGTAAGCAATTTAGTTTCTGAACATATAAGATTCACTCTTCAATTGAATATGAACCTCGCAATCTTCGACCCTTTGAGTTTTTATTCAGTAACATATGTATATGTTAACATTTAGTTTTCTCGATTCTGATGCAGTAAAATCTTCTATTTTAAATTAACATGAAATATAATTCCATCAATTTTGATGCAACAAAATCTTCTCTTTTATATAGAAGCAGTATTGTTGATCGTCAACTTCGAATATTATGTCGCTATGTAAATGAAGCAGCTATATGCCTTGAAGAAGGCATTATTTCTTCACCGGTAAGCCTTCAGATAGTTAATTTCATCTCTCTAATAAAATAATCTGTGAAATAGGCGAAGATAATAAGTGGATGGGAACTAAAAAAGTTCTTGGGAGAACTGTTATCTCTGTTTGAAGCCAGCTTGTTGATCCAATTAGATAGCGCAGCAAGAAAAAATGTCACTTCAAAAACTCGACATTTACTCTGATTTTCGCACAAATTTCATTTATCATTAGATGAAAGAATGTGTATAATTAGTACAATTCAAAGAAGTACTTTTAACGTTTTCAAAATCAAATTAAAAAGTCATTTCAGTCAGATGGCGATATAGCGTCGGTGTTCGGTATCGGTTTTCCGCCGTTCTGGGGTGGTCCGTTCCGTTTTATCGATATATATGGTGCAGATAAATTTATAGGTAATATGTTACGGTATGCAGAAGCCTATTCGTCGGAGCAGTTCAAGCCGGCTCAAATCATCCAGGATTATGCCAAACGAAATACAAAATTTTATCCGGAATAAGTACATTTTCTTTGTATAATGTCCAAATTACCCTTCGTGTGATTTACTATTGATACGATCACTTATATTGGGCACCTCTTAGTAAATAAAAAATAATATAAAAGTTCGGAATTTGTTTGGAAAAAAACGATACATAATTTTTGGATCCCTTCAATCATTGAATAAATTCGAAAATTTTCTCACTTTCGCAAAATCATAAGTCTTCTTCCATTTTCTGTTTTTCATTTGGCTGATTATTTATTCTACTTCCTCTTACAAAATATGATTTCATATTGCAGAAAAAAATTAAATCATAAAATTCGTTAGACCTGAAATGCCTAAAATGATACTTAAAAGTATAGTAGACTTAATAAAATTTCCATCCGTTTGTGCTAATTTACATAAAGAATAAATAATAACAAAGAAAATTCAAGCCTAAATTGGGTTTCATCACGAAAGGATGCGCGAGGAGTCCCATGGAATATCATCTCATCTTCTAGTTCGGCAAAAGACTGACAAAATCTTTCTTACCGCGGTAGTCTGGTTCAGTAGGTTTTCTCGCATCAAGTACTTCTCCTAGCATACCGAACCGAGAGCAAAGTATGATATCATCCCGAACCACGAGTAATTTCAGGCGGTGAGTCCGATCGTTGCATGGCGTCTCGAATACTTGGGCCATGTTGTAATTGCAGTACAGAGCAGGTGTGAGGACGATTTGAGGTACTGTTCGTGAATTTTCGTGGAATTCGGAAACAGATTCAGGAAATGTAGATCAGTTGTTACTTGGATTAGTACGATGCTTTTTTCGGGGCATAAATTAGCCCTTCAAGTCCCAGATTTTTTCTCTTCTCGGTATCGATGGTATATGAAGTTTTTCTAAGTGTAAGATAAGAAGCCGAATCTTGTTGATTGCTGTTTATATGATACGAGGTTTTTAGTGCGAAATTAAATTCTTAATATCTGTATTTACTTGTTTACATTACTGACGGGCATTTCATACGAGAACGGTAGTGGTAGACATTAAATTATTTTTATTCGTCTATTTGATCTGATTTCTTTTTGAAACTTTACAACCAGTTGGGTTTGAAAAAATCTGGACTTTTATTGATCATTTCGAAATTAACTTGTTCCGATACTTAAAATACCTATGGCTGAAATTTGAACTTTACATCTCCTTAACGTGGATATTTAAACGCATTTGTTACGTTTTTATTGGATACACGAGGTTGTATTATATTTAAGATATCTTGGTATATTTAAGAGTATATCTTAGTATATTTAAGAAAGCCTTTATAAACAAACCTTTAAAATTCTAGGCCTATCAAGACTGAGTAATTCTTCGATTATTTTTGGCGATTGGTTGATTAAATATCTATGGCATGGTGCAATCGATATAAATTTAAACCCCTTAAATTGTGTTCCTTAGCTTTATCTATTTTGTTGGTGCTGTCGTTTATCATTCTAAGCATTGATTTTTTGCAAAGTAATATAGAAGTTGTAAATCTTTCCACTTTATTATTTATCAGTTAAAATAAAAAGAGTTTGTTTGTTGATTGACTAGAACAGTAACAAATTCTCAAGAAATTTGTTCCATATAATGTAATTAAGACAAAGAGCTTCCCATCATTACTTATACACACACGATAGCAACATTTTTTAGGTTACTCATTAGTATGAGAAACTCTTCAGTTATGAATTCCAGGATTACAATTGCAGATTTGATGCTTAAAGCTAAGAAAATCTTGATATTTTGTTATATCTAGACACACGAATGATACAGCTTCTATAATTCGGAGTTGGAAACTTCTCATTCAGAAAATGATAAGTCTTCAGACTTTTGCCGGTGACGATTAGGGTTTCAATGAGTGAAGGTGGTGGTAAACGTTCGGATGATGAAGGTGATGATTTACTGTGGAACGATTTCGAGAATTGTGCACAGTCGGTCACACTCTTATATCGTAATCCATCATGGAAGGCGATGCAAACAGCTGCTGCATCTACCACCCAGCTTTACAAAAGTGGTATTGAACATAAGAAAAAAGCATATGACCGAGGTAGTTTATCATTTTACCTTAAAATCTTAGTTATGAGATTTCCAGTATTGTCGTTGTGAGGTAGATATAAACATATATTTCCTATCGGATATAAATTGTTTAAAAGTTTGTACTTTGATTTTTGAAATCCACTTCTAATTAGTAGATTGAATGTTGCATGAGGATGATATAGCTGAAAGTGCTGCGAAATATACCGTCATATTTTACTGTTTGTTCAAAGCAGTAGAGCAGTAAGGGTGGTCCTATTCACGCAGTAAAAAAAATAGAAACTCATAATTAGTTTCCTAATTACCGACAACCTATTAATTGGAAATTTACAACTCTTGCATGGCAAGCGCTGTACCTTCGACATTGAGTCACCATATTATAATACCTGAGGAGAGAATTATTGAACCAGTTTCCGTTGTTTCAAACACGGTAAAGTAAGTTATTAAGGCATTTATCTTCAGGTTATTTAGCGGGTCGCCAAACTCTTGCACGTGAAATTTATGCCTTGCGTCGTTATAATGGAGTTTCTGTTGATGACGTCTGGAAATTATTATCAAAAATTGTTTGTGCTGCGGAATACGGGTATTCTTCGCGGAGTTCAACTCCGGAACAAACTGATAGTCCAGCAGTTTCATTCTTTCAACAGGTTAATAATTTTTTATTGCAGTGTTTGACGTACAGTCGTATCTTCAAAATACTCGTTTATATTCTTTATATCCAGGAAGAGAATTAAAGAAAATATTTTGATGTGTAGCATATTTATGTCTTTTTTTGCATGGGTTAAGGTGTGCAATGCATTATGTTACTCTATCTGCAACAGACCGAAGTTGTAGGGTTATAATGAAAACTGGCTTGTTGCAAATCTTACATCTACATCACTAGAAAGGAGGGATTATAAGTTCGATAAGAAGATGGAAAGTTTCCATAAATGCTGGAAAGAAGCAGGAGTAATGACGTCAAGTTTGAATTTCAAATAGTGAGGTTATGGTTGGAATTCAAGTACTGAAATAAAGTTTGGAGTTCGAATATTGATTATATAACGTAACAATGGTAGAGTGGTAACTGACAGTGCTAATAGTATCATCTCATCGCATTATATTGTTAGTGATGGCGTTAATAAAGGTCAGGAAGACGATTTATGGATCAAAAAGACTATGTAGAGACTGTGATACAGGTCAGTAAGAAATGACATGGGCCAAGAAGGCAGTGATATGGTCAAGAAGACTAGATGGAAACGTTTACTTCGTTAATTCTTACTTTCTCTTTTGAAATTAATAATTAGTAATAATAATTAGTGACTAATTTCAGGCGTTATGTATCCCTGCTAATGTCGCCTGTCCACAGCGTGATACTGAATTGAATACTTTTCTGTCGCGTCAAGTTCATCGGCGTCGTAAACGACGTCATTCACCGTCGGAATTTCCTTATAAAAAGATTTTCCGCTCATAATAATGCTTTCGTTGCCTGCAGACTGGTGTTTGTGATCACTTTCTTTGGAAAATGCTTCCTTTTTCGTCTTCTTCATTGTTCATCTTTTAAAATATTTCTACGGTGGTTTTCTTCTGGGAAATCCTCATTGAAACAGAAGAAAGAATTACAGAAAGTAAGAGACAAAATGGGAACGGAGAGGAATCATGTTATTTTTCTTTGTTTCAATTTCAGGCTGTAGGGGAGGTCATGAATATATCCGAACGATGAAACGGATTTCTTGAAGGCATCACTGAAGTGAATGTGAGAGTCAGAGATTATGGTAAGAGATTGCTCATCAGTGAATATCTTAATTATATTTCAGCCTAGACTGGGATGTAGTAAATGATCAAGTTTCTTGGATAGTATCAGAGATTGTAAATTAATCATATTTCTTTGAAAGGGATTTTTGTGTTGTTTCAGCGGAGTTTTTAGATTGTTCTTTTAGAGATTGATTGGAAGAGCATTTTTAAATCAAGTTCCTAACAATACAGTTTTTTTCTTTCGGATGAATACCATATTCTTTTGCCAGAATTTAGTATTTCCAAGCCATTCATTGGAAGATGTAGGAAAAGATGAAAGTATTTTTGTTTGAGATTTTTGTAGGTAGATAATTTTTGCATATTGTTAGGCTAGTGTTTACGGAGAAAAAAGAATAAGGAGAACGATTTTTATTTGAAGTCGATTGCTATTCGAAAAATGGTGGATGGAACAAGGAGGGAAAATGTTACAATTCTTATTAGGAAAATGTTTTTAAATACTGTAGGGAGAAAGAACAGTTTCTCCAACAATTTCATCTATCAAATTCCGGTTTTATGATAGTGCTTTCAATCAGATTTCTTGTTTTTTGAGAATATTTTGATTTTGATTTGCTGTTTTTTATCATTTTTTTCAACGAGGTTTGAAAATCATTGGTGAATTGTGCTTGTTGAGAAATATTAAGAAAAATTGACCGAATGAATTAAGCAACTGCAACTAAATATTCAGCTGCAAGGAAATTTTAGCTGATACAAAACTTTGGGAAATCATGAAATATATAGAAATTTCTTCTTGAAATTTTACTTTGACTTTTTCTTGAACTATAGCTGTTGGGTCAATTTTTCGGGTGTATGTAAAAAGGTGAAAAAACGGGCAGATGTAATTTTTTCCTTCAAATTAAAAAATTAAAAGATGAGGGATAGCACTGTGAATTAGTAAATCTATTAAGCGTGTACTCTTTTTTCTGTGAAAACAGTGTGATTTGAATATTTCTGTGTTATCGAAGTGTAAACGGTTTCAATAAAACATTCAATTGAAGTGTCTATGCTTTGCTGATCTCTGAACTAATCGTTTCTGCTGTACAGTTCAAGTAATTCTTTTTTGAATAATTTTTAAATCTTGTATATTTGGATGGAATTTCCGAAGCAAAAGCTGCTGTATTAGGAGTTTGGTTTCAATCATTTGCTTACAATTTATGAGGATTATGCAGAATGCTAATTTGCGTTTGAGGTAATAATATTAGTGCTGGGTTTTAATATTTTATTGTGAAATTTGAGGGAACAAGCACTGTTGTCTCTGCTCAAGCGGATTGCTTGCTATTGTAATTTGTTTCTTAATTTATATGTTTTTTTCTTTTTTCAGGTTTGCTGAAAAGTGGTTTTGTATATAGCTACAGTTGTTGTTCACCATGGTTGGTTGTTTTAATCCTTATATATATTTTTTTCTGAGAATATTTCTTAGCTGTGCTAAACATGTTTTAAACACTTATATGCAAAACATGTTTCCGTCTGCTATTATCACAAAAGGATGAATTTCTTATTATGCAAAGTACTCAGTCGTTCATCTGATATTAATTCATGCATTTATAAATAGTGTTACGTCACTTTCTTTGCAGCCACAAAACGAACATATTGAACTTCATCGTAAACGTCATGGACGTCGATTGGATTATGAAGAAAGACTGTGAGGAATTTACATATATTGTTTATTTACGGTTTCCTATATTTCGAGTTTATTATGCACACTGTTCCAGTTGCCCATCGTGTTTACCTGGATCAAAAAATCAGTAGCGGAGAACTACATCCTCACGTTCACCTCAGTGATGTTATCCAATTATTTGACGTCCTCTTATGCATAAAAAAAATTTGTAGACCGTTGGTAGATTGATGGCATTATTGAATTATCATTACTATGAAGACACATCATAAATTGGAAATTATGATCACATTGTCGTTTTCGTACTCATTGCAGGAGAAAACGGAATGCCCGAGCTGGACATGAGCGTTCTCAGTATGCGAAGAAAATCCGTGGTCGCAAGGCTAAATTGTATCATAAAAAACGCTATACTGAGAAGGTTTGGTTGTGCGTCATTGTCAAGTTTTGAACTTAACGTCAGAAACTACTGAAAAGTCTGATTATAATATTCCATATTCAAATTTCTACGTGCTAATCAAGCGTCTGTCTTAGGTAGAGATGCGTCGGTTGCTGCGACAACACGAGGAGAAAAAGCAAACAGGAACAAGTGAGGAGCCCGACAGAGGTGTAGTGCCAGCATATTTGCTAGACAGACAACAACAAACGACCGGTAAGGTACTCTCATCGATGATCAAGCAGAAACGGAAAGAGAAAGCGGTATTTTTACTAGTTTTTTTTTCATTTCAGTTATTTCACCATGCTTCAAAGATAGCAATCTGCAGAAGTTTCCGAAGATTCTATTTTAGTAATCTTTCATCATCTGTTGTATCATCTCGGAGACGTGTTATTTTCGTGATTGTTTATAGGAATATGAAAGCTTCCAAATCGATATGAGTTTGACTGCTTTAAAGCTCATCTGAGAAACTGATTGTTTTTCAGGGTAAATATCAAGTACCAATACCAGCAGTTAAGGCAGTGAGTGATATGGAGGCTTTCAAAGTAGTGAAAACAGGTAAAACTCGTCGGAAAGGTTGGAAACGTATGGTTACAAAAGTTACCTTTGTTGGTGAATCATTCACGAGAAAGCCGGCGAAATTTGAACGATTCATTCGGCCGATGGGTTTACGATTTAAAAAGGTAAACTTTTATTGTTGTGCAGAATTTGAATATAAGTTTTATCTCCTTGCCACGATCTTTGAAATAATTTCTGTTATGAAAAATTGTTTATTGGAAAGTTATTCAAGAAAAACATTTGATATTTATGCCAGTATTTTCATTCTTTTTTCCAGATTCTTTCCCCAACTGATGTTTCATAAGAGTACTGATATATCAGTACTTCAGTATAATAAGTGCAAATATAATTTTTTTGTAGGCTCATGTAACACATCCCGAGTTACAAACGACGTTTCAATTACCTATTGTTGGGGTGAAGAAAAATCCATCTTCCTCACTATATACATCATTAGGAGTTATTACAAAAGGAACGATTATTGAAGTGAGAATTATTTCCAGTTGAATAGATTTTTTAAATACAGTGCTTACTTAAGTCTTTTTACTTGTTTTTCTTTCGCACTTGCCATCTGCTGACTGACACATGTTTACTTGTTAAACTTTTTTCCATTATTTTTATTTTAAGTCCTAAGATCGAAATTAGCTTTTGAACGAAAATCTATCTTGAGAGAGCACTTTCCTCTTTACTCTTTATTTTGGATTTTGCTTAATTATTTAATATGCAATATTTTTTCGAGTGTTTATATGAAAGCTATTTTATTACTTGTAAATGATGAATTTCAGGTGAATATATCGGAACTTGGTATGGTTACTCAAGGTGGCAAAGTAGTGTGGGCAAAATATGCTCAAGTAACAAATCATCCTGAAAATGATGGTTGTATTAATGCCGTGTTGTTGTTGTGATTCTTATTTAATGAAATAAAATATTATTTAAATTCAAGATTTTTGTTCGTCCATCTTTGTCACTTTGGATCCGTGATTTTTACTTTTGGGTAATATTAAAATTTTTCGATCTATTAGTTCGGATATTAAATCATGGATGTCCCTCAGTTATTGTAATAGCTATTTATCTTATATAATTATAGCCATATTATATAATGAAACTTGGGAATATCTGGTGTAAATTTTGTTTGAAATTAGACTTTAGTAAGTCGTAGCGGCATAGGTTTCGGTTTGGTATGAAGTTTTTTATCCATAAAACTATATCCCCGTACTCCCGCCTCTTATCATGTTTTTCCTCTGTATTAACTCTCTCCCAATACTTACAGATAATATTTTCAGTTTCTCTTGGCTATCGATAATTAGTGATAGTCTTGTAGGTGATTCCTTTGGTCAATAATAGAGATCAGGATTATACTTTATTAGCCCCCCCCTGTTAGATTGAATAATTATCTCTTCCTGTTAGGATGAATAATTATCTCGGCGGCCTCGTATGTTTTCCCATTGTTCTGCTGAATTACTGATCCTCGAGTAAAGTCCGAAGAGGATTTACTTATCGATACTTCTTTTCAGTGCGTACTTCAGTAATCTTTGACAATCTTAAGTCTGGAAATCAGTTGGTAATTTTATATAAACATTACAAACATTTTGAAAGCTAAATGATGACTTTAAGTTTTTCGATTATGCATGTATTTCGATGGCATAATTCTTTAATTACTTGAAAAATACTTTTCAAATTGACCTAAATTATTTCAGGTGATTTTTGATGGATGAAACAGCTGGAACTATTAATTCAGAATGGCTTTCGAAAGATTCTAAACCATTCAAACAAGGAGCTGAGGCTTGTCTATATCGATGTATCTATTTTGGACGGAAAGCAGTAATCAAAGAACGATTCGTAAAAATCTATAGGTATGAAGGAAAAGGAAGTACCTATTTTTTTTTCGATGAAAATTGGTGAAATCAATTTTCGTGACAACCTCCATCACTTTAATCTTTTGTCGGACGAATTCTGGTTTGAGGAAGGTTTTTTGAAGAAATTGAAAATTTTGTTTTTATTTCCCGAAAATAATAGCATTTCTGGTCGAATTTGAACATCAAATTTTTGAAATTGACATTGTTTCAGGCATCCATCGCTGGACTTAATTTTGACGAAGGAACGTATTAAAGCTGAATTAAATGCTTTGCATAGATGTAAAACGGTTAGTTACGAATTATTTTATTGACATGCTAGGAACATCAAATAGCTTATTGGATATAATAGAATTTCAAAGTGTTTTGAGTCAATTCAAGGCAAATGAGCTATTTTTCGGTACTTAAATAAAGAATGCTTAGATGGGGATTGATGTACCTACGGTATACTTTGTAAATATTGATCGAAATTCTTTTATTATGGAAGAGATCACCAATGGTACCACTGCCCGACAATTCATTGAAGATTTTAAGAACAGCAGTGACTTTGAGGTATGTGAAATTTGCTTTGATTTCTGATTTTTTTTATTTCTTTGAATTTATTTCGCTGATTGATTCTACTATTTCTTTATTTCGCTGATTTATTCTACTATTTCTTTGAATTTATTTCGCTGATTGATTTTCTTTGAATTTATTTCGCTGATTGATTCAGATTGCTTTGCAACGTCAATCTATGACTAGTTTAATAAGGAATATCAGTGAATAATGGCATATTTTAGGGAATAATTACTGATTTTGGTATTCGCTTAGGTCAAATTATAGCAAAACTACATCATGGAGGTATCATGCATGGTGATTTGACAACATCTAATGTTCTTCTTCGAAATGGGAATCCCAAAATAATTGTTTTCATCGATTTTGGTCTTGCTGAGGTAAAATTATGCCGTCTTGCTTCCAGCATATTCAAAATCGGGATATCCATCAAATTATTTATTTTATCACTTCATTATAAATATGAATTTCTCTCTGACGTTTCGAAAGTTTTTCGAAATGTATTATTCGAGAATATTTCGAATATTTCGAGAATATTATTTTTCGAGAATATTTCGAGATGTCAAAGCAAAATTCATATTTCTCTAATTTGAAGTAATTTTTTATACAGGGCAATGCAACAGTGGAAAGTAAAGGTGTCGATTTGTATGTATTGGAACGAGCTGTCTTAAGTACACATGCTGAAGCAGAATTCTTTTTTGATAGCATTATGAAAGGATATGAATTATTCGACAGGAAACAGTATGATGCAGTTAATAAGAAACTTAAGGAAATTGAGAGGCGAGGAAGAAAGCGTGAAATGTTGGGGTAGTTTCATTTTGTTGTCAATGGAAAACTTTGAAATGTTTGTTTTTGTGATAAATGGTTTGGCGAAATTTTTTAAAATACATGTCAAAGCAGTTATATTGTGTAATTTAATTAAGTTCTTCATGTGTTTTTGCTGGCTAATATAGAAAAGTAACAGGATTAGATCATTGATGACCAAATCAATTTATATCTACTAGATTTGAGACAGAAAAATCTGGGACTAACTAGCTTAGGATTCAATTTCAAGCTTGAGAATTGGTCACCAAAAAACGCTACGGAAAATCATGAAAAACGATGAAAATTAGAAATTTTACGAAGAAATCGTCCAGCGAATTCACGTACCCGCATATTGGATGAACCGGAAATAAGTATCGCTGAATTTTCATAAATAATGGGTAAAAGTTTTTCGAATTGTTCGCTTTCCTCACGCAAGCATGCTTCCAGGATTGCCAGAGACATTTCAGTCCATGCGCAACATCGTGTTTCTCCGTCCTGCAAGTTCATTCTAAATGAAGTAGTGAAGATTTTGCAGCTATTACAGTTTGTAAAAGTATAACAAGAGTAAGGCATGGTAGTCTAGCAAGTACAGTTTAATGTATTGACTTACTTTAGTTATTGTCTTACAAATCTAATAAGAGTTCTTCATGCTTTTATTCCTTAATAGAACTTCATGCTTTTATTCCTTAATGTGGATTAAAATCTGCTTTATGGAAGATTTTTTGTTTTAACTTGGGATGAAAAGGGTACAGATAACTGAAGGATGATTGAATTTTTAAATATAACTCACAGAGAGAATTAGTTTTTCCTCTGCGATGGTCTGGTGCTGTTCATCATTACTTTTAAATGGATTACAACGTTTTGTTGGTAATGCCAGCGTTTGTGCGACCTTTGAACGTTTGTAATCAGAAATAATTTCGGTAGTTTGCTCAGAAGATACCAATTTGTACAAATTTTCATCTACTGCATCGTTACGAATGAGAGTAATTTGCTGAAATGAGTAGTAGTGTTAGTATAATCATTTAAATAAATTCTTAAATTAGAAGTCAAAGATTTAGAAAATTGATTTAAAAAACTGAAAGCTCCTTATGAGTTTTTAAATTTATAAGAAAATAAAATTTTCAAAAAAACAGGATAACAAAAAATGAGTATTGGACATTTAACATGAATTAGCAATGATGAATCAATCAATTGATCGATCAAGTAGATTTAAAGAATTTCAATTGATTGATTCATGATCTTATGATATTATCACATTTTCACATTGACTTATAACTCTTTTTAGATAATAATACTTCATAAGTCATAACTTTCATAAGTCACTTCATAACTTCATCACTTAATATTTTCAAAAAAAAATTCTTTTTCATTCTCTTAATATACTTGCTAACCTGAGTAACATGCGATCTGGCCAAATGACGTAATGCTTTCGTAGATAGTTTCTTTTCTAAGTTACATAAATACTTGCACACTTCACGATGACATAATTGAAGTTGTTTGACGTAATATTTGTCATCTTTTACGTTCTCATCTGATGACGATAAACATTCAACAATTGTTTCTCTAAGAAATTACATAGATTTTTCAATAAATAAAACAAATATTTTAAATTCTAAGAAAATAATAAGAAAAATCTAAAGTAAAAAGTCAAAAAAATTATTAAATGGAAAGGAGAAAAACCAATTTCAAAACGAAAAAAATGATAAGTAAAATTACGAACTTTTTCAATGGACATTTTCGTACCATTTCATACATTGCCAGTGAACGTATAGTCCAAGCTAATACTATTTGCTTGCATAAATTTGGAAGTACCGGAAAGTCATACAGTCCTTGGATAAGCATTTTTAGGCCTGAACGTTTATCAAAATTTTTTGCAACTAAAAATGATCCATCTAAACAACGAAACAGAATAATAATATCTTCTGGCGATAGCTTATGCAAATTACCTGAAAAAAAGCTCTCTAGTTTTTTCGAAGCAAAAAAAAAACAAAAATTGAAATATGGAAAATTAGACGTGTTCGTTAGGAAGTAGATTGGAGATTTTATTACTAAAGTATACTAAAGTATACACTAATAGTATACACTAAAGTATACTATTAGTATTAAAATTGATTAAATTATCATATTTTACTTTCTAACTATTTGAAAACTTCTCAAAATTCAAAAGAGCAGAAACCAACATCCATTGTCACTTTCGGTTTGCTCGTCAAATTTCTTTAAAAATGCCGCAGTTTGTTTATCGACTGGTAAATCGACTCCATTTAATAATAAAGTACCAATTAGTTCCAAAATATATTGATGACTGGTAAGAATGTTAACCAGTTCATCACCAGGAATTCTAAAATTTCATCATTTTGGACAAAAATTAAGGTCAAAAATTAGTTTGTAAACCTTTGTTCTATTCCATCGTTATTGCAAAGTACCACTTCACGTTTCCTCGTTTCTTCCATTTCTGTCACTGAACAGATCTGTTCATCCGTTAAGAAAATCTATAATCAAATTAAAGTCAACTATTAATTCCCGGAGGAAAATCAAAAAAAAAAGGAATAATAATAAATAGTAATAATTAATAACAATAATGCTAAAATATTTTTCATTAAATTCATTAAATTTATTACATATTCATATCCAAACCAATTCTTCGAACTTATCTTTTCCGCATATTTAAACAAAAATCATTATTATTATTAATTATTATGGCTAATTTTACCTGCCGAGCCAGTAATAACGTTTCGCATGAAAATTTTGAATTTTCAACAGCTGCTATGCAAACATTACCAAGATCACCGTTTGGATCATTTGAATCAACGACATAATACTGAATTAAAAATCGTAGATGCGCGAGAGTTAAACTTCTGAAACATGAAGTTCTGGAAGTTATAAAGTAAATTAGAAATATGAAATTTTATAAGTTCATTGGTTATTGAAATAGCAAAAAATTATTGAATCCTATCACATTTGATGGAAGAAAAAATTATTTCTGCAAAAAAAGATATAACAAAAAATAAAATCTGAATATTAACGTTTTTGTATTAAACTAAAGTGTGATCAATTAAATTTCTAAAATTAAGCCCTAAAATATGATCTTTAGAAGCTAAATATTACAGGCAAAGCTAGGATTTACAGAAATTGAATGGAAGCTGGAAAGTTCATATTCCTAACTTACGTTGCATTCCATAATGACCGTACAATAATTGTCCATCTCTCAGTTGTTAATGAATTAACGGAAGATCTGGTCAGGAATCGTAAGCATGCATAACCAAACCGTGCAATACGATTTGATGAACACGTAATACATTCCGTTAATAAAATTAACGTATCAAAAAGTGTCCGATTAACCCATTGGTTATCTGTAAAATGAATCTTTTATACAAGAATAGTGAACAACACATTCGACAATCCGATTTACAAAAGAAAATAAAAGCGCTCTGATTTCTGAAATGTGATGAAATTTTTTCAGAGTTTTGCAACAAATTGTAAAAATCTAGATTATTCCAAAGAAAGAAAAGAATTTTAATTCATAAAGAATGATAAAACTGCATTGAAAAATTTTATAATACTTTTCGTCTGTATTAAATATTGCTTTACGACTTCTGTGAACAATCCAATAGCTTGTTTTAAATTATTTTCATGTTTTGCTGCATCTTTACGCATCCATTGCTGTAGCATTGGAAAAACGAGAATTGATAAAGCATATGCACCAAAATTAATACCTATGAAATCCATCAATATTTTAAAACAATTTTAGTAATCTTAATTAATGCAAAAATAATTTGCAATTGAAAAATAAATTAAGAGAGAATTGATAGTTTTAAGTTTTGATGAGTTGAAGTATTTGTAAAAGTATGGCGAGTAAGTATACCGAATTTAGTATCCATTTGTTCTTTGATTAAATCAGCAATAGTTCGCAGTAAATTCGATTGTAGTGATGCAGGACAAATAAAGGTAATAGCTATGAGACCTTCCAATAATGATAAGTAAACTTCAATGCAACTTCGTCTCGATGCCGTATAATTTTTCCAAGGTACGGTTATTTCTGGTGCTAACAAATTCATGTGTCATCATTTGATTAAAATTTGATTTTTACTCAAATTTAGTTTCTTCAGAGTAAAAATTTAGATATTCAAAATTTTCAGAAAAAATTAAAAAAATTACATTTCATCATTTAAAATTATGGATAAATGAATGGATCAAATAGATGAGAAAGAAACAAACCTTCAAGCAAACGATCAAGATCAGTTAGTGGAATTTTTTGTTTAACGTCAAAAAATTGTTCTTCAATCAGAACAGTTGACAATGGTTCCATCAAAAATGATATAGCCGTGTATCGATCAACACAATGCTGAGTTCGTTCACGTAATGTTAATCTGAAAGATGAGCAAATCGTATGCTCAAAATATTTCAAATGTTATATAGCCAATCGATAAATCTTTTTTTCAACATTTCACACTTTAATTTTTGATGTAATAAAAACACTTTGCATAACAAAAACTTTTGAAATGTTATTTATTTTGCTTGAAAAAAATTTAGATAAGATAGTATGCAATACTTCTAATCCATAATTTCCATTTCTAATTCTATTCTAATTTCAGTTACGCCAAAAAGAAGTGGGAAAAAAATACCGTTGCAGTAAGTGTTGATCAATACAATCAACCGAATCAAATAGATTATGAAGCATTCGTTCCATTTTTAACAAATTTTGCAAAGCTGTTGAAGCCATCGTTACATTGGATGACGGAATCATTGCTTCATTTTCTGTAGCACAGAAATAATCGATAATTTTCAGCTATAATTTATATATCATTTGATGATCTGTAATAGTCATTAAGCTTTACCAATTTATTGTCCAGGATGTTGAATTTAATTATCTGAAACACTTACCAATCATACGGGAAACAAGCAGTGAAAGATGAACAACATTATATTGCTATCATTAATTATCCCTATTATTATTGTTAATATTACTTATAACTATTACTTATTATTATTCATTACTATTGTCTATTCTTATTATTATTTATTATTGTTGTTATTATCATTATTAATATTATTATCATTATTTACCACCATTTTGTTTAATTTTTATTTTAGTCTTACCAAAAGTTTGAGATGAAGGTTTAGGAATAATACTTTCAAGTGACTACACTTGAACTAATATATCCTATAATTGACTATGATTATATCTACTGCTATGATTAGGATACTGCATCACTTCAATAAATCATGCCAGTCTCAATTTTGATCAGAATTATAAACTTTTGGAATTTACCCGATCCTGTGGAATGAAGATATTGCAGGACGCATGTGATATAATCCAGAGCTGTCGTTATCAAAACGTTTGTATTTTTGATATTAAGATATGCCGAAAAGATGTCAAGAACAGTTGCTTGAACTGAAGATACTGTCGTCACATCATTACCATTATTTTCTGATTCTGAAAAAACAAATTGGAGAATGAAAAATCGCAAAATTTAACGAGAAATAACAAAACTTGGAAAAGTAGAAAGGTTTGGATTTTTCATTTCTAAATTTTAGATCATAAGTAAAATTTCCTGTTCAATTAAAACCTTGAAGAATAATTAAAAATAAGTTTCTTTGATGCTGCCAAATCTTTAGTGTGAAGAACTAAAGATTCGCTGGTATTAAATTTACAAGGATGTTTTGAGACTGAAGAAAATTTTTTTTTCAGAACCCTATTAATGTAAAATTATCACTTTTGACTCGCTATACATGTAATAAAAATTACCCAAAAAAAAGCGGAATGGTAAATTTCTGAAATTCAAAAAAAATTATTTTTATAAAAAAATTTTTAAAAAAATTATAAAATTAAAGTTTGCTCCACTAAACTTTAGCTTTTGTTGAATATTTAAAATAAACCAGACTTATTGAGCTATCCTTTTTCAAACGAGTCTAATTGTATGATAATCGATAACTTAATTAGCATATGAAATAATTAGAAGGGTTTGAAAGACTGACATCATTAACTTATCGTAAGTTATGCCACTAACTGAATGACTGAATAATTTTAGCAATTAATTAATAAGAGATGGTAATTACAGTACTTCCAAGCATGCCTGTATGATCTTCATTCCGTAATGCTTTCAAAGCACTGAATAACGGTTGCCATCCGGAACCAATCACATTAGCGTGTGAATGCACAAACGTTGCCAACAGTGTGACAATTTGTTCCTGTGATTCCTCCAGACACATCTCCGCACAAAGAATATTCTGCGAAAATTTTAAGAATCTAGAGAGAAGTTTCTGGAAATTTCCGAATTTATCGTATTCATACTTCACTTATTGCAGGTAACCGAAAACCAAAGTATGACAAATTCAAAAAATAAAAATTTTACAGAAAAGCAAAAAAACTTGACATAAATAAACGAGTTTTAACTTTATTTTATACCGAAAAAAATTTTAACTAAGGATAGGAATAATTTCAAGAATTAATTTGGATATTGTTGTAATAATTTTGCATTTCAAACTTGTAATGGCTGGAAGATGAGTTGATTGTAACAAAAACCGTTTGCTTCGTTAATCATTAATTTTGCTATGCAAACTCCTAAGCCTTCGATAGCAAAAAAGTTCAACTTTCCATTGTTACGCAAAGAAGCACACTGCAATACTAATGATCTTCAAAAATGGCACATTTGAAATTAACTTTAATTCAAAATCTTAATGATTTTCACGAGGTTCTAGTAAATTCAGACTGATGACTGATGACCAATAACCCTGAGGAATAGAAATCAATTTGATGGCCGTATATAAGAAATACTAGAAGGTTTCGTAATGGAGTGCTATAACTGAGAAGAATCTATTTTTAAAATCTACTACAAATCTCTAAAATCTTAAAAAAAAAAAGAAATTTTAGTGGAAAAAGCCAAAATTTAAATGGTTGACTACCGACCTGAACTATATGATGTGCAACTTGAGGCCAAATTTTCATTGTATGGATTAGAGGCCTAGTTGAAAGTGTAATTGAAATGGTGAATATCCATCCTAAAGTTACTGCCGGGTCAGCCAATGAGTTTGATTTTTGTGAATTCACGTAATGTTGGCAATTTTTACTAGCCACCACCAAATTTTGCATTAATTCATAGAGCGATGCCAAATTCAACTCTTTGCCAACACGTTCATAAAACCTGAATTGAATATTGAAGTAAACAAGAAATTGCAATAATTACTTAAGGGAAATTAAATTGAAGAAAACTAAACTCAATATGAAATCAATGAAATCAATTAGTAACAATCTTTTGAAGTAGATTTTTTTTCATTCTGCTTCTGTTATTCATACTTTTTTAAATCTAGTTTGATGTTATCAGTTGAAATGTTGCCTTAAAGGTGCTTTAATGAGTTATTTGAAATTGATAGCGCTTTAAAACATAGCGAACTGTCTTAATAAATACCAAATCCAAAGAAAAAAGAATAAAAGTTGCAGTATTTCTTGATATTCACAAGTTATAGAAAATGAAAGGTGTAGAATTGTCCAAATTTCAATTTTCTTAAAGCAAAGTTGTTAAATTTGTTAGATTTATGTATTCAGACAATTTACTCATTTGTTGTAGTATTTGATCATACTTACTTGCTTATTTCTGAAATGAGAAATTGAAGAATTTGACAAGCTGTATGAGTGCTAAGAATGTCATCATTACTGTTTGGTAAAATATCATCAATGTGCTGTGCCTTATTAGCCGTATCACGATTGAAAGAAACAGATGGCAACCAATTGGTCTGATCTTGAGTTATGACACCAAACAAATATTTTTCCACTTCCAAGATATACTCAGTGAATCTGCGAATGAAATTTCAAGTGAAATAAAAGAGTTTTTTTTCTTCTAAAATACTTTTAAATTTGACAACAAAAATTCTGCTCTAATTTCTTTTGATGGTATGAAGGTAGTAAATCTTGACCAGTCAGTTAATCTATTTTTAGAATAATGGCTTCTAATTGTCGCCATTAAAAATCTGATACAAAAAAATAAGTTTTAAATGTTTATAGGTTTTAAAATAAGTTTTAAATATTTATAATATGATGATTTATTTAATCATAAACCATCATACCAAAAGTATCAAGAAATCCTTTAAATGGAATTAATATCAGTGTTGAATTTAATAACAGAATTAAATTCAACTCATTATTTACCTAATGATACTATTCCAACATTTTGGTGCACGAAGTCCACAATCAGTAGCAATATCTAAAATAGTTTGCATTGCAATCACATCGCTTCTCCGTAATGGCCAGCGATTAAATCGTTCTGCAACGGAATCGATTTTTTCTTGAATTGCAAAGCTTCTCAATTCATCCAGAGGACATGTTGCCATGACAAGTTGTTCAATGATTAACTGATTATACTCCTCCGTACCTGAACATAACTGTCATTTTTGTTTAATAAAGAAACATGCTAAATGATGAGTTGAATTTTGCATTAGAATACAATTCAGCATACTGAAATCAGGTGAGGTAGAATAAAAGGATGGAATAAGATTAAAGTAAAAGTCAAATTAAACGGGAGAATATAAAGTGGCCTGAAATAGTAAATATTTTCAGAAGCCAAGCCATGATATGATATAATTATATGCTATAAAATAATATCCAATCAATCTTGTCTAACTCTCAATATTTCGTATTCCTTAATTTAAACCTTCTTGGGCAAAAATTAAAATAAAAAAAATTTGAGCTATGATTAACTATTAGCATTTATTCACCGTTAACCTATCATTATTTGTGCAATAACTTTTCGAGTTATCAAAAACACTACTTGAGAAAAGATCAAAATTTAAAAATCTTCCAGGAAACAAATTGAATTATGAAACGAGCCTAATGCAATACAAAGCTTAGCAAATGCCAATAAAGTGTATATGGCCTGATCAAAAGCTTCAGCAGCTTTTGGGCGAACAATATGATGTTGTGTATTGCGTAAGGAAAGTAGCTTTGATGGTGATGTTAGCAATTTATTCTGAGTTGCCAATAAAAGCCATCGACATGCTCTACACGCTAAAAACATTTATTCATTTTCATTAATTCATTAGTAATAGTTTCGATTTCTCAGCAGGAACTCATAATTTAAATTCCCTTCTTCAAAAGCATAAAATAATGATCAATTTAAAAATAACCATCTGACTGAATAAGCCTTATTGTCGTTTTATACCATGAAATCAGAAATGTTTTTTTTTTTTGGAAGCATAAAAAGATCAATTCAATTTTAATTAATTCAAATATACCAGCTAAGGAATGTTTATTCTTCTTGATAAACATTTGTCGTATTCGTCGCACATCACTCATTATCTGAGCACTGTGTCCAGTGTAGTCTGAAATTAATTTCAAATTTTAGACCGGAAATAGCGATCAAATCGATGGCTTGCTTTATTATCATTTGCTTTTCGAGTATGCAATAATTTAAACATACAAGTAAGCAAAGGAGCAAAATGAAAAAAAAATTGATGAGTATCAAAAGATGAAGTAAATATATTTTAATTCTCTATTTCGAAATTTAAAAATGAAATTTAAGAAAACATTCTCATACTTTCCTAAAATATACCTTCAATGACACTTATCAGTGGTACTTTGACGTCATCCAAATATTTAATTTTCATTTTTAATTTTATCAAATTTTCGTATACCACAGTAAGCCAATGATCACTGCTATATACAATGCAATCGCTACGCAGTACTTCGTTGATGAACCAAAACTAAATCGAAGAATTTAAATAATCAAATTTAGACATAAAGTTTGAAACTTTTATTATTTACAGGAGAGTTTGAATAGCAACAATTTGATCGAATCCTGAATTAATTAACCAAGCCTAAAATTTTTAACTGATTGGATAGACGACCTAAAGTCGTGAAATTTAAAGACGCAAAGGTAAACAGATCAAAAGAAAATTGAGCCATTCATATTAAAATGAATTGTTTAATCAGTTTTTTTGGATCGTTTGAGCAAAATTTGTTACAATGTTTTAACCTTGTTGAAAGTTTGCTTGTTGTTTTCATAATAAATAACAGCCAATGCTGCATAAGTAGTAAGATAAATAGCATCAGAATTCAGGAAATGTGATTGTGCTTGACCATGCAACTCGAATGCATCCTTTTGAGCCAACATGAATTCTGTAATATGACTTTACGTTTTCCGAAAACTTCTCCCGGAAAACTACATATAACTTTTATTTTTGACTTCCTTAGCCTATTATTGTTCAATAAATATTTGAATGCCTTCTCACCAGATAACTAGCGAATATTAAAATTTAAATTAAGCTAGGAAATCTCAGAATACTGAGATGATCACATACGTCGTATACAAAAAGCCGAAAAACTGGAACTTTATAAATGAAAAAGCGTTTGGAAAAAACTAGAAATTATAAAAACTAGATGTTTTTGTCAAAATTTTAATTTACAAAAAGATTCAAACAGTGTCCTTTTCTCCTCTCTTATCTTTTTGAGATTGATAAATTTAAAAGAATTTCTAACAGTCAATCACTTATTGGCCAATCTGAGATAATAAAAAAAGAGATTTCATAATTAAACAGGCCTATTTTCAACAGTTATTCATTCCTGAATTAAGTTTTCTGAAATCTTTTAGTAATTTACAGCTTTTTTTTTAAAATTTCCAAATTATTACATTTGATTTTTCACAACATTTTTTTAATCTAATCCCGAAGTAAACATAAACTTCAAAGTAATAAGTCGGCAATTTCTTGTTATTTTTAGTTCTTTTTTTATGTTAACAATCTTGAAGCTTGAAATTTCGTTATTAAGCTATTTGAAAGACTAGTCTTATTGTGGTTCTACTAAAAAAAAAAAGCACCGGAAAAGAAATTAGACGCAAACTCTTGAATTGCTTCATCAATTTCAATCGTACTTTTAATTTGCATCCATTTTGGAATAGCATTCCGCAATTTATTTATATAGCAATTCGCTGTTTCTATTTCTTCCTGAAAAATTTTTCAAATAATTAAAATTTCCTTGAAGAGCCCTTTGAAGTATAAGCTCTATTCAACTTCAGGATAATTTATGTGAAATTACATCCAGAAAATGGCATCTTTTTCATATTTATATCATTAATTAAGGAATTAATAACAATAATGATAAACTGTTAATAAAAATGATAAGAATATTAATCATTTTTGTCTAATTCCAAAATTAGCAAGCGATATAGCAATAAGCTTTTAAGGCATAAAGTCGATAGTCACAGGCAGCATTGAAGTGATAAGTGATAAAGTAAAAACAACAATACCATAGAAGAACAACATTCGAAAATCTTAACTTAAAATACATCCTTATTTCACTTATGGATCTAATTGATTTTTTAAAACTGTCAATTGCCTTGGAATTTGATGAAACAATGAGTGAAAAGTTTACTTCAGCTGATTTGTTATCGGCAGAGTCACAGCAAATTACCACATCCGTTTCTTCTCTTTTATACTTTTTCGATAGTTTTTGGAGCACTTCAGTTATCTAAATTGATTGTCAAAAATCTCTTCATAAAATTTCAAATATATTCAAATATAATTTCAAATATAAAATTTCAAAAAATTTCAAGTATAATTGAGAGTACATAATATAAAATTTATTATACAAACCTCATCTGTACTTTTCAAATCCTCCAATAAACTCTTTCGTTTTATTTCTGCTTCTTTTATACCGTCTTGCTTGTTATCACGTTTTTCTGAAATCTGTCCTGAAAACTATTTTATACTAATATTTATTTGGAGTGTAAGTTTTTAAGATTACTTTATTAAATTCACATTTAAGTGACACGGGAAATGTGTTACGACCTAAATAAAATAATACACATGAAAAGTTCGGTTTATCGATTTTTCAGTTCTTACAAATTATTTTGATAATCTAAGAAATTTTGAAGTTTCAACAATACGACAAATTTCTTCTTATAATATTGAAAATTTTATGGCACGATAGTATAGGATTGCAATGTTAACAGTAAAAGAGAAGAGACAAAATTTCATAAATTCTATGATTTCAAATTTTTATCAAATATTCAAACCATCATCAATAACTGAAGCTAATGAAATATCATCCGTTGGAAAATAAGCCAAAATAGAATCAATAAGCTGCGCTGATAATATGCCATCACTATCAGCTTCACACATTTGGGATGCTGTAGCTAGCTAGAATTTTTTTTCTTTATCAATAAATGAAAGGAATGAAAGAGATAGGTAATAATCTTCCTTTCTAGGCCTCGAAAACCTAATTGCGCCTTTCAAGATCAAACCATAGAGATCAGATTGATTGAAAGGATTAAAATGTATAACTAACAATAGTTTGTAACGTTCGAAGTGCTTCTGAAGCTATGTCAATATTTGTTGAATTACTGCATTCAACGATACAATCAACAATAGCAGTCCATAGTGTTAATGACTTACTGTTCACCGAAATCAAAACAATATCAGCAAGACGTTCTTCATTTTTAGTAATCTAAAATGAAAAATATTACGATACAAATATGGTGGTAATCAATTCCAAGTTATTGCTTGATTATTCTAAATTGAGGAAGAATTGCAGACTATTTATTACGTTTTCACGAAGATAATCCAAAGTTTTTTTAAATACAACGTGGCTTCCAGATTTTCAACCCACTTACAAAACATATAATCGTTAGTGGTTTGGTTTGCTTAACTTTCCAAACCTTTTCGAAATGTGCAAAATTTTCACCCTTTAGTATAATAAAAATCCGAAATTTCAAAATCTCATAACAGGACCTTCCGGATGATACGAAGAGCTTCAGAACGTTGATCCACTCTCGGATAGAGCAATGCTTTATGAAATATTGCTTCCAATACACTGCGCATTTCATGAACACCAGCAAGAATTCTTAATAATTGTTCGACGATCCTGAAATTGATATGATATAATTTCAAAAAAAACAATTCCAGATTGTATTTCAGAAGATACAACACAGCAAAAAATATTAAATATTACCATATTTATTAGAGTAATTACTCACTGGTATAGAGAGAGTACAATTTCTGGATGATCAAAAATCGTTTTACTATTTGTCGTCATCGGCCTTTGACTTCGTCCAAATAGTTCATTACCTTCAGCAATATCACGAGTATTCTTTTCCGGTTCTCCTAACATTTTCATCATGCAAGGACTTAATTCATGCCTGCAAAGTTAGAGTTTGAAAAAATAACTTCGAAAAAACTATCATTCAAATTTCAATGAATTTCTTTCTACCACTTAGAAATCAGTGGAATATTTTCAGTCAAAAATAATTTATATTAACTTCATAATCTCAATTTATACACACTTAGCTTCCTAAAAAAATAACTTAATTGAGCAAAAGAATGACAAAATAGCAGAAATTGTATCAAAAAGGAAAACAAAAAATTGATATGAAAATCCTACGAATTTAGCAATAAATTTTATTTTTAATAAAATTTTTTTTATTAGTTTAGCAAATTTCGCAGTAAACTTCACTTTCTCGCTATCTTAACAAAGAAAAGAAAGCAAAATTTTACTATTTTTTCATTATTTCTGAAAATTAGAAATTAAATCAAACTAATTAATTAATTCGAGAATATACCATATAGCATTAACGAATGGTTCATGATTGGTAATAGTAATTGGTTGTGAACTAAGAAGACTATATATAGCATCTAGTAAGATAACAATTTGATCCGATTGGGGATTTGTGACATTTGCGCATTTGATTACTTCATTTAGCAATGATGTAGAATCCATAAAAATAGCAATATATTCCTGACAATGTCTATTCTGTAAAGAGATAATTCGAAGATTTAATAATTTAATGATCTTTTATTGAGTGAATATTTAATTAAAATTTAATCTTACATCATTGATCACTAACTCATCAAAAATTAAATCATTTGAAAAAAGAGTCAATTAAACAAGTAATTATTAAACTGATTATTTGAATATCGATTTGATTGATAATTATTCTACCGTATTATTACAATTATCATGCATAAATATATTTTAATACTTCAAAAAACGGAATGCTATCAAAGAAAGAAAGAAATGGATCAATTTTTGCATAATGACTTCATATCAGCGCTAAGTGAAATTTCATGAATACATCAGCAACATTTGGTGATAATAGGGTTGTGATAAGAGGTTAAACTTGATGGTTAACCTGAGGTAGTGTGCAAAAAGAGTTAAAAATCTGAGTAATAGCTGCGCGACAAGCCAATCGAACACTTCTTTCTTCTGCATTCCCATATGTTTGCATACATAACTGTGCAAAAAAAGAAACGCTTATTTCAAGAACGATTTATTTTTAGTTAGTTTTCAGAAGAATATCTTTCAGGTTAGAATATAATTTCAATAAAAATTCAATAATTAATTAATAGAAATTGTATGGAAATACATTATGTGAATTAGAAGAAAAGAGGAGAGAGAAATAAGAGTTAAAAATATTATTACTTTCAATTATTTGATTTAAAATAATTTATCAATAATATTACCTCGCTATATATTTTATCTGTCGCTAGAACAGAAATTGAGAAATTTGAAGCATATATCTTTTTTTTCTCAGCAAAGTGATTTCAGTAATATAAGAAAAAATAAGCAGTTATAATTTTCGACAGAATTTTAGCAACAAATTTTAAATTAACCAACCTTTAGAGCTTCCATTATAGTTTCGATTGTAATTCGTCGTTCTTCCTTACACATTATTTCAACAATTAACTGTAAAAAAAATGTATGTCCAAATTTTTTGCTAGAAAATTTTTGAAATGAAGGTAAAATAATAATTCAATTAGCACTTAAAGTTAAATTAAAACTTAAAGATTGAAAATAGGCACCGTTAGTATACGACATTGAATAGGGGCCTTGATTACCGGTAACAAAGTAACCGACTTTAAGGCTGACATAATTAATGTGTCAATTTCCGAAGTTGACGCTTTGTTCATAAAACGTTCGTCTCGAATTAATGTCTGAAAAAAAAGAAAGATGAAATATGAGAAAACTTTTCCTCATATTAACAACACCTCTACTAAAAGCAATAGTATTATTAATTCATATTCACAGAATCATCCTATTCTTTCTCATATTTAGCAAATTTAAGAGAATGATAAGTTTAATAGTTTAGCAATGCAGCAACACACTCAGACTAAATCAGTTATCAGTATGAGAAATCAGTTATTATCAGTTATCAAGACTAAATCAGTTATTCACAATTGGTGAAATCAAAATTAGACTAAATCAGTTATTCACAATTGGTGAAATTGTTCCTTATTGGCTCATTTATACCGATTAAATTGTAATTATCAGCCGCAAGACTTTTTTTATAAAGAATAGATCCTGTATTCCGTTCGGTACACTATGAAGCTAATTAAGTCAACAGTGCAGTTAACTTTAAAGATGACACACATCTTACATTTGACCTACTTTCGAATCAATCAAAATGTACAATTAAAATTTTTTCGATTGCAAATAAATCTCTTGCGGAAATTAAATTTCGTAAGTTATTACCTGAAGTAAATCAACAGCTGCTTGATTAATTTTTTGGTGTTTGCATTGAAGTGCTAATTGCAGTACATAAAGACATTTACCGCATAATGTAACCATTGTTACATCACTGTTGTTCAACATTTCTGTAATTTTTTATGCAGAAAATCTCCATGGTATGGAATTCAAATAATTCCATGATATGGGTGATAATAATAGAGTAGTTAATAACTGATAATAATATCCAGTACATTTCGGTGTACATACTTTATTTCGATAGAATGACAGAAATGTAATATCAACAACGCTTTAGGTATAATTAACATCATAAAATCTACTAGTAAAATGTAACGATATTTAATGATTTAAACAGTTCTTCTCTTTATTTCGTTGAAACGAAATAAATAAAGACGAAATGGAACACATGATTTTAAAACTTCTCTTATGCAAAATCCTAACCTCGTGCATTTCTTGCAGAAGCACAAAGATCACGAAATTTGGCTGCAGAAAGATTGATGATAGTTTGCAAATGTTCATCCATTGAAATATGGTAAAATTTACTGAAGCACAATAGGATATGTCATTTATTAATAGTGATTAAAAAGGCAGCCAGTCTTGGAACGATAGTTGACTTAACTTAGCCATCATTGTGAGGTTTTCATTGGCATTCCAACTGAGCTGGTCGGTATCGATCTAGCCTTGGCAATTGTAGCATGCTGGCTTTTATCGCCAATATCAATTTCTCAGTAAACTTCATGCAAACATGAGAAAATTTAAACTTCAAAGTAAGATGGCTTATTTTCCGGGTACAGCCAAATATTTATGGAGTGTATTGTTAAATTACAATATAACAATGTGAAAACAATGAAACTCGGTATGCTAAACTTGGATTACACGGTATTAAAAAAAAGGAATTTTTCTAGCCTATAAATCCTGCAAAACAAACGTAATTCGTAGCATATGCAGAACTTAGGATCCAATATACAGTGAAAGTAGCGCAAAAATCCGATGAAAAGAAACAAAAGAAAAAAGAGAAATAAAAATTAAAAGCTAAAGTATATATTAAAGATTGTAAATGATATCAACGACCAGAGCACCTTGAAATTCCACAGTAGCAATACCTCAAACTCTGCTGTTCCATAGGAGCCTTTTTTGAATGTTATGCATTCCAAGTTTCTATTTTTCTTTGGAATAATTTATTATAGAAATAAAATTGCAAATATTCAAATCGATTAATTTACTTTACAATATACATATGTATGCAATGTACAATGCTGCTCACATTGTAAATTGAGATCCAACTTTACTGTTGTAGCGTAAAGTTTTCATAAATCCTCCAATAAGTAATCTAATCCCTTGCAATAACCTAACATTGCACAAATTATTTAGCTTTCACATCAAAAATTTTGCCAAATGTCACAACAACTCAGAAATCCAATTTGATATAAGTCCACATTTGAATTTGAAATTCAAGATTCGAAGTTGATCATATTTCCAAAGTTCACAAAACATATAGTTTAATTAATAATCAACTGATGAACATCATGTACCATGTCGGTAAATTTCGTTATTTTTGCATTCACTGATTCATCAATAAGATGTTCAATTTTTTGTTCGGCCAGTTCATCGGTCAATGTCAAGTGGAATCTAAAACACAAAAAATTCGATGAGCTGCAAAAGCAAGACGAAAAAAGAAATAGATCATGTCATAGAAAATACCCGGAAATCATTTCAAATTTCAAAAAAATGTACGAAATACATCAACTATGGGAAAAAAACCTATTTGAAAAAATTCACATGTTTAACACATAGCTGAGAAGATATCTCCAACCACCGTATCTTAACTTACAGTCCTTAAAAATAAATCAGGAGAAACAATGGAAAAGCGCACCTCTGTTCAATTTTCTGCACTGCTTTTTCTTTCTCAATTGAAATATCCGGTATTCCAGAATCCAACATCAGTGAAAATAAATTCAGAACAACATTAGCATGTCGTCGTAAAATGCGAAATGCTGAGAAACAAAATCCTCGAAATTCTTTCCATTCCCTACTGAAAAAACATGAAATTTATAAAAAAATTACCTTCTTTTCTTTTAAACTCATGAATGGATAATAAAATCACAAATACAACGGCGTTTTACTATTCCCTATATTTTAATGCTTTAGATTAAATTTGCATAATTTTAATTTCAACTTTGTATGTTATTATGAACATTGCAAAGTCAGCAGTAGGGATGGTATTGTGAAACGGAATCCGGTTGATATTACAGAGAAAAGTTCCACCATATGTCATATACTATTGAAGTTGTCAAGATTGGCTAAGTCAAGCAACTGGATGATAAAAAGATCAATATAATGACTCAAATTCATCAATGAAGATGCATTTAACCAAACAATTTTTATTCATTATGTTTGAGATACCCTTTATTTGATCAAAACCTCTACTTTGAAACCCGACCTTATCATAGCAAACTTTTAATAAGATAGGTCTAATGCAAACAAACCTGTGCAATCCGCCCATACCATTAACCATTTCACTAGTCAATTTCATTGGTGGCGGAGCGAAGGGTTTCGGATCTCTTCCCAGGATATAACCAAAATCAACATGGAACATTTTTCCATTTTCACACAGCAAAAGATTGTGCAAATGTCGGTCACCTAAAAAGAATTAAACTGAATTAGTTTTACAAAATCGATAAGTCACTCAACCATAATCAAATCAGAAAAAGCAATCTGAGAATTCATCTCTAATAATTCCATTGAATCAAAATTAAACTATTTATCCTCTCAAAATTAAACTACGCTCAGAAATGAATGGCAAAATAACAAGAAAATGAATATAAAAATTTGCCAATTCCCAATATATAGCAAATAATCGAATATCCAGCGCAAGAACGAATGTAATTCTCAACAACTTCTGTTTCAATTCCAAACGGTCCACCAGGAGAAGGACGAAATGATCGAAGACACTCCTGGAAAAAAATAAAATAATATTGTGCAGGGGTTAATGAGTAAAAATTTATCCAATACTCCTGAGCCAACGAACTAACATTACCATGCTACATTATAAAACAATAGTATGGCATTAAAGCTATTGTAGGAAATCATCATGAAAAAACACGCATGTTTGTTTTGATACAATATTATTCCTGAAAGAATGACCATCCAAAAAACAAACAAACAAATAATCGCTTTTATTTCATATGACAGAAAAAAATGTGATCTACAAACTAAAGCAAATAAATGTTGTTCAACACAAAAAAAGGTTTTAAAGTCAATGCAATGAACTAAGAGATGAAGAGAAAATGCCAAAGAATAAATGGAAAAGTTAAGAGCGTTCCGGAACCTCCAAGTGTTACCAGAATTTAAATTGAATATTTGGGTTCAGTATAATGATGAAAATAAATCAAACCAATAATTTACCTGAACAGTACCCCAATTCGAAATCACTTCACGAAGCGGAATTGCTTTAATAAATTGAACAAATCCTTCAGAAGTAGATGTAGCAAGAACCGAATACGGTGTTAGACGTAAATCGAGACCATCTGATCGAAGTAAATCATCCATTAAACGAATCATTTGTACGATCAATTGATCTTGCCTAAAACAGCACTTTCACTTAGTTTATAGAAAAAATTTTCTTTTTGGGATTTCATCCTTTCTAAAAATAGGTTCATCTAAAGTATGAGAGCATTATTGCGGTGTCTGAAGAGATAGAGCGCTGAAGCATTCGAGATCTACAGCTTCAAATGATGATAAAACTTAGCTGATTAAGTGCAATTGGAATTTAGAGATTGGTTGAAAATTTTTCTAGTTTAGATCGATTTGAATTCAAACTAGACGATGCACATATAAATACCTTAAATCGTCGCCTCGTTTGAAAATTGTCACATAATTTCCGTTATTTTCAGTTTTAAATGTGAGTTTCATTGGCATCAGATTGCTATTGAAAAGTGTAGCCGTATCGGGTAACAGTGCATTTACACGTATCGTTGGATCTAGCGGTAGTGGAAGACCGCAAAGATTAAGCAAATCATGTTGTTCGCGTAAAGAACGTCGCAAAGCTTTTTCTTTTTGACTTCGTCCGCCACTTTCTTGTGATACAAGCTTAGCCATCGACACTAGGATTTCAATTAAAATCTAAAATTTTTTTCTTGACTGAAATAAACAGAATTTAAGAAGCATTAATAGTTTTACCAAAAATTCATTTAGAGATTTGAAGAAGTTGAAAAAAATTGGATAGTTAAATTGAAAGGTTGAAGAAAAAGAAAAATTCGTTGTTTGGCATAATTTTTTCCACGAAAAAAACGAATTAGAATCACAGAAAACCTAACAAAAGTGTAGATTTAATGAATGGCATAGCGAGCTTTTTAAATAACACATTAACAAGACATCGGAAAAGTATGCATTTAACTGTAGTGCCGTAGTAAGCTGCTATTTTCAAAAACAAAAAATATTTTTTACAGAAATGGACCATGAGCAAAGAAAAAATAAGAGAGTAAGGATTTATATAATGTCGACTGAATTTCAAAAAACTAAATATTTTTCATGCCAACTTTATAATTATCAACTGAAAATCCTACCTCTTGCTGATCAAGTGAAGCAGCTCGCCTCCTCAAATCGCTACCACCACTTCGTAATGATGATAATAACAGTGACAAAACGTAGGTGTACATGCGTGACATAAGTGTATCGACTTGCGCTGTTGCTTCTATCTGTAATTTTGAACTTGAAAGTTCATTATGATGATATCTTCACGGAAGTTCAAAATTATTTGAGAATAAAAAAGATGGGTACTTCCTTAAATTCTTAAAAAAAGTCAAAATTTTAAAAATAAAATTTACAGTTACCTCAACTTTGAGATACCAATAGAGGTAATAAGTGATAGATGGATTACTGCAAGCAGAACGTATCAGAAATGACGTAAGATCATCGCCTGTTAAGCACTTTTGCATAGCTTGTTCAACCGTTTGTTGATTATGTATTTCTTGACCACCATTCTCCCTTTTGGTATCATTAGTTTTCTTTCGAATTTCTTTTTGCTTCTGTAATAACTTATAATATTTATTACTTTAATAAATTTTAAAAAAGCAGACTGATATACAAATACTTTCAGATCACAGCAAAATAATTTGAACACTTCAGATTTTTGACAGTTTATCACTCTACATAACCCATATTAACCCCACCAAATATTAGTCATGCCACTCCTTTGTCTTTGCAGCGGCCTTAATAACGAAGGCACTGAAAAAATTTGAAATATGGTCTCATAATAATCCTATTTCTTGCACAACAATCAAAAAATGAAACGAGAAACATGCAAATAAAGATACAAAGATATAAGAATTGTAGTTTTACTGATTTCTAGAACTGATGAAATTCATAAAAATACCTCCAAATCTTTGGCAGCATCCATTATGAATCGCTCATATTTAAGCGCCTGCACAAGTTGCGGCAAATATAATAGAATGTGTTCAGGTTTAGCGTGTGATAAACGTGATACCGCATAGCGGCGTAGTTCAGCGTGTCGAAATGTTGGCGAAAGAAGTTCCAAAGCATCACTGGCTTCCAGTGGCGACCATTCACTGAAAATTTGATTCAATAAACAGGAAGAATTAACATCCCAATCTAAAAAAAATTTTTAATAAATCGCTTAAAATAAACTTACTCTTATAAACTTTCAATTCGGAACGGATTGGTCGCAATTTCTCAAATCCTACTTTTTTTTTCAGTCAGTGAATAGTGATTAATCAGAAGAAAAATTAGTTCTAACTACCGTCAAAGGTTTCCAAATATTAAATATGCGTAGCCTATAAATTACAATGAATAACTTTGGAATATAACATTGATAACAATTACTTCACAAGGACCAAAGCATACGCTGCCTCTTCACTTTTATTCCAAGCCACTGCGCGAACAAATTTTGGTAATGCTTTACGATTGTTCCGAAGAAAATATCGAAATTTCCATATTAAATCACGCTCTTCAGAGTTTATTGCGTGCGCCGGTGGTAACTGAAACACATAAAACCATTTAATTCCTCATATCAAGTAGACTGAAAATATAGTGAGTTTCTGTGTTGAAAAATATAATACAGGAAAAAATTTCTGAAACACTTCTCCCAACAAGTTTTATATTTACAAATAAAAATGGAGACTAGTGTAGAAAAAAATAGCATGTAAGTCATAAAGTGTGCAACGTAAGTGTAATATTAACACTGCATTTAGCTCGATGATATAAAAAAACCTAATTTTGACAGGAAACTACATATTAAAATAAAAAACATAAATTTTCCGAAAAATTAGCAAAGAAAAATTTGCAGATCTGATGTTACCAATAAAAAATAAAAACAGTATACCCGGACAATCCTTTCCAGGTAGCGACGTGCAGAAGCATTTGGTTTAAGTTCACGTTCAATGACACCAGCACGTGAAGAACGTGTCATCATGTGATGTTTGAGTTCACAAACATTTTCAAAGTCCATCTCTGGATCGATTAATGGATAAATACTTCGTCTTTTAAACCTCTCTTCATCATCGTAATAAACTACAGAAAATGTGGAGTCCCCGCAAACAAATCGAGCCATTTCGACAATTAAATACAAGCAGCGCTGTTCGACTTCACGCTGAAAAGTAATTCATTTATGCATAAAAGATAATATCTGTTAACAGAAAGTTATGTCTGTTCCTTTGTTTTCAAACTTGTCTGATTGTCCATATATTTCAAGATGCAATAAATATTCCAATATGCCAAATACTTAAGAAATAACATCTTTCTGTTGCATGTTTCATGAGATGAGCGTTGATTTTCACTCAATATTCGATACTCATTAATAAGCCATGAAGCTCACTTCTCTCCACTTCTGCCAGAGAATTCCACACTTATAACTAGTTATGAGAAATATCAGAAGAAACCAACCTCCTTCTTGATCTGTTCAATGCGTGGAAATGTAAGTCGATCAAGCCAATCAACATGCTCGATCAATCTCTCACCATATTCTTTCGTTCGTTTTTGTAAACGATCAACACCTGTCTGTTTCGTAAACTGTAACAACACAAAAAACTTAACTTACAGTAAATAATACGTCATTATAGTTTACCCGTTAAAGGTAAAACAAAAAACTCGCCCAGTACTTAAAAACAAGAATATTAAAATATCAAATGAGGCTTATTGGCACATCATACTGCACCATCCTTTATCGAATAATACTAATTGACGTTTAAAAGATAAGAATTTATCAAAATTCGTTTTCCCAGAAACAATTTTTAGTTTAAACACAATTAACTATAAGGATAAATATCAAATTTAAGATGAAAAAAAATCATAAAATCGCATCATTTCATTAAATCAAACCTTAGATGATAAAGGAGGACTCAAATAATCATCAGGTTTTGTAGCCACTTCCATTTTTAGTGCAATGGTACCGGATCGAAATACTCCACGTTTGCTGAACAGCGAAACAGATGAATGTGCTATAAATCGTGCTTCTAGGCCATCTGTTACATCCCACAGGCACGCATGGATGAATGAATCAAGACTCAGCTCGCTAAAAATAAGAAAGTCAATATTGCATGCAATTATAAAGAAGTTGAAGTTATTCCCGTCACGCCGCTACTTTCGAATGATAAGAGGGAAAATTTGGTAGGCATTTTATTACAAAAACCTTGTTGCGAACGGAAGAAGTTCAATCTTGGCTTTTTGATGATAACTCCTTATGATTCCGCAAGCCCAAGATAGAATTTTTTTTTTTTGAAACTCTGAAAGATTGAAAAAATCTTGGGGGTAGATTTTTCAAAATCTTGTAAACAGTAATCAAACTGACTTAGATGAATCACATATCTTTGATAGAATTATATAACAAGACACCTTATTTTGACAGGTAGCACAATCCATTCATCCCACGAATAAAGCGTCGTACGAACATGATTTGGTGGGGATTTATAGGACGTCCAAATTGGTACTCCCACTTGTCGTTTATGACAATAAACCTGCAAAAATATACAAAAGACATTTTAAAATTCGATAACAATTTTTCATCGTTACTGAACAACTATCGCAGATTACCTAAACTTGCATTAAAGTTAAATTAATTTTCTATCCCAACATGTAAGTAATGAAATAATCATGGAGTTCTAGAATGCTCAAACGTATAAATTCTAATGTTCTCAAATTTTAAAAAAAACTAGGAGTTTGAATTAAAAAAAGCTAACCGCAGCGGTAATGAAGAAATTGCCACCCAAAACACGATAAGATTTATCTAACAGCGAAACACTTCCTTCCAAAGAACCGATTCGTAATTGCACGTTCACTGCGAGGTCACAGCTATAGACGTATAAGAATTCACTGTCCATCTTTATTTCTTAACTTATACTCCTTCCAGCAATTGTTAATTGGTTAAGTGGCCATTATTAAACACTGTTTGTTCCATCAGCATTTGAAAATAGTCTGCAATGCTTTATCCATATAGATCATCAAAAATCCACAAATTTTATTCCTTCTTCTTTCAAAGTCTGGTTTATTTCACAAAAGATTAAATTGTTTTCGCCCTTTATCAACCTATGCAGGCCCACATCACACAGGTTTGTTGAGGTTCATTGACCATAAAATCCATCAGAAATAGAGAAGGTTTAAATCCATAAATGTTACATCTCAATATACTTTTTGTGTTTCATTCACTTCAAGCATTTCGGAAATATTTCATACAGCTTGTGTACTGCAATGTTTTCCCATTGCACATCATTCTCACATATATTTTACTAGTGCCTTTTTGAATAATAAACAGACAAGTAAATTCAAGAGCATATGAGAATCCCGTATCTCAAACAACAAGACGCACTTTTTTCTATTGAGAAATTTGCAAATTAATAACTGTGTCTGAAGCGGATAGATTCAGAGAGATAAAATTAAAATCTCAGAATAATGACATTAACAGTTGCCTTAGAGTGGTACAAAAAATCCTGAACTATCAAAAATATGACTAATCTTACTTTCACACACATCACTTTAAACACAACACATGAAGTAGTTTGTACAAATAATATACAGAAGAAAAATGATAATTCATAAACAATCCTGAATATTCATAAAATTCTACTAATGGAAAAAAAGACAAGATATTACGAAAAACGACTTTTTGATGACAGAAATATCTAAATATAATTTAATTAATTCCAAAAATGGTCATCTGATTACGATAAAAAACAAGTATTAAACTGCTAATATTTTAAAATATCAATATAAACTATTAACTTATGTATTTATAAGGAATCTTTATTTTCCATACAATTAAACACAGAATAAACACTCACAACCTTATTTTTTTTATTTAAAAAGTTACCAATCTCTAACCTATGTAGAAAAAACCTAATTTTATCCTAAGAAAAGAATCAATTTCTAAATTTATGACCAAGATAATATGTTAGAGATCAGGATTTTGAGACTGAATAATGACAGAAATGACGCAAAAAAGAAATTCCACTTTCTTATCTGCATTTTTAATCATTTTGGTGACTTTTTCTTACTACCACTTCTCTTCGGTGGAACATCTCTACCCGGTAAAGACCTTGGGCTGTTATTTGGACTTTCTTCATGTATCGGTTGCTGAATAGTGCTGCGACTTAATGATGCTGGTGAAGTAACCGAGGAACTGGAAAATAACCGCTCCGATTCACGCATGCCTTTCCTTGCACCTTTTTTATCTAACTTCAAGCTATTCTTCGACGGTGGTGCAACCAGTGTTAACCGATCCCAACCTATAAAACACTATAGAGTATTTGTTTGGTCTTCCCTATAAAATACTATGAAGTATTTTTTTGATCTGTGAAAGTCATTGGAATGAATATAGCAGAAACTCATAAATATTAATAGAAAATGTTAGAGTGATTGCATCAACAAAAAGTTCAAAGTATAAGAATAATAGTCAGTATATGAAGATTGAGACGTCTAATCATATTGGAATAATCCACTGATAAGTAATTCCATGTCAATCAAAGTAACCAGTAGTATAAAACAAACAACAATTTAAGAGGTTCTGTTTCACAAAACGTGGCACTGCCTAACCTTTTACGACATTCCCATAATCGGCTGTCTCCTCTAAATATGAACCTTCGAAATTGTAAATTTGTTGTTCAAGAGCACCAAGAGTTTCCTGAAAAAACATCTAACAAATGAGAAATTCCAAAAAAAAAAATTTCAAAAGACCTAATTAAAAAATGGAGCTAAAATATTGTTTCCACGAACTACAAAACATTACAAGGGAGGCCTCAAACTATCACAGCAAACTTTACATGAAAGATGCTCAAGCTTTGGAAAATTTAAGAGGTAATTTTGACTCACATAATTAACTTACTGCAAGTTCGCTACGACGCTTCACAAGATCAGCTAATTCTCGTCTTATTTCGTTTAAATCTTTCGCCATTTAATCATTCAATCTTCGCTAAAAGCATGTACAAAGAGTATGTCAGAATCGAAATACTGCAAAATCCGGAGTGTTACAAAATATCAGCAAAGCTAGATTATGCACAGAATGCATAACATAGAATTCCCTCTGCCGAATGATTTCATTTCTCCAACAAAGGCAACCGCATATTAATAATACAGCAAAGTGTGCGTAAAGAATTTGAGATGAAAAAATATCATTAAAAAAGAGAAGGAACCAAAACAGCAGTAGGTTTACAAAATAGCATGCCAAAAGAGACTGCAAAGATTCACTAATAGCTAATGGAAAGTTTTGTGAACCGAAGAAAATTTGTGTGAACCGAAGAGGCAGGCATAACTGCAAAGCATAGCTAAGAAAGAGATTGAGAAAAAAGTAAAATATGAGAATGAAGTCAGTTATTCAGGCGATGATACAAAATCTTGAAAATATTTAAGTTTGGTGGTTCGAGCAGGCTTATATTCGAGTAGCAGAAAATCTAACGTTGGTGTTTGATGTTTCTTTGGTTTAAGTGTGAATTGCACTTACCTTTGAGGTTTGTTGGATTTGATATGAATTTAAATCGAAAGAAATTCGCATGCTTTTTGTTCATTTCATATATGCTAACTAAATATGCATAGATATACACTTACACGGATATATTCACGAACATTTACATGGAAGCTCGCATAGCGCATATTCATTTATATATACGTTTAATGCACACATACATTTCTATGTACAATGTGCATACAGATATCTGTAAAAGTGAAAAACTTGCAATAATTTGAATTTCAGAGATTGACAGTGATTTATTTTTGCATGATACTAAAAGTTGAAGAAGGCCACGTACGTGTAATGGTTGACTACGTGGGAATAAAGTTATTTTTATTAGATGAATAAAAAAAGAGTGTTATAATGTTGAGAACGATAGTGGAATATCCTAAACCTTTGTCGAATATGTTACACTTACGGAATGGATTCGTGGAGGACGAGAGCGATGATGAATTCTTCGATTGTTGTAACAGTCTAAGAACAAGGTTAGATCTAGTGAACTTTTTAAAGAATTGAATTTATCAAATTAAAACCTAGAGTCCATCTTTTCCGTTTACATTTTAAATATTTATTTGAAAGAATTATTAGTTTAATTTGCAAAGAAACCAAGTTTCATTCATTTTTTTCTATACAAAGCAGTGTTAATGCTCGTTCATAGATTCGCTATCTTCTTCTACCAGATTCTATCCTTACTGATATTCCGAAGCGTATGCTTTTCTATGCTCTCTCTTTTCTAACCTCTGTACATTTTGATTTTTATCGATAGAGCGAAATCTACTTGTCTTCGAAGATATTTTCTTTAATTGTTCTATGTCAAATCGTGCAAGCTTATAAAAGTAATGGAAAGCAATCATTCCTACAGTATTCATGTAGCTTTGTATCGGTATCGCTAGAGGTTCATTTCATATTTACAGTAGTTGTACCACTATTGTTCAGCGGTCTCTATTTCGCTAGAATTGCTATCAATAGCTAAGAATCGTTACATTAAACAAACAGATTTGCTGTAGTTTCGTATTCGCAACCAGTGATAATGGTGAAACTTCTTCTTTTTGATTCATCTACTTGCTTTGTTAATTCAAACAAATGTTCATCGGGTAATGTTGTAAGTGCCTTTGATGGTGGTATTTTAGACCATTTCGTATAAATTCTTTAACTATTGAACGTTTATTATTCATAACCGTTTTCAATATGATTTATTGTGCTACAATCTGATTGTCTTATCTACACTATGTTTTTACTTTCTGATTTTAACTCATTTGCAACTAGTGAACTATAAAATGTCTTCATTCCGAATTTATTCCATTATATGTTCTTATATATATATATATAAGATTGTAGGCTATTGTTATATCTTCGTGTATTACATATGTCGATTCGAGGAAATGACATTTAATTACAATCGAAATCATTTTATTTCTTTGACTTAAATCCATTTTTCTAGCATAACTTTTAGCCATTATTTATTTTTATTTTACACCTTGCTCATTTAATCTAATTCATTTTATCTAATCTTGTCTTTTACCTTTATCTTGTAGCTAGAAACTAGAAAAAAAATGGTTAAATAAATAGAAAAATGGTTAAATAATGGTTAAATAAATAGAAAAATGGTTAAATAAACTAGAAAATGGTTAAATAAATATGATTTAATTTTTTAAACTTTGTTTTTATATTTTGTAAATTTCATGCTTATTTTAGTACTGGTAATCTTGGACCCTGTACTGTTCGATTGTTTTTCTGTTCAAAACCGGGCCGCATTATGGCTGTCTTCTTTTCATTACTAACATTATATTTGATATATTCAAGTAAGTTCTTGTTTTTTTTAAGCGACTAGTTTTGAGGAGATATACTGTTGGTTTTAAATGTTTGAGGTCTAAGTAATTCGCTTTTAATATCTGATTCTCTTATATTGCGTGGTTATTTTCTTTTTTGCCTTTTTATTTTTGTTTTTTATTTAAGAGATAATGCTGATTTTTAACCTACTGAAATATCTATTTATGCCTATAACTGTCAATTTTTAAATATTATAGACTGGAACGGCAATATAATCGTACAGACAGATGTGGTGCCAACAGTAACTCCGAGTAACCATTCACGGTTGGCAATATTTTTTGTTTCTAACTAAATTTTAAATGTATTAATGATGTAGTCACATTCCATGCTAAACTTTCCAAGCCTTTCTATTCTTGGACTCAATTCATGATTACTTTGGAGTAAAATTGTCATTAGCTATTCATTCAGCAGTGATTTATTCTTAATTGTCAACTAACATATGGCGATTTTCTCTCGGCTTACTACCAATTAAATAGTGCTGGTTTCATGAAATCTTGGAATGTTTGAGAATTTTACTAATTTTAGGGCTCATAAAATTTTGCTAGATTTGTGTAAAGCTTATGCGGAACAAAAAGTGAGCGGTGATTTGTGTAACCGTTTATGTTATCGTAAAAAGTGGAGTATTTTGGATGTTCATGAAGGAAATAAGATTGTTATCACAATCAAGGATGGTGGGCAAGAGGTTGTACTCAAAAGTCAGCATTTATATATTGATGAATTTGAACATTTGGATCCGCGAGTTAATGAAAGCCTGTTTTTTGACGCAGTAAGTTTTTAATATGATTTTTCCTTAATTCCAAAATTTTGGGTCGCGCAAAGTTTCTTCACTGATCTGTTCTTTAACAAAAGCATAATAGTGGATTGAAACTTCAAAAAGATCCAAAAAATGAAAATTGGAAGTGAATAAATCAATGTCTTAATAGTTGGTAATGTTATAAATGAAGAAATATTTTTAAAACATTTTCAAAAAATACAAATGCGAATTACGATAATGAAACTTAGGGTAGATAATCTGCGGGGAAATATGAATGATTATAAATCTGTTAGTACTTACTGAAACTATATTTTGGACTATTTTCATCCCGATTATATTACTTTTATTATGCATTTATTCCACAACGTAATTCTTTACTTCCAGATTCTTGGAATAGTTAATTATAACCTAAAACTGGGTTGGCCTTCGCATTACAAACATCATCTGATTGAAATTCTCTGGCCAATGTATGTTCGCAAAGGACGTGATTCGTTGTCTGAAGCCGATCGTCGAAGTTTATGGGCACTTCTTGCCCAGGACGAATATATTACTTTCCGGGTTCTACCCCTTACGCGTGTTATGCCGAAGGTGGAATGAATTCATTTCATGCGAAGTTCTATTTTGGGCTGAGATTTTTTACTGAAGAATTTTGATTTTTAACGTCTGATAAATTTTTTCGATTAGCATCATTACCTTCATGTATTTTTTATTTTTTTCCTACTCGTCAAAGGAATTTGTTTTTGGCAAAGTGTTAGATGCAAGAGAAATATTTTAAATGAGTTTTTCCAGAACTCAATTAGTTAAAGTGAAGAAGTCTCAAATTCTTATAGAAATTTGTTAAGGGTGCATTTTATAGATCATTGGTACATGTGGACATTTCTATCAGGTAGAAACATTAGTTCCATTTCATATGAAAGGTTATTATATGAATTTGAAAGCTAAAATATTACTCCATCTGATGGGAACATTGAAATTGTTCGATGAATTCTTAAACGAACCATTGCAATGGTGTGATATAAAATTTGATAATCTTGGACTTGCTGCTGATTATCCAAAAAGGTTAGTTCATGTTCAGAAATTTTTCAGTTTCCGTCGATTTTATATCCATGCATACTATGTCACTTGGAACATAATATTTTTTTGAAGGAAGTCTGATTTCGCTTTCATGAGTTCTTTCAAATTTTCTGTATTTGAGAGAGCTTAGATTTTCATATTTCTATTTGACGAGGCTGAGAGAGATTAAATAGATCATATTTTCTAGCCTCTTTTTACAGTATGTAATTCTCAGTCTAATTTTTATTTGAAACATGAAATTAAAAGTTATGTTTAGAAGTCAAGAAATACGTATCACGTGTGCGATTTCTATTTCGTGATTCATATTAAAAAAAATTCATTGCTGATTATATAGATTCATGGTGATGGACGCAGATATGCTGCATACTAAATCACGTTTGAAAACCATACTGACTAACCGAATGTGCAAACAGGATGCGGAATGTAATTATTTTGACTGCCATGCAAAATGCAATAATGAAACGGGATTTTGTACTGATCGAACAAATAGTAATTTAGAAGTATGTTTTCATATGCCCTCCTCATTTTCATGTTTTCTGTATTTAGTCATTTTTTATTTTTATAAGAAACTGTCCAAGCGAAGTTACACTTGTTGTATAGGGATTAAAGTGTGCCTTCAAATTCAACTTCATTGCGGAAAATCATGCAAACTGCCTTTATTGTTCCAAATACTGCTAGTCAATGCGGAAAGTTATGAAATAGAATGTCAAAGGTCCATGTTGAATTTCAACAAATTAAGTGGAAAATAATTATTGTCTCTGTTCTATAATCCGGCTCTTGATTACTATTTTAACTTATCACCTCCCGTTTATACTGAGTTCAATATCCCAACTAATTTATCTTTTTAACCGATCACTTAAACATAATAAATTTAATAAAATCATAAGTTTTCTAAATACTTTTGACGTTATGGAAAATAACTACAGCTTTCATTAAATTTCCTTTAAACGGTTCATGGAAATTTATGATTGACAGCTTCAATTTGCTAGATCGTGGTAATCACCACTTGAAATCTTTGAAATAAGAAAACAGTTCATTTCGTGTAGTAAAGGAAAAGCAGAAGAAGAAATCATCCGTACAGAGAGTCTTTGTAAAGAAATATCCAGCAAGTGCCTTAACATATGTACTGCAATATTTTTCGAATAAAGGAAGTAAACCATTTTGAGATATATCTAGTTTTGCTAGATGAAAAAGATGGCTAAGCAAAAAAAGATGAGGATTAGGAAGATGAGGCCACAGTAAAGGATAAATTATTCCTTTTTTACTGCTTTCACCCTTGGACACTTATCTATCACATATTACATATTTCTGTCTAACAAAAAAATGGTCATACTTTAGCTACGATAAGATTCAGATAAATATTAGTTTTATTTTTATGAATAATTAAATTACACGACGACAGTTTCGAGTGCCCGCTTTTTTATATTTTAATTTGCATGTGGAAAGGTATCCGTCTTTGTTATTCGCATGGGCAAACTAAAGAAGACTCCAGTGTAAAATGGAAAACGGAAAGATTAGCAAGTTAATGTAATTAAAATTAAAGGGTTTTTGCAGGTATTTTGTGACAAACTCATTTACCAGCTGTATGGTAAATTTTGGACCAAATCAAATCGATACTTGGCTGCATGTCGCGACACGTCAATGACATTTGAGCAACGAATTGCTTCTTTACGATTGCTGTGGTCGTGGAATTTTTCTGATGTATAATTTACCTGTTATGATTAGGAACACTGAATTAAATTTTTTAAGTTCTTGAACGAATTAATGCATACTTTTCGTGTATTCGAATAGCATAAAGGCTCCTTAACTAAATTTTAAATTTCGAGCTTTTTCCTTTAGAAATAGAAAATTTGTGGGCCAGCTTCCATTTTTTCTGTTATACTGGACTTTCTTTTCGCCAAGATAATTCTTAAATTTGTTTCCTGAATTAGATAACAACTCAGAATTTTCCATTAATTAGAATTTTTTTTGCTTATATTCTATTTTTTGTTTCCTAATTTAGATTTTGATTTACACTACTTTATATCGATATTTTTCTACTGCTTCTGACGTATTGATAATTTACTATTTTTGCTGGGAATTTGTATAACTTCAGTAATTAAAGAAGATAAGACTGAAAGATTGTGCGATAGTTTTTCAAGGGTTCTATTTTTTTAGTCTTTCTTTTGCACTTAGAATTGTAAGCATCTTATGCTGATCTCGGATTTGCTCGATATCATTTCTATACTTTTTCAATCTAACAATAGTAATTAGCCTTTTAATGCTTCAATTACAGAAGTCTGATGAGGAAAACAGCAAAAAGATTTTGGATCCTATTCCAAAAACCAGCAGTTTAACTGGATCATTCTTAAAATCACTACTGTTAGATTGAAAAAGTGCACTTTTTTTTAAATTGATTTCCCTCTTCTTTTATTATAGATATTCATTTATTTTCATTTTCTGAAGCATTTTGTATGTTTTAAATTCTTCTGACCTGAGATAATCGGAGCAATTCTGGAAAGAGCAGGAAACTGTCTTTAACTTATATTGATATGGCCTTTATTGCAATTTTTCTTTCTTCTTTTTTGACCAAAATTGTGATTATATTGCCTTTCACGTGATATGCTTATAATGTAATAGTCTTGAAAATATTAAATAAAAAAACACTCAGCTTAATGATCAAGCACCGCTATCTGGAGGTTCATATCAAGGTGTAGGGTGCCAGCAACATTTGACATTCAATACTTCAGTCTCGTATAAATTCGCCTCATTTATAAACATTTCCACTATTGGGTAGAACTCTTAGCGAAGATAGTCAAACTCTTCAACTGTTTGTCTGTTTCATTTCAGTGTATTCAGGCCTTGAAGCTATGTTTGCAAAAAACTAGCTCGTTTGACTCAGGTTTTAAATCCAGAAATATTAGAGAAAAAAATTAGTTTTTTAGGTTAACTATAACAGATTCCCATCAATAGAATTTCGATTAAAAGATGACTGCATTAAATTTTTATTCATCGGTATTGTACTGATAGCACAAGGTGAAGGAGATTGAAAACATTGTTGCTTGGCAAATGAAATTCTTCATTAAGAATTGGAAATAATTGGAGAATTAAATATTTTGATAATAATTGTTTTTTCTTGTTTAAAGATTTGTTGATTAGTAAACAAATCGTATGTAAAAATAACGAGAAAAAGTAAATAGAAGAAAGATGAAATGAGATATATGCTTAGCTTCGTTTAATTTCCAAAAAATAAATTTAAACTATTTGCAATTTCAATCAAAGCAAATATCTCATTAACACATTTGTCAACAACAACAACAATAGTAGCAATCCTTTCATTCCTTTCAATTAACAAAAGTTCGAATAAATAAAAAATTTAAATAATTTTTTGCTTCATTTCTCCATCGCTAAAAATAAAATGTGAAAGGAATGATTTGGTTGAAAATATTTTTCAATATATCAAACCAAATTAAATTAAGCCATATGTATTTCACGTACGTTTATTGTCAGCTTCATAATTTCTAATTAGAGTTTCAATGCTGTTTCTAACAACATGGCAGCTTGCATTATCTTCAGATGTGAAGCGGTATTCTCTCTTAGAAGTTTATCCGATTCACGTTCAGCCTAGAAATATTTAAAATTCAAGAAAGTAATAGCTAAAATTTGATTTAATTTTATTTCTGACTAAACTTTTGATTGAACTTTGAAAAAAATACATTCGCATAATATAACAAATTAAATTAGAAAAATGCAAAAAAAGCATTCGCTTGTAATTGAAGTAAAATAAAATAAAATAAATGATTGATGAATACGTTGAATATGTTCTGAAAAAAAATTTCGAGCACTATCGATCGGTGAATATAGTTTAATCAAACGGCATTGGGATAATATGGAAACATTGCAAGAGGAATCAGTAATCATTAGAATTAAGACTGCTTTAAACTGTAATTAAATTCTCCACCGAGAAACAAAATCATACAACGACATTTGTCTTTTCACATCTCTATCAGTTCACATATTCTTCCTTTAAGCTTTCCGTAAATACTTATTCCGGTTGGCAGAATATAGTAGTGGAAGATATGAGCAAGCGTATAAAAGAGTAAATGTACTTAAGAAACCTATAACTTCAAAAAAGAAAAAAAGATGTATTTAAGAAAAATGGTATAAAAGCAAATAAATAACAATAATTCATTTTGTTTGTGGTAAATGAATTTCTAAGAATTTAAAACGAATAAATATGGCGGAAACCTCATCTATTGGCTCATTTAAATTGTCCTGATTAAACGGAAAAGTCTCTTCGCTCAATATTCGCAACAAATCGTCATCCATACTTTCGAATATTGCTTTCTTACGACAAACCTGACATTCCGTATCAATCTGAAATATTAACGGAGCATTGACTGTGCAATACTTCTTCCATCTATCAATTAACTTTCGATGGCTTTTACTATTAAAAATTAAATTTCAATAAATTTTCATTAAATAATTTAAGATTAGCAATTAGCCGATATATTTCGCTTAATTAACAAATATTATTCAATGCATTAAATTAATTATGCTGCTAGAACATTATGGCTTCATCATGTTAAAGTAAAAATCATAATAAGTAGAGTAAAAATTTAAGGTGTGAGATAATAAAGATATTAGAATAAAGTGGTAAAATTAGCATATTTGTATTATTTCATTATCACACAGATATGATGTAGAAAACTAGTTGATAACAGTTTTCACATCATTTTTCTCATATAAGCGTGATCGATATAATATTATTTGATAAACTTACGTTTATCCATTTTTCGAAACAATGTTTATGAAGCGAATGACCACATTGCGAATGATAAGTATCCTTTGCGAGAAGATGTTCCATACAGAGAGGACATCGTTTTGCTTTTTTCCATAAGGTAGTGTTTAATTCAAATTCATAAAATTTTTGAATAAGGCATTGCTGAAAGAGCTGCTATGAAGCAATGCGACAACTGAAATAGCCTTATCGTCCATCGTCCATCAGATGTAAGATGTAGTGAATATAGTTTTATCGGATTGCATCAAGTAGATAAAATAAAATTGATTACAAAAATACTGGCGTTTATTTCCATTCCAACGTAACATATACATTAGCAAACAGATAAGGGCACGGTTGATAGCAAATGATATCATATGTTATGATTATCCATAAACGATATGATAAGAGTGGAAGTCCGAGCCTCACTTTATGTTTGATTGTAGCCTATTTTTTTTGTAGATAGATCGATTAATTATAGATTATGAAAGAAATGCAATTTGCATAAGGGAAGCATAAAAATCAATAGTATAATATATGTATATATATATTGATTGATGGTTTTGAGCTGAAAATTTTTATGCACTAAAGTGTTCAATTTCAATGAATGATAACAAAATATAATCAATCAGTGATAACATACCAATGCAATTCCTCCGGAAAAATATGCGGCTTGTATTTCTTTTGAGCTTAGGCTACTCATATGACTTTGGTACTAAAATTGAAAATGATTTGTGTAATACATTCATATAATAATGAATGCCAAAATTTATAGAAATAAAATAATCATAAATTTAAAAGTTCTTAGAGATGCTTATATGAATCATTGCATTAATTATCATTAATTAACAATTTTCTTCAGAATATAAGTAGTTCATGAATGGTATTAATTATCAATTTAATTAGTAAGATTATAATTTTGTTTAATTTATTTTACTTTTATTTTTTACTTTATATTTCAATTAAAATGATTTCAAATACTTAAAACAATGAACCACCACCATATTCTGTAGTGCAGCTAAATAACGATTCTTCCTAAATCGATCTCTTGTCCTTTCTCGAATAAATAATGGCTTAATTGGTTCTCTTACTGTTATCTCTCTGCGACAAATTGGACAATTAATAGAATTCTGCAAATTTCAAACCATTTTTTCTTTTAATTTTGAAACGCAAAAATTGCATTTCAGTTTTTTTTCCTACATAATAAGAATTAATTGATGAATTAATATGATTTATTTGAATTAAATTTGTTTTTTAAATGACCGGACACCAGACCGAATAGATGTAATTTCTGATTTGAAGAACCGGAAAGATATCTATTATTAACCGGAAAGATATGAAGAAGTTATCGTTAAAAAGTATTATTATAAACATACACTTAACCATGTCATAATGCAACGCAAATGAAATGTATGGCCACAGTGTAATGCCGAAAGATTAAATGAAAAAATAGGCATAACACATATAATACATTGAGTTGTTGACAGCATCTTTGCCCTGAAATGATTGATTCGAATTGATTAATTGAATAAATGAAATGAGTAAAATAAATTAAATAATAAAGATTTAAAAGAATAAGAAAATAAGAAGTTCAAATGAAAGAAAAAGTTAAATTTATAAGATGAGATAAGAAAACAATAGTTTCATTAAGCAGTTCTTAAAATCAATTCAGAATTGATATCTAATAAATATATAAAAGTTAATTCAAAATTTGAATCATTCTAAAAAAAAATTGATTGCTACAACAAATTACAAAATACTTTTCAATGCCCCAAATGGTAGAATTCATATTTATAACACTAATTTTGTTCAGCAAATCGCTTTCATAACATAGGATTGCATACAGGTAGATCAAATATCAAGAATAGAACAATTATTATCAGAAAGATTTGATGATCAGAGATCACTGAAATCTACAACGAGCATAAAAATTTCGCTTGCAAGATGATGAAAATTCTTAAAATTTCAATAACTAAAAACGAATTCAATTCATAAAACAATAAAATATATAACGAAAATACATTGTTCAAATTTTTGTTTAATTTTCTGTAATAAGCAAATAATATCATCTAAATATGATACGGCAAAATTAATTATGACTTTGCAAGCGATCATTTCGGATAATGAATTCATCTTCTGCTTCACATTTTCTTATGATAATTTCTACCAACGTTTTATCGAACGAAAAATTTTCCTATAAGGAAAACTTTAAAAATAATTTTGATTTCTTATCGAGATTGCTTGGCGAATAGCAAAAGAGATTTCTTGACTGAAAATATAATTGCATTGTTAATGCAATAATGGCTGCAAGAAATTTTACGATATAAAATATTACCATTAAGATTGATTTCAAGTAAAATAGTTGAAGGAAGAAGCATTGCTGCTGTATCCGCATCCGTATCCGTATCCGTATCCGCATAACATGGATCAAATGAATCTTGCTACCTATCAAACGAAGTTCAAACATTCACGTGATATTACGTCATTCATAAAACTGTGCCTTCTTAAACGAAGCAAATGGAATTGCTTGTTTTCAAAAAAGCTATCGACTTGCTTTAGCTGTTTATTTTTGAACGAACTACCAACTAAATGATTGAATTACTTGAAATCACATTTTCATGAAATGATTGAATTAGAAATAAGGGAACCATATAGTAAATATTGTAAATTAAAACATCTGTATAGGTTTGCGATACGAAAAATTAATGAAATATAATTCTTCCAATTTTTTTGCTCATTCAATGATTTCCTTCCACATTCCATAAAACTTTGATTGATAAATAATTTAATTCAAATTAATTTATGATATTTATTGCAGTAAACATGAGCAAAAATGGAATATTCGACAAGTAATCAAATTCAAATATAATATGAAAGAAACGTAAAACAAATATCACAGTATGGTAAAAAACTGGACCGGAAAAACAATGAGCAAATATATATAAATGAAAATAAACAATTATTACTAAAAACTTTTCATCACTTCAAAATGACCGGATGACCAATTCGTTGATTGCGTCATTATTTTTTAAGAAGTTAGGAATTTTCAGGCAACTTTTAATCGATCCTACAAATATTTATGGTATAATTGTCTTCTAACGAAAATTTGTATAACATCTCAGAAATCTTATCACCAGAAATTTTGAATAAACGCCTGCACAAGAAAAATCCAACAAATACGAGGAATCTTCAACAAGCACGTGTTATTTATATATACATAAAGCCTTCAGTAAAAGTATCATACAAACTAAGTCTGATATTTTCACAGTATCATCAGCTTAAGGTATTGCTTAAATTTATCGCATATCTAATCAACGAAACAACAATTTAAGTAAAAAAATTCACGTCCCTAAAAATTCATATTCTTCAATATTCTAAAAAAAAAATGAAAGTTGAAAAAATTGGAATTAAAAATTTGTCATTGTGCGCTATTGGTCATCGTCGATGGCGATGGCGTCTTCGTCATCTCCATCTATTTCCTCATCAGAAACATTACTGAGGATAGCGCCTTCATCATCAGTTTCCATGTCGGAAGTATAAGAAACATCACTGAGGGTAGCGTCTTCCTCATCACTTTCCATGTCGGAAGTGTAAGTATTTTTACTTAGAGTAAAAAACAATCGTCTGATAATATTTTCTTTGCCTCTTTCTCACAAACCAAACATCTTTGATGATCCTGTAATTTGAAAACATAATAAAGTAAATTTAAAGTAAATTTAAAACAAAGTAAATTTACTGTGCAATTCCTTCCATTGTCACTAACATTTTTTAAGGCCTTTTTAAGTGGATGAGATATATTCGTTATTCTTACCTAGAATATAATTAATATTTACTCACATTAATCCACTGTAAAATGCAATGAAAATGAAACGTTTGACCGCAAGGTAATGCTGCGATATGAGATACAAAAAGGTGCAATGAGCAAATATAGCAGCACATCATTTCGATTCGAAATAATCCGGTTGATTCGAAAAAGTGTAATTGTCCAGAATATCAAAACTGAAAACGAACCATTTGGCTTTTTATATAATCAAAAGTATCTGTTCAAGAATTAAATTAAAATTTCATTTCAGACTAACAGAATCATAGACTTTCTATAACTAATAAAAAGAAACATTCAAAATATACCAATTTAATATTATTTCGAGATATTTCATCATCAATAGTATCGTCTGCTTTTTGAAATTCTTCCGAGCTGTTAAAGTTCTATAAAGCTAATAATTAAAGCGAAGAACTAAAATGAAACAAAAACAAAACAAAGCTAACATTTGAACAGTTCGTTTAATTCAGTCAGAAAAAAACTGTATGATTTCTCTTTTATCATTATATATATTGATTAAATAGTTAACATATGTTAGATATTATTGATTAACTCAATATTATTCTCAACTATTATAAGTAATTTATAGTCGTCTGTTTAGCTAAAATAAATTTAAATATAAAATATAACCTTATTTTTTACTTCAGATGCAAGGTAATTACAAATAAATGTATCCTGCTGTGTAACAGAAACAAACAACGGCTGAATGGGAAATATTGCAATTACCGCTGTGCGGCAAATTGGACAATACTGATGAGCTTTGAGCTTGAGAATTTAAATAATTATTTTAAATGATTTAATTATATCTTTTTTCAATCTTTCTAAATGACCAGAAAGTGTTATTCATTGTAGTCACTGCGGTTGCTATTATTATTTCTCCTTTATTGAAATTGCTATTTGCATTATTATCGACAAAATCATTGTATTTATTAATATTATAATGTTTCTATTATTGCAGTATTAATCAAAACATTATATTATATTTATTGCAGTGATTATATCATTAATATTGCTGATTATCATTATATTCATTAATATTATTATATGTATACCTGATAAGCTTACATAATTATTGCTTGCAACAATCGTTTAATTATTGTCGAATACTTTCAAGCGAACTAAATATTAACAAATGTTCTGTTGAAGATATCCAACGTTAGGAATGAGAGAGTATCAGATG